GTTAATGGTTTTGTATTTTGTCGTCCTTTTTACTTGAAGCTCTCTTAAATATATATATATATATATACATCATTGGTTGTTGGACAACATGGATATTATACATCACAACCACTAGAGTTTCAACAAAGCTGTGATAAAAAGTGACAATTCATTTCGGTTCCAAATATCTAAACTGAAATTGTAACTGTTGCATAGTATACCATAAGAAAACGAATCCAAAGCATAACTTTTATCTCATTTGCTATATTGAAACGGAAGACACTTTGAATTTTCTCACTTCAAATATCGACGAAAATTGGACAATGTCTGTCCAGTTGTTATCGAGTCCCACGCCTAACAAACTATTTGAGCTTCAAAATGTAAAGTCAATCTTATTCTTTTTTACTTCTTTTATATTCTTTGTTTCTTTCAAAATTGAAATTTTAAGCTCTCTGTAATCCCTTATGATTTCCTACCTGAACAAGCCATATTTGTGAGTTACACAAGTTTATTTGTTGAGAGGGTTTCCTGAAAGTTCCGAATGCTTTTGATAGAATCACAACTAGTTCAAAAGAGATGTTTCCTTTGAATTAGAAAATAGTTCTACTGATATTGTGAGTTGTTAGGAAACTGAATACAAAATTGTATCCGTTTTTTTAAGAAACAATAGAAGAGATAAGTTAATTGAGTACAAAACTATAATCGATTAGCAAGCTTGGATTATTTCCTATCACCCAGCCCATGCAGAGTGGGATACAACTAAGCAGATTGGAGTCTTCAAACCAATCGTTCTGCATATCAACTGTAAACCCAAACATAGCAACAAATATACAAAAAGGATAGTTGTATCTCAATCTACTTAAAATTTTGGTGACAAAAGAGGTTTGCTATGAAATGATACTAAATAGCGACAAATATATCTATTCCACAATGTGACCCAAAGTGTTATTACATACAAAGTAGCTTATGGTTCCCTCTTTATTATCTCAAACTTACTATTCAATACTCTATATCTAATGATAACATAGAATCCGTTCAGAGTCTTGTCAATAAATTATTATTCAAATAGTGGAAAAGTGGTACGCTTCAAACAGATACAACTCACTCAATTAGGTTGTAAAGAGTGTTGAAACTCCCTATTAGGGAGTATGTTTACAATACACAAAGCCAGCGTCGAGAAAGTTTCAAGATTTTCTTNAATGCCAAAGTATCCTGACTATGCAGATCCTCGCCGTCTTTATTCAAAGCATAGTGNGACTTGAACAGCAGTTGTATCATTCAACTGCCGCTTAAAGAGAAACTTTGCTTTTTGTATCAGTCGGATATAACAGATTATTTGCACTTTCAATATCTTACTTGAAAGGTATATTCTTATTGTATCCGTTGTTATCGAGCGTTTTGTTGATGTTTGCATATGCTTGGTGATTTCCAAAATAATAGAGTTTCATACTTTTCATCACCAATAAAACACATTCTTTTCTCCAGTTTCCCGGTATAAGGTATTCCATGAATGACCTTCAAGAGAGTGTCCTTGAGCGATAACTTGGGTCTCAGGATTGCAGTTCCATCAAGAAAATACTCATAATTGCTATGAATCAGATCAGCTCACTCCTTATTACTTTAAAACTTTGTATAGAGTTTGCAAGTATCCATTAACGCCATTTCTTAAACTACAACGTCTCTCAGCCAACATAAGGGTCTTGCAGAGTAAAGGTTTTTAAATATGGAATGGCTTTCAGTTAGGAAATGGTTGAAGGTTATACAAGTCTGCTTTAGCAAAATAATTTTTGGGCTCTATCTTACTCTGTTTTAGCATCGTTGTGAGGAAAACTAACGGCTATAGTTACTATATTGGAAGCCCCATTTGATATCCTTATAGAAGACATATTCACAACTTGGTCATGAAGTCGAAAGCAACGATAGACAACTTGTAGCTATTATATCAATAGTGGCTTATATTTGGTGATAACCCATTCTGACCATTTACTTTATACTCTTCTCCAAACTGCTTTGGATATTCTTATACTTTAAGCTATGCTACAACTGGTTGCACACAAACAGGTTTCCTTCATACTCATTGCAATTCCCTTGTTTCCCACTACTTTTCTTCTAAAACTACAAAAGGTTTGTATCTTATAAGATGTGCATGTAAGTGTTTACTTATGAGATGGTGTGGAAGATAGCAGAATAGCGCCTTATAGTATACAAACCATAGATTGAGCAAGAATCAATCTAGTTACCGACAAAAACTCCTAGAAACCTATTTCTTGTCTATAGTAAAAGAAAGTTTCTAGTTGTGACGAGCAAGAAAATAGTCCGTCTTTCTCTCTGTTGTCTATGTGAGTCTAGAGCTATCAAAGAGATCAGTTCTACCAATCAACCAAATAAAGCAATCGTTCGAACAATAAAACATACACTCCTTCCAACTCCTTTGTCCTTGTCCAGGTTTCCTATTGTCGACTGCTTTAAAAGTATTTCGGTAATTCATTGAGATGTAAATTGATTTTGGAGTGGCGGCGGCGTGTAAAATGACTAGTCAAGAGATACGCAAAAGTTTGCCTGGAATGACAAAAGTACCATTAATAGATAGAAAAGAAGATGTTTACATTATTATTCTAACTTATTTGAACCAGTTTTCTCCAACTGAGGGAAACTTGAATGACATACGTCCCGCTGTTTCTTTTTCTCCGCATATCTTCGGAGCCGGGAAGAGTTTTGTCGGTGTACACTTTTTAGAGTTTTTGAACAAATTTGCCGAAGAAGAAGAGCAAAAGGAGACGGAGGGACGCCCTGGCCATTTCCCTGAAAGCAACACGAGCTCATTGGGAGGAGTTAAGGCGAAGAACTTTTCTTGGAAACACTTTGCGGAAAACACTTTGTCAGTTATCTTAGAACTAAGAGAGAGCTTTTCTGATGCTCCTTTTCCAAGTTTTCGAAAGGCTTTGATGTATAACATAGTTTTTAGAGCCTTTCGTCAAAATGGAAGAAGAAAAGATGCCGCTCACGTTGCTTCAACGATAATCAAGGACCACAACTTGGACGATATCATAGATTTTCTTCTCGAACAATTTCAGAAACAATATTTATTTTTGATGATAGACGAACTTAGTCACCTGAGTTACCTCACCACATACTATAGTGAACTTACCACGAAACAGTTCGTCGAGTCTGACCCAAAATATGTACCTTTCCGGAATTTCTTCCGTATTTTACGTGATTTGTTGATTACAGGGAAGGTAATTGTCTATTTGGCAGGCAGGACAGCTCAAATCTCAGCCCGCATGTCTGATGCTCGCTCCAGTAGCATGAGCCTCGATATGTTGCGATTGAATCCTTTTAACCTCAACGATATTAATGAATATCTTGAGCTGGCAATTTATAGTGGAAAGACCTTGAAGGACTGGTTATTGCCCTCAGATGGCTTGCAACATCGATTCGCAGAATTATTAAAAAAGAAGACAGGAGGTATTCCGTTGATTTTAAAGAATACTTTAGTAGCCCTAGCAGAGAAAGCTGCAGACTTGTCGCAACCTGTTATCAACGATGACAATATGGAAAGTGTGTTAGATGATATTTTTCACTCTGTAGTACGAAAGACAACAACGTTTATTGTTCCGGAGATATTAGATTCTGCAACCCTTCTTCGATATCAATTTGTTCTTTTCAATTATCAGCTCGGGACAGTTTTTCCAATCAACTTTGCAATTACTCTATGTGGAACGACAACTTATTTGATGGATTTGGTTGCAACTTTTGGGTTTTACTCTGAAGTTTTGGGCGAAGAATTCAAGATTGGTTGTTGTGAATTTATATTGCGAGCTCATAGCAACTATAAATTTTTCCGTGAGGCTACTGAACTTTTTCCTTTATCTCCGTTTAGTTATATTCCCGACACTTCAACAGCAAAAGGAGTCTTCTTTGAATTTGTATTTATGAAGATCTTTCGCTTTCGCTTATTAACTTTTCTTCATTCTAATTCCTCGCCTATTGTACATTCTGCTATTCCAGGAATTTTCCAGGGTTCTTTTATTGAACAGGACAATGTTTCGTATTCTATGGAATCAACAAAATCTAATGATATACCCATCTTGAGAAATGTCTCTCATTCATTTTCTGACCATTATAGAAAATATTTACAACATTGTGGTATTTTTGTTCCAAAAGATGGCAATTCGAGTGGCCCTGATGCATATGTTGTATTCCATAATGGACAAACACGTTATGTTGTTGGATTTTCATTCAAATTTTATCACAAAACTGAATTTTCGAAAACAAATATTGAGAAAGAAACAAAAAAATTTTTCAAAGAAGTTATTCCCGTTTTGAATAACGAATCTCCTTCATCTGTTCAACTTCGTTTTCAGTTTGTGGTAGTATGTACTAGATATGATCAATCTGTAGGTTTCTCTTCCGAACAACAGAACATTGTTGAAGATGCAAGTCGTTTGGTGACTCAACATTCTTCGGGATCAACTTTGAATGAAAGTAGTCGATCATGTCTGCAATTGGTAATTGTTTCGCAAAGGAACATTGAAAGATATTTGGGAAGAGAAAATGTCGAAACATTGAGGAAAATTGGCAAAGCAAACCGAGAAGAGTTCACAAAAAACTTTTCAGTATGGTGTAAAACTGTCTTTGAGTCGATGTCCAATGAATATGTTTCATCTTTGGAAACGGAGCAATCAAATGTTACTGCAAGAGTGACTCGAAATATAAGACCGAGAACAAATGAGGAGAATAGGATGCAAATGGAAGAGCTTCAAACTGCTATGCAAGTCGAACAAAGGGTCGCAGCATCCAGTTCTTTGTCTTCGTCATTTGATTGGAATACTTTCCTAAGAGACCGTTGTGGTCTTTCTGAAGAAGATGTTGCCTATTGTTTGCCCAAGCTGTCCTTCATAGGAATGATAGATTTGAGTGGCGTGACAACAGAGTTTCTTTTGAAGTGCGGTATCGATAGTCCTTCACTAAGATTGCGAATTATGTTAGGAATACGACAGCTTTTAGCAAAGTAGCTTTTATGGACTAGTTTGTGGTATGCCCATGATTTCCCTGTAGAAGATGATGGAAGCCTTATAGAAGTCGTAGTCCTAATAAAGACATGTAATTTTTGTTTTTATCTCACTGCAAAGTCATTACGAGCTTAGTAACTTGAGATATCTTGCCAATATGCTGAGGAAGCAAAAAGCTTCTGTTTAGTTGTTCTTTATTCAGATTCATCTACAAAAGTGTTGGCAATCTATTTAGATAAACTTGCACTTCTTTTACCGTTTGCAAATGTTAGTTACGCTTCCGTAGATATAGATTTCAATTTCCTTATCGCGTTTTGGCAGGATTGTTATTGAAAAATGTTCTTGACATAACTGACGAGGATGAAAGCATATAATGTCATCAAGATAAGTATATTCATTTTTTAGAGATCACAAGGCCAAACAAAGTTCACTGAAAGAGTTCAAATGTTCTGATACGCAGTAGGCTGAATTTGCATCTGTTGAAACACGAACCAGCACGCTGTTCATTGCCACACTTGAACTTCAAGTGAACTCGACTTTGAGGTAACTTCGTTAAGGAAGATGTTCTGAAATAACACTAAATATGAATAACATGACCCAAAGTATTATAGCTCACAAAAGAGCTTAAGGTTCCCTCTTTGTTATTTTAAACTTATTTTTCAATACTACTTATCCTTAGATAATGAAGAATCTGTTTCAAGCCATCTAAAAGCAAAAATTCCCAACTTTTCATACTTAAGAAGACGATGGTTGAGTGTAATGTTTCAAACCGATACAACCCATATGTAGTAAACCGTGAAAGGGATGTTTTTCGAGTGACAGAAGAACTGTATGATCTTCGTAACAGTCGAAAGCAACTCAGGGGTTTAACATGTCCCCCATCTTTTTGGCTCTCGCAAAACTACGTTTTGTTAAACCTATTTGGAGTTGGTTCGAAGGTTTGTCGAAACTTTCCTGTCGACTTTTGCTTCGGACCTTTCGAGCAGAATCTTTTTGGAGAAGCTGAAAAAGGCTTCGTTGCTTTATGTAGATCAAAGGGAGTTGGAGCCCACACTTGAGAGGACTTTGTACTTTTTATTGTACCGATCAGCTTGTAATCAGATGGGTCTACAGTTTATGAAGCCTACAGACACATTCCTCCTTGTTCAAAGTTTCTAATTCCAGAGCGACGGAAGACTTTGGGCATTCCTTCTGATCAATATCTTCTGATAGCTTTTGATGAAGTTGGTGTCCTAGACGAAAGTCTCGACGAATTTCATTTCAAAAGAACCCACGACGGTAGAGTTCGACCATACAACGACTTTATCGGTATTATTCGTGAATTGTGCAAAGAACCCGACTTGTTTTTTATAGTTGTTGGGAAAAGCAAAGGCTTAAATATAAATAATTACGTAGCTTCAGTCTCAAGAGTTCAGTTAGTATTTATTCCTCTTGCGCCGCATGAGAAACATAGTATCGTGGAACATTTGGAGAAAAGTTCTTCCTTTTTATTCACTAGGAGCCCAAAAGCTTCAGAAATTCTTTGCCACGAAGACTTCTCAACTAGTGAACTTGCAGAATTGTTGTTGGAATTGACTGGTGGTGTTCCTGGTTTACTTGTTCGAGCAATCAGTTACCTTTTGCCGTATAAATCATCCAACAACAATTTCTTATTATCAAAGGAAACCTTCTTGATCATAATGAATAACCTTCCAGTAACAAATTATTGTGTTGCGACATTCTTACCTCGTCTGATAAGTCTCAGTGAGCAGCGTAAGCGCTTGTTAAGAATGCTTACGTTATTATCCTTGTATCGTATTCGATTTGATTTTGATGAAACTGTGCAAATAAGCTCAAATTCTGATGTGTTTTTGTTTGACCTAGTTACAGATATGTATCTCTATCGTCGATTGGTTATAGAACCAGACCGCAACGAACGCTATGAAGTGTTGATTCCCAAGTTACTGATTGAATATATTGACCAAGGCGTAAAGGATGATCGTTTAGAATGGTTACTTTTACAAACTCTCAAGTCTCAATCTATGGAATTCTTTTATGAGTCGAAATGTCGAATTTTAGAAGGTCTTATTGCGACACTGTTTTATTTACACTTTTCTCGGCATCCTACAAACAGCTCAATGTTGTCTACTCTTGGTCAATTGTCTCATGTTTGGAATGAAATGAATTTACAATTTTCTTCCGAATCTGCTGCTTATTATATGAAATCTATACATAATACCAGAACTGTATCAGGAACAGAGAGAATGACATTTGGAAGCAATGATGAATGGGAAAGGATAATGAAAGAAATGTTAGAACTTGAAAAGATATATATTCCATTTCATTCAACATCCCATAGTCCAGATATACTATTCAAGTTGCATGGAAGAACGAATGAGAAGAACTTGATGATGGTGGGTATTGCTTGTAAAGGACGATGGAGTCGTAATGGTATTCGATGGAATGAAATTTTGGAAGAAGCTCACAAGTTTTAAAAACCAGTGCATGATCAAGTATTGACTAGTCATCCTACATGGCATTGTATGTTGATTATTATGAGTACTCAATTAACAACCAACGTATCTGAGGACTTGAATCATTCTAGTCGTTGTTATTCATCCGGCGATAGTGTTGAAGATTTCGTGATTCCTCACAACTGTGAATTGGTTATTCTTTCTGAAGCTGATGTAGAAAACTTTATTGGCAAAGACATTTTATCAAATTTAAGGAACGCTTTCAAATCTGTGGATAATCCACATTCGAGAAATATTGGCATTTCAACACTACAAGAAATAGTTTCATCTCTTTCCAAAAATATTTAGGAATATCTCGTTTTCGTTGTTTAGTGAATGCTTCTTTGTTATCATTGAAACATTTGAAATTTAATATTTTGTAAAGGATGTGGAGTGTGCTTAAACTTTCTTTATCAAAAGATTCTGAAATGAATGGAGATTACCATAACTGTCGTAGTCTTATTTTGTAGCAAACGATTTTCATTGTCCAACTTCATGGGCAGCTAAGTATGCAAAGAATCCACCTTGCAGGTTTAGAATATCCCCTCGTCAATAGAGAATCAGCAATATTACAAGTTCTAAACGCTTTTGAAGCTACTTATCCTTCGGACTCAAAAGGTGTAATCCAAGGTCAGCGACCAAACGTGTGTTATGCACCCCAAATGTATGGGAGTGGTAAAAGCACTTTTGGGGAGAATTTCCAAACCTTTCTTTTGGCCAACAAAGACAGCTTGTTGCGTTATTTGAATATGAACAATATGTTTCCTGGCGTTGCAAGAGGTGAAAATGTAGGCGAACGTGCATTGGACGCTTTGCTTAATGAAACTTTATATGTCAAGTTGAACCTTGTTGAAGTACCAAACGGAACTAGTTTTCAAACGACACTTTTGAAGTGGATAAGCAAGAAAGCACTTGCCGAGTTTCCAAACGGTTCAGAATTGCTATCTCAAGTTCTTTATTGCATGAATAGTTCCAAACAATGGCTGCAGAAACTCTTGCAAGTTACCCAAAAACGTTATTTATATCTATTCATTGACGAAATTGGAGCTTTAGAAGGTTTTAAATTCTCCAAGTTTGAGGATTTGATATACAGTTATGGACCAACTCCGGCGCACAACATTTATCGTGCCTTTTTTAGAGTCTTGTCCAGTTTGTTAGTCAGGCCTTTTGTAATTTGTGTTGTCGCAGGAAGATCAGATGCTATTATCACAAGACAACGAGATGCCAGTATTTCACGAGTAAAGTTGTCTTTTCTTCGTTTGGATCCCTTTTCAGAAGAGACTGTCAAGTTCTTTATACAAAATACGACGCATCATAATGAATCTATTCTAAAGCTTCTTTTTCCTAATCATCCAGAAGGACACGATTGGTTCTTTAAACAAATACATAGTTATACTGGTGGTGTTCCTTATTACGTTGTTTATGTTTTAAAGAAACTGTGCGAGACTTGTAGAATTGTTTCGAGATCCATTGATCCTTCAGAGGATGAAATCCAAAGGAGAATAGAGCAAATTCCTCCTGACTCTTCGCTTTCGGTGAGACCTTCTCATAGGACACCAGAGGCAATGACTACTTTCACTGCTATGCTTCTCGCGAGTATGTTAGAATTTCGTATTCCTATGGAAGAGACTCTGTTGGATACTGTATCTATGGGACTTGATTCCAAATATGTTCTGGATATTGCTAATCATTTTGGTTTTTATTACAAAAATTGTTCTAAGAATGAACACGGTGAAGAGATTGAAGCAAGTCTCAACCCAATAGAACAAACATTTGTCAAGTTGGTTTTTCCAAAAATTGCTTTAAAGTATATCGAAATTGAATGCTGGGATGTTCCTCCTATTCGTTTTATTTGTAGTTTGTTTTCATCCATTAGTCGCTTTGACTCACCTTCTAGTCGTGGTTTCAAGTTTGAAATTATATTTACTCTTATTCTTTATGTTCGATGGTGTTTTCGTTCCAGATTGGGTGAATTGAGTCTATTTCGGCATAGTCTTGTAGAAGATATTCCTATAAAAGTTGGGCGGAGAGTGGTAGGAGAATTCGAAAAGGATCCTATTCTCAAGTATGTTCCAGCATTGAGTTCCACAGTTGTTGGTATTCATAGTGCCAGCGAAGAAACTTATCATGTGAGTGCTTGGAAGCCGTTGTTTGAAACTTGCTTATCAAATGATGGAATATTTATTCCTACAAGGCAAAACTCCAGTGGACCTGATGTTCTTATTCGAGTAACACAAACTAGCGACAATTCTATTCTTATTGGACAAGATGCATCTTCTGTAGAGCAAATATCCATGGAAACTGAAACCAGTGCAAGTGATATTTTGAACAAACGGAGGATCTATTTGATTGGGATTGCATTGAAGTGTTATCAAATGTCAAGTCCTGGTGTTGGACGTTCTATAATTAAAGCAGAATGTGCTAAATTTTTACATCCAGTTGCGTCACAATTGGACTTGGAGAATCATAATATAATGGCAATTCAGCTTATTGTAAGCAACAAGTATACTGCAGAAGTATCCAAACAGCTGAAAGACAACCAAAATTGGGTATTGGATAGTGGAATTTATTATGAAGACCATAACAATCATATTGTCTCTAGTCCTATCAATTCTGCGACAAAACCACAGAATACAAGGGAAGAATGGCTATGGATTCCTCCTCATTGTCAAGTTGTAGTATGTTCTACCAGCTCTCTCAAATCCTTTTTAGGTTGCAAGGCTAGTGAAGATCTAGATAGAGTTTTTGGAGACCATCCATTATGGTTGGACCAACTCAGACCACTTTCAAATCTGTTGGAAAATTCATTGATAGACCTGTTGAGTCGTGCACCATTTGAGCAGTCTTCTGAGAGGAATATTCAATCCATGGAGAGGGGTAACCCAGTTATGAATTGGAATGTTATGCAAGTGGAAGAAGAAGATACACGAGGCGAACAAAAGGTTGCAGCATCGAGTTCTTTGTCTTCGTCATTTGATTGGAATACTTTCCTAAGAGAATATTGTCATTTTACGGAAGCTCCTTTAATTGAGCGTTATGCTCATCAATTGCGATTGTTTAGCCCACTGTCTTTTCCTTACTTGAATGACACACGTTTATCTCGCTATGGTATAGCTCCACAGGACATTCCATTGATAGTTGACGGAATACATGAGTTTCTTGAGCAACAATCGATGAACGTGGATCTTGTTGAAAGATAAACTTTTTCAAGGCTGGATTATTGTGTTTCTAAAATAAAACTATAGTTTGAAGAAAATTGTATTCAGAATATTCAGTGTTTTATAATTACATAGCACCTAATACTACGTCTTGTTTCTGCTATTTACTCTTTGGTCATAGCCAACTTAATACACCACTGTCGATAAGTACTACAATTGTTTTTTTGGAAACAAGTTAGAACTGTTTGCCTTTTGATATCGCTATTGTATCCACCACGACTGTAGTCGAGATACGAATTCAAATTGTTAGCGTATCCAAGTCTCTTGTTATTCCTCTTAAGACAAACTATGACTTGAGTGTTTACTGAAAACCAAAAAGCTGATTCTGACTAAGAAATTATATTTCTTAAAGAGTCAGTTGCATAAAATTGACAAATAAATAAGCAGGTCTGAAAAGTCTAGAAAATTTGGGTTTGCAATCTATGGCAGCAAAGTTCTGAGTTCAAAAAGCTATAACAGAATGACGTACACGTTTCAGTGCTACTTGTTCCATTTGAAACAATTCAGGTGTCCTTTCTTAGTTTGTTTACAGATTCTTTGGAAACATCATAATTAAGCAAATTGCAAAAAGATGACTCTGCAATAAAAGGATGACACCCTTATTTTGAACGTTCTTCAAATCGACATGCAGCTTGATATTTACAAATATTGAAAGTTGAGGCAACTCATAATCGATCGAGGTTATTGCTTTATGATCAAGATTGGAAAGAAACGGGAAACTAGTAGAATTGGTCTGCTGAACAGAATGTTGAACATCTAATGCACTGTCATCTTATGGGACGTTTTGAGAATGACAATTTAAAACACAGCTGAAGGTGGAGACAACTCAGGCACATATTTCTACTTTCTTAGACTTGGAAATAACCTATTCATTTATTATAACAGAGAAAAAAGAAAGGATAGAATAAAATTTGTTGTTCTGGAGGAAATGATTGATTCTTTGTCGATAGAATACAAAAATTGAGTCAGACCATACAAGCTAAACACATGCTATCATTTCGTACTCGAAGAGAACGCATAGGACAACCGTAATTTGAGAATCTGGTTGCTGAATAAAACATGATAATTGGTTCTAGCAAGATGAGCCGAAACACTTTAAAAATCCAATAGAATAAGTTTAGACATTTTGATAAGAAGATGAGGCATATCGAACAAGTTGGACATAACATGATTTGAATAAAGTTGCATCGTAGAAAGAGAAGCAATATGCGGGAATGAGAGAGAACTTGATCGAGAGCAAGGAACTGAACAATCGGGCAAAGTCAGCGATCTTTAAAAATTTTCAATATAGAACATTATAAAGGCGACTCTTATACTGAAAAGGTAACAAAAGCAGTGCAAACAAAAGAAAAGAGAAGAAAAAAATGAAAAATGGTAAGCTCGCACTCATTCAGTGCCATCGTTGGAGTCGTCTTCCTAGAGCCCTATCGATAATTAATATTTCAAATCAATAGAGAATTGATCAAAGACAATCACAATACAAACATCCATTAAAAATGAGCAATGAAGGACTCAAGACTTTCCTATGCTATCCTGGGAAATGAATCGGTTGTCCAAAATGTGCAAATATTGCTTACACTCCAAAAACTGTTGCGGAGCTACAGACTGACTTCTCCATCTTGAAAACTGCTGCAAAGGACAAAAATCTAACATACAGAAAGTTACTCTGTGAACTGACCAATACAATCAACTGTGAGTCTGACTGGTTTCTTGTTCTTGAAGAATGTCTTGGAGATATTAACCCAAAGACTGATTCCCAACAAACCACTACAAGAGAAGAATTTCAACTGCTAATAAATATGCAAAATTGGTCTGAAACAATTATAAAACTAAATGAACTAGCCGATTGCAACTAAAGGAGCTAATACTCACTACAATTCAACAAACAGCGTAAACAACATAGAAAAAGAATCTCTTCATCGAAATTGCAAATCAACAAATGGACGTGATACTACCAGAACTCAACAACAGCAAAAACTCCTGCATAAATTGCTCTCTTCTCGAAAATCCAAATCTCAAGTTTCCATATAATACCACAAGTTGAAGCAACAATAAGTGTTGCATAAAGTGTGTAGACTTCAAAAAGATAGAAAAAATGGTACACAAAAAAACACTAAAGTCTACCAGGAACTCAGTGCTCAAGAGAACTCGATGGACGGTTATGAAAGAATGAATTCCAGAACTTTACAAAGAAACGTAGATAATAAAAGTACACTTGTCCAACGAAAACAATGAATTAGTTGGAAATTAAAGACGGAATAGTTTCAGTACTAAACTTGAGCCAAGTTCAAAGCGTTGACAACACTGGCTCTTCTTTATGTACAAAAACAGCTCACTTGGTCCAGAATGGAATCCAACTACTCTTTCTCTCAAAATGCAGTTTTTTAGACTCGAGTCAAAACGAATCCTAACAAACACTAAAAGTAACTTTATTAAGTCCACAAACCCCATTATTTAAGAAGACCCTCTTGAATAGGTAAACAAGCGGTACTCTCGGCAACTTTTTCATATGGTTCACAGCGACCTCCAATATATTTGGACAAAAATATTTCTGCTCTTCCTAAAAAGTCTAATCGATTAGGTGGTCTAGCAAAACCTACACAAAACGAAATGAAATTGAAAACTATTGAACAAAATGCCAATATCTAAACTACCGTGTCCTTCATCGGGATACAGCACATATTCAACAGGTATATTCCTTTCCAACATTGCCTTTACTATTTGATCACTTTCGCGCTGCTTCACTCTAGGATCGTTTGCTCCTTGTCCTATTAAAAGTGGTGCCTTGATGTTCTCCACATGAAACAAAGGAGATATTTTTCGATTGAATTCCTCATCTGTATCTACAGGCCCTATTCTCAATAACAATTCCTTCTTCATAGGCTTCCAGTAATCAGGAACACTGTCTATCAAGGTTTTCAAGTTGGAGGGTCCAACGATATCAACTCCACAACAATATAGTTCTGGAGTAAACACAAGACCTGCCAATGTAGCATATCCACCATAAGAACCCTATTTCAAGAATACAATTATCCAATAGAATATGAGCAACCTGACTTACACCATAAATAGCCACTTGATTCCAAACTGTAATAATGTTATTTTCTATAGCCCATTTGACAGCATCCGTTAAATCATTTTGCATATTGCCAATGCCCCATTGTTTATCTCCTGCATTCAAATAACTTTTACCCTAACCAAATAAAACCAGTCTTTAATAATATAAATAAAATATACTTACGAAACCTGAAGAACCACGATAGTTGACTTGAAGACAAGCATATCCTCTATTGCTAAACCATTGTGACATGGGATTGAAACCCCAATAGTCTCTTGCCCAAGGACCACCATGTACAAAGAGAACAAGAGCAAATGGTGCAGTTCCATAGACAGGTCTTGTTAAATAACACTGCAACTGCATTCCATCTCTTGCACTTACAATAATGGACTCCATCTTACTCAATATATATTCATCAAGTTCGGGACGTTCATGGAATAAAGGTGTTATCGTTCTTGATCTTCTATCAAACATAATATATTGAACAGAACGACTGTCACGAATTACTGATAAAACCCATATAGAGTCTGCATGGTCACGACTTGTAAAGTCCAAATCAACGTCACCAAACTTTTGTTCTATAAAAAGAAAGTCTTCTTTCATGGATTCATCAAAAAAATTCCATTCCTTTCGGGCAAATGTAAAAGAAACGGCCTACGCAAAGGTTCATAAAAGAAGGCTCTTATTATAAAATATCAACAAGGCTTAGGCTTACTTGAAGTCGTTTATCATCAGGATGCAATAGAACACGACCAACGTTGGCTTGATGAGAAAAAGCCAACGTTTGAACAATGGCCCCGTTGGAACGCTTAGCTAAAACTAGTTGTGTCTTGTCTGCTTCTAAAAAGCTTCGAAGATATACATGCTCATGGTCTGCACTAATATCTCCTTCCTCACCATATGGAAAGTATTTCAGGTCTCTCCAAGGTACCTCTAGACTATCACGAATACGAAGAATGGCACTTCCATCTTCTGGATGGGTAGTAGTAGCTCCCAATACTGTCATGGTACTTTCATCCAACGTCCATGATACAACATCTCCAGGATTTTCAGTATCAAAACGTATCTCTCGTGAATCTAGAAAAATACGATGAACATCAAAACAAGACGAGTCTCGTTGATTCATTCCAATGAGAAGCTCATTAGGTCTCTTGGGGGAAGACATCAGTCCCTCCACCTTGACATTTTCAAAAGGAGTTAGGTCTATACTTGGACAGCCTTCCTCAGTAATATCAACTGCCCATACTAACTTACAAAATAAGTAAAGAACGATAAAAGAGAAATATATACATACAGTGAAAGTTTTCATCGCCATCCTTATCCTATAAATACAAAATACTCCTTGAATCTTCTGACCATTGAAAAAATCGAATACCACGATGAGTATCTCTAGTCATTATACGCTTCAACTCACTCCCACGAGGATAAACCCAAACGTTCAGCACGTTTTGATCACTTGGTGCTAGATAGGCTAGAATACTTCCATCTAAAACAAAGCCTCAGTTGTATGTCTCAAGTCAACTTTCTACAAGTTTAACTGGAGATACTTTTACTGCTGTTTGTTTGGGGTTATCAAACAAGATCTTTCGAGGAATCAAAGGGACACTTGCGACGTTGGTTTGATGAACTGTCATTTCGTTCGGGTAGAATAAGGAGGAGTCACTTAACCGTCTTTTCCAGGATACAAAACGTCTTGCAACCCTTTTCAAGCCAAACAAGGTCACATCTGATAAAACTTCGGTATCCACACGTGGACATATAAGCTTGGAAGAAACCCACGAGTTTTTGAAACCAGTTCATGATCAAGTCACCTTGATGGCATCGATGTTGATGGTCAGTCGTACTAAGTTGGTTAGAAATGTATCTGATGACTAGAACCGTTCTTGTCGTTATTATTCGTCTCACCATATTGTGAGAGATTTCCTAATTCCTCATATCTGTCAATTGGTTATACTTTTTGAAGCTATTGGCAAAGACTTTTTATCGTATTATCGCTTTTTGGCGCAACAACGCGATCGTTGTTGAAAAGTATTTTTTTGTTCAGGCAGAAACACTGAAGAAGACGAAAGTAGATAGTGTCATCATGAAAGGCATATTCGTTTTGTAAAGATCACGAGGCCAAAGAAAGGTCATCGGAGGATTAAACTTTCTAATGCGTTGACTTCGCAGTTAGTTCAACACGCGTTTGTTGGAACCACGAACCAGCTGGCTGTTCATTGCCACACCTGAACTTAAAGTGGCCTGACTTTGGAGTAACTCCCATTTAGGAATATGTGGAGGAAGCATTTTTCGTGCTTTGAACAGTTCTTTGAAACAAGTTGCAAAACTCTTTAATTTTCGTTAGATTGCGTTTTAATGGAAACAGCGATTACTGTTTACTTTTCAGTACAACGAACAGTGGAAAGTTATCCAACGGCTATATGAAACACAAGTGGACTTAAAAACATGGCTGTCCATTCCGAAGTGAAACGCATTTATAGTTGGAACAAGAAGTGCTAAACATATGTGAACCTCTACATAAAATGAAAAGTTCATTAATTGCTCCAAGGGACGGTTCTAATATGATGAACAATAATGAGACGCTTGTACTTTAGCTGCACGAAAGAAAGTGATATCAGGTGCAGTATATTTTCTTGTGCGGAGAGGAAATCTTTTGTTTTTTAAATCTTTTCTGCCTATTGAAATTTCTTGCAGAGCTTAAGAGATTCACCCAGAGTGGCCCTAACCGTGAACTTGTTATTCTTTGTCAAGGAAATGTCGGAATGGTTATTGACAAACAAGTATCAAGTGGACTTGAAAAAGCCCTTCTGCTACTTCTGATAATTCCATTTTGGAAACCTTTGGACCCAATATACCGAGGAAAGTCCCTTATAAATTTTTGACTTGGCAATAAACAACTATGGGTTTTGAACGTTTTCATTATTTGTGAGGTACGTAAACTTATCGTGTGTTAGAAACTTGGTTACATCTTATTTGTCTTTTTGGAAACAATAGTCTCCTCAAAGAACGTTTCTTGGTTGAATTTCAAGGCTAGTTCACATCGTAAAATGTTCTGAAGATATTTATGCTGGATGATCTGATTCATTCTCGGCTTCAGCGTTGGAAACTAAGTCGTGCCTTATAAGAATGATTTGGTAATTTTCTGGAGGAACTATTAGAAACTTTATTGAAAAAAGTTTTTTATTTTTTTCAAGTTGAGTGACGCTTTCAAGCCTTGGAATATCCTGTAGAGATTCTCAATTTCGTATTGCAGAAATACAACGCCATTTCTTAGATCGAGTTGTTGAGAGAACATGAGTAGTTTCTTCAATGTTTCCACTTTTCAAAACTAGCTTTTCTTGGTATCGCCTCATCAGATTTTGTTAAAAGAGTTATAAGTTTATTGTTATAAACCCAATAGAAGTCCAGTACACACCTTAGACGAAAGAATCGTCTCAAAGGGAACTACTTGTGAACAGTGGAAAATTATGAAACAAAGAAGCTCTGTCAAGGAAAAAGAAAATTCCTAAAACTCTTTTGCCCCCAATTCCAAGATTGCAGCTTTGAAAGAGACTAAAGGTTTTTAAAACAGACCTTCATCAACCAGACACCCAACGTGACTGGAGCATCAAAATATCAGTACCTAAACAAAACATTTCGACTTTTGTATCAAATACGAATTCGAGGTAGATTGCGTCTTCAACTGTATCAGGTTTGACGGAACCAATAGTTGAACAGATAAGAGATAGTAGATATATACTAAAATGACTTTTTTTGCTGTCTTCAAAGATGAAATGTGGTGAAGCTTGGGTGAATCATGCAGAGACAGCTTTGTCTTTCATATTATCGGAACAAGAAGCAAGTTTATAGCAGTGATTCTTGTTCAAAGTAACTAAACCTTTTCTTGTTGTGGTGAATCCTTTTAACCTTAAAGACATTGAAGATTATCTTAGTATTTCACTGTATGGACAAAAGTTGAAGGAAAAGTTATTGTCTTCTGACTTGTGTACTACTTGCGACTGAACGGTTATTACTCGTTAGTTTCTTCAAAATTTAACAATTGTAAGAGTAACCAGCCGTCTTTAGAAAAAGTTAAGATTGATAGACTTGTTTGCCCTCTTAGAACAACTTTTGGCTGAGATAAAGAAAGGTCCTATTTGGTTACTCTTCCATTACATAAACTATCGCAAATTTCTGAAAGAAAAAAAATGATGTCTGCCATATTCACTTTGTGGTGTATTCTTTTTCCATTGTTTAGTCCTCATGGCTTACCGAACTTGTCATCAACGCTCCGGTTGGTCATTCTTCGGAAAGTGTAAGTTTGGCTCTCAAATATGCCATAAAGTTCAATGCTTTGACATTGAATGGATAATATTGGACTCCCATACTTGCATGTATTTAGCTTTTCAGTACTATAATTCCAAACACCTTATTTTTCAGACAACATTATAAGCGCTCAGTAGAGCAGTGATATTATTCATTGCTTGAACATCGTCGAAATTGAATTGAATATCGAATAAATGAAACGTTTATTTCTTTGATATTGAAAATTTCCTTTGTTCTTATTCTCTCTATGATAGTTGGAAATGAGGACCCATTTCTCACCAAAACGGTTATTTTCCGCAGCAGAAGGAATTTGTTTTAAGACTCCCGTTTCACAAATGAGGTCCATGTCTATAATCAAGAATACCAAATGTAATGAAGAAAATCAAGTTGATGATTAGAAAAACTACAGTTTTGAGGACTGGTAACTTCTGGAAAATATTCAAAGAGGTAAGTTGTTTGAAAAGTAACTAGTTTGCGTTTTTGGAAGCTGAATGGATAGGCATCTGTCTGACGTGTTGAGTGTTCATTATGGAAGCGAGCGATCTCACTCAGTCGACTTGAGGAAGCAGTTACCTTCAAGGTAATGAAAATGGATGGATTGCACAAAGTGCGAATTTTGCTACGGAGCTCTTTCAATCCTATTATAAGCTGGACGTAGCTCAGATTCATTGTATCAGATTGGAAATAGTTGATTCAAATGTTATCTCGATCCCAGAGCCATTATTTACTAGCAGCAAATTCTTGAACTTGTCTAATCGAGTTGTTGCTGTTGTTATTTGATATTGAACTCTGAACAATATATTTGCCTCTCAAAAAAGAAACGGTTTACAATTGTTCAAAGTGCATTATGACTTTGCCAAATTCCTATGCAAGCGGTCGTTTAGCATTTATTCATCGATGTTTCGTATGGCTCAAGATAACTGTTCAACAAATTCAAAGATGCGAGCATTCATTACCAAACTTCTAGATGTTACGTTTGTGAGTTGTTAAAGATGAAAAGTCGATCAATGCTCCATAGCATAGTGAACAGGGCTCTAATCAATACTTAATCTTGCAATGACTTGCTTTTTCAAGAACTAGACTTACTATAATATCTTTGTAATTTCTAATCAAGCCATAATCTAAGAATATTTTTTATTCAAGAAAACATTTCATTCTGAAACCAAATATGTACAAACCTATCACGTTAGCAATACTTGATGTCTCTTTATTCTTCATTCGTTTCAAACGAAGAGTGACTCAATCTGTGTGTGTGCTTTAGCAACTTCAACTCAAGGAACGTCGAGGAAAGGTAAGAGAAACAAGAGTCAAAATAAATTGCAATATTCATCCGATCAACAGTCACATTTTCTAAACAAAAAGGAAGACTCAAGTGACTTGAAACTAGATTTGTTTATTTCAATTTATTAAGCATTTTCAATGTGCACTTGTCAATATAATACAACTAATCAATATAAAATTGAGCTTCTTTCTACGCGACTCTTGGTCCATTCAAATAAACACAACGTAACCTTCTTTGTTCCTGAAACTATCTCCAAAATCTATATTCACAGACATGCCAAGTTAGTATCCATATTAGAATTCTCGTTGGAAGTTGCATCATTCAGTATTTCTGAAGTATTTTCAGAACCGACCGAGTGTTGGTTCGAAAGGATTCTCCTTAACTCAGCCTCAAGTTTTTTTCTTTTCACTTTTTCCAATTCTAGTGTTTCTCGAAGCAACTCCAACTGCTCTTCAAGTTGAATATTATGCTCTCCAGACAGGCTATAAACTATCCAGTGAATAAGAGAACCAAGCCAGGACTGCAAAATAGAATGAAAACTATTCGTCTGCCTTTCTATCTCCGTCAAATCAACTTTCTCTCGTTTTTGGCGTTTGAAAATATCTTGTTGCGTTGGGTTTCTCGAAGAAGAACCAAAATATTCGTCTATGGTGTTATTTGAACCGCCTTGCGAAGAATATGACCTCGAAATTTCCGTGGAAATGCTGTGCTGCACCTTCTCTGGAGTATTGCTTACTGACGCACTCTTGGAGTCTTGCACCTTCTGTACTTTAGTTTCACTAACAGAACTCATGCTTTCTTCCTCCAGTTTGCTGCTCTGACGAATGTCCGGTATGTCTTGTTGAGACTTGTAGTTTTCGTCAAATCTCTTCAGCACGTCGAAAACTTTATAAAAGTCATTTTTTTGTTTTAAATCTTCCAATAAGTGGACCTTTCTTGTCTTCAGTTTTGCCAATTTCAACCTACAGCGCCTAACGTTGTACCCTATCCAAGACACATAGACTCTTCGAAAAAGATATATGAGTATAAGTGAAATTATGAACAGCAAGGAAGCCCTTCTGAACAATAAAACGCCAGAATAGGCAATAGTGAGAAACAACGAAGACGCGAAGAGACAAGAAACCAAAACTTGTCCTTTTGTACAGTTCCTTGACACTATCCCTAAGCTTTCCAAAATAGACTTGACTTGTAGTTCGACGTTTTGAATTTCGCTCTCGATGTGTTCTAGCTTTTCGATGTTACGGTCAGAAAAACGACGTCCATATAATACCGATTGCCACCAGTTTACCATATTTCTCAAGTTGTCTTACTGTTTCCAACAATGATAATCTGTAAAAGGGATTTTTGACTCCCAACGGCTACTAAGTTTCTTTTGGACTCGTACAAGGCGACGTCCAAGCATTATCTGCAGAACTCTTATATTCAATAATATGTGCATTTGTTTTGAGGGCTGATATGATGAAGCAAGTTCTTTTTTTATAACTAGTCAAACAATAGTTGAACCGAAAATATTATTTGCGATTATTCTTGGAATGATAGAGCCCATCTGAACAGTGACTGTTTGCCGTTCTCTGCAGAGACAAATTGTTTGAATATGTTTGTACTTTTAAAATAAAAGCCATTCATAAATAGAAAATTCCTATAGAATGAAGAGTGTGTTAGTTCCATCACAATCAAGAGATTTTGTCAAACTTACAAACAAGTGACTATCCTTCATGCTTCGATCATGAATCTAGAAAGAGTAACATCTTTGCTCTACATATTTATAACAGATAGGAAGAACAACTTTAGATCCTTCACTCTTTGTGACAATTTTCATTTTCATGACAGCCACTCTTTCTACTCGTTGTGGGAGAATTTGAATCTCGGCGTCGGTTACACGAAGATGTGTAATAGCAAGTACAGCGGGTTGCAAACTCAAGTGGAACAAGAAAAGAGAGATATACCTTCCTTGTTAGATCTAAAGAAGGCTATACCTTCTCACTGTTTCAAGCCATCTCTTGCAATTAGTCTGTATTATGTTTTCAAGGTTCTGGACTGGTTTAGCTTGTATGTCTTCTTACCAAACTATGGAATAGGATATTTTCTTGGTCATTTTGTTTCTTTTTATTGCCATTCTGTTTTATGATTCTCCTTTGTATTTTCTTATCTTGCCACTTTATTGGTTTGGTCAAGGAACAATGTTCTGGGCAATCTTTGTTTTGGGACACGACTGTGGACATGGCTCATTTTCTGCATATCCCGCTATCAATAACGTAGTTGGTCACCTGCTTCATTCTGCTATTCTAGTTCCGTTCCATCCTTGGAGAATTTCCCATAGAAAGCACCACAAGAACACAGGGAACTATGAAAAGGACGAAATCTTCTATCCTATGTCTGAAGATGAATATCGCAGTGTTCCTCGACTGTCACGTTGGGTCTATTCTAATACATTTTTCATGTTTTGTTTTGGTTTTCCAAGTAAGTAAATTTCAGAATGGCATAGCAACGACTGTTTTCCCAAGTTATCTTTCGCTGGAAGTTTCTGTTGATAGACAATTGAACCAGTTTTTTCGCTTAATGCCTTGTGAGTGAAATATTTTGAACTGACTTATCTTGGTTTTAGTTTATCTTATTCGTGGTTATGGTGGTAAAATGAAACACGCTTCGCATTTTTCTTCAAGTTCGGAATTGTTTAAGAAAGAAGAGCGCGAACTGGTGAAAACTTCAGTTTTCAGTATTCTGGCTGTGATAGGATTGTTGACTAGTGGCATCTTCCATTTTGGTTTTTGGAATATTGTTTGTTTCTATGGAATTCCCTACTTAGTATTTTGTTCATGGCTGTTGGTTGTTACGTTTTTACATCACACTGCACCTGGCGCACAGTGGTATGATCAATCTTCTTGGTCTTATGTACTTGGAAATTTGCAGTGCGTGAATCGTGTCTATGGATGGATAGAGCCTATTCATCATAACATCGGTTGTCACACTGTCCATCACTTGTTTCCAGCAATTCCCCACTATAGGTTGAGAGAAGCAGATTTGGCTTTGGCACCTATACTGGGTAGTTATCGGAAGGAAGATAACTGCAGTACAATTTCTTCGCTATGGAAGTCATTTCGAATTTGGTCTCGAAATCACGTCATTCCTGACAATACCAAAGTTTTTGTCTTACCTGCAGAGTAATAGATAAGTTTTGATAGAATTTTGGACAAGGTTTTGGTCAAGAGTGTATGTTGTGTTAAGTTAGAATAGAAAAAGAGAATATTGGATTGTTTTCTCAAGTTTTTTTTACTTCTTTCTTAATGAAAGATTGAAGTATAAATGGAATTTTGGTTTGAAAACTTGTGAAATGCTGTTCGAATAAGGAATCTTCAGTATGCCCAACTATCATGTTTCAAATAGATAGTTCGCCCAAAATAGGAACTATAACTTGGATTAACAGACTAAGTTTCTCGTCTCTCTTCAATAAGAACCATTTCTGCTGCTAGACAATTCGAAAAGACGAAGTCATCTTCTATTTGAACTAAATATAGAAAACGATTCCTGTTTCGTGAAGACTTCGTTATTCAAGTTACTAAAATATGCAATTATCCCGGTTTCATTCCACTTGAAGACATCATAGCAACATAATTATAAGATGAATTCAATAAATATATCCAGAGGAACGCGTCATAACGTATAAGTCAATATTTTAGAACACGAGCTATTACGAACATACAAAGTATGGTATTCTACTGTCCCATTTCTTTCCCTATTCGGAACAACAACAACGTAGAAAAAGTTTTGAAACTTACAACTCCTCCATATATTGTCAATTAGTCTTCATAAATACTTCGCTCTCGTTCATAGAGACAAATAAAAGTATAAGGCTCTCCACGATTATTGTTGTTTGTTCCAACTTTCTGGAACAAGTAACTTGAATAAATGCCTTCGAGCTCCTCTTCTACCAAGAAGTGAAAAGGAGTCTGGTCGATCATCAATATCCAGAGTCTTTTTCAAGAAATGAGAAGGTTGCTTTCGTCGTTGCTTCCAAAACTTGAATAAAACTAAACCAAATACTAGAAAGCAAAATAAAGCGACTAGGTAAAAAAAAGTCTGAAGCCACCATCTCCAAGTCCACTGCTTTCCAAAGTTGACCAAGTTTTCCCTTCCCGTTGCTGTCGCACTTTCGAGCCAATTGAAAACTTTCTCCTTTCCACTTTCTTTACTTCTATGTGATTCACAGAGGGAGGCCCATCCTTCTATCAACTCACGATATGTTTCGGTCCAACAAACCAAAGAACAAGCAATCCACAGTTCTTTTTTGTACAGAAAAATTCTTTGCAACTCTCGAAAACAAGCTTCCGAACACTTTCCAGTGACATAAAAGTTACGACAATCTAAACTTTCGATAACAGCCTCAACTAAAGATGCAGTTGAATAAGTTAAAGGATGAACTACGTGTCAATCTCTTACCCGTCTCTCGAAGATCGTGGCAACTACCGCCTTCTTCACACTGTTCTAAATCTACAGCATAACTAGTAAAGAACAACGAGAAAAGAAGACAAAAGAACAGCGCTAAAAAAAGCCTTGTGAACATGATTTCTTCAACTTGAAAAATCCTTTAATATGGACTTGTCCCACAAATGACTTAAAGTTTACTATGATTAGAAGATGCCGCATTCAAAGAGTACACACCAGGAGGTACTGAAGCATTCTTTGGAGTCCTAAAGGTACCTAGTTTGGAGGCTGGCCAGGCAGGAGGTGGCTCTTTTCCTGGCACGCATTGATAACGGGAAAAGTCCTCTATTCCTCGTTCTCTCATAAAAACTTCATCAATGACTGCATGACCACTGAAGCGTCCACCAGGCTCATTCACCATCATAAGCACACAGTCTGCGAGGATTGAAGCCTAAAAAAGTAAAAAAACAGAATACAAGTGGCAACTATCGATTGATTACCTTCCTCCACATCCATCTCTCTCCGAGATGAAAATTCATAGTGGCAAAACTTTCTATCATTGTCTTAGGCCATAGTGCATTGGATGAAATATTAAATTCTCGAACTTCCTATCAGATATGGTAAGTTGTGAAACATATACTATAGGCCCAAACTAACTTCAGCAAGGCCCATGGCTAAAATAGTCATTCCATATTTGCTCATGAGATATCCCACTTTGCCTTCCATATGTTCCAAGTCTATTGGTGGAGACATAGTAATAATATGACCTGAACGTTGTTTGATCATGTGCGGCAAAACTGCTCGTACACAGGCGAAAGAACCTCTCGCGTTGACACCCTGTACAAGGTCGTATCTTTTCATAGGAGTATCCACAACGTTCTTCCACCACAGAGCCTCTACAAGTATCAAAGTCCGGTCAAAAGCTTTCTCAATAAGCACTTACTCCACTATTTGCAATAAGAATGTCAATTGAGCCAAAAGCTTGTACAGTCTTATCCACCATATTTTCTACAGCTACTTCTTCTCGAACATCAACTTGACAAGGAAGAGCTTTCACACCACATGCTTCTACTTCCTTTGCAACGCTATAAATAGTGCCAGGAAGGCTGGGAGTATCTTGAATACTTTTTGCAGCAACAACAACATTTGCACCAGCTTCAGCAAACGCTAGTGCTATCTACCTTGCTTTTTAGCTTTGCCAATCTCTAAAATGGACTAAAATACCTCTCTTCCTATTCCCCTACTCGCTCCTGTTACTATTGCGGTCTTTCCACTTAGGCACTTTTGTTTGCGCAGCGTATCAGGTAAGAAATTGCTCATACCTCTTGCAGAAAAACCAAGTCCTTCCAAAATTCTATGGGACAGACATTTCTCTGTCAATTTGCGAAAATTTCCAATTTATCTAAGTGAAATAAGAGTATTCTCCAAACTAAAATAACCGTCTTCAACTTAATGGAGGAGGTGGCGGGGGAGGAAGTTCATCGTCTTCAGGTGGTGGTGGCGGTGGTGGTGGAGGGGAAAGTGCTCCTGTTTGAAAAGCAGGAGAACTTGAAGAGACTTTCGAGTTCATAACGGATGTAGAAACAACGGTGTGGTCCGTTGATGTTATAACTTGACCATTTTCTCCGAAAGTTACTTGCGGGTATGTAACGTTACCATTAGCATCACGATAGCCATAATGTATTCTCCAAGGAGGAATTTTATGTGTTGAACTCATCATTCCTTGAGACCCTCCCATTCCAGACTCTCCAAAAGCATGCGACGCAGAGCCTTGTGCATCACTTGATGGTGCACCACCTAGTTCTTCCAGAAATGATTGATATTCTGCATCGAGATCATTACCATCTTTATATTTCTTAGGGCAATCAACAGTGGGATGGCTAGAGTCACCACATATGCGACAACTTATGGAATTGGAAAAAAAGCTACCGGGTCCACGCAGTAACTCATCTTTCCGAAAACTATCTCGATCACGTAAAGTTCCATTCAAAGCTGCAAGTTCTCGAAGTTGTGCTTGTTTGTGTTCATTCTTCTCGTCATCCATTACTGTTACTAAATCTTGTATTCTTTGCAAACACTTTTTCACTCTATCTTTTGCGTCCATGCCCTCCGAGGTAACCACAACATGAAGATCATCGTTATCATCTGGTGCTGGAACCCTATTTCTTCCATCCTTCACAGAACCCTTTCCCCGAATGGCTATTCGGCAGTTGAAGTCCTTTTCAAGACGTTTATGAGTATTGCCACGGGGTCCTAGGATAAGGCCAATGAAGTTAACGTTGGGATACTCGTTGACTGGAAGGTACATCTTCTCAGAAACTCTTAAGGGTCTTATTCCAGGAGGTGGCTGAAAATAGGGGTCTAGTTGCTTTAATCTTTCACAAATACGTAAGCGTTCTTCTTCCAACTTGTCTCTAGCTCTATCTGCTTTAGTGTTGACTCTACGGCCCTTGGCGTCGTAAATTGGTTCTGGTGAAGGTGAGCGACATAACTCTTCCACAGGAATGTTTCCACTGTTGATTAAGCGTGTTAGTGCGTCAAGCTTTGTTCTAAGCTCACGAACTTCGTTCTCCTTTGCGTCGATGCTCTCCCAGCGAGTTCGGCGCCTCCTTCTTCTTTCTCGCTCCTTCTCATCAGTAGTGGCTATGTCTTGGGAGGTACTTTTTGACAACTCTTCCTGCTTATTATTCGGAGCAGTTTCGTTTTCTACTACTTGATGCTTGGCAGAAGATACTGTATCTGTCATGGGCAGCAACAAAATCTATCAAATTTATTTGGAAATCAACACAAACAAATACTCACTCTACTACAACTGTCCACCTGGCATAGGGAACTTTTTTGAGAACTCTACCACTTCCTTCCTTAATTTTTCTACTTCCTAAAGTAGAGAGTAAAAATCTGGTAAACACGTAACACTTAAAAATACTGACCTCATGTCCATTCAAGGCCATGTTGAAATCCTTAATGTTCTTTCCCGATTTTTGCTGAATGGCGAGAGCAAGTTTCACAGCTCGATCCAAAAAGTCGGCAACTTGCATAAAGTCATTCTCCTTGAAACCTCTTGAAGTAAGAGCTGGAGTTCCAATACGAACACCGCCAGGTACCAGAGCTGATGTATCTCCATGCACAGCATTCTTATTTAGAGTTATATGCGCAGCATCACAAATTTTTTCCATCTTGGAACCCTTTGTACATAAAACAGTTCATTCAAGCTCATATTACCAAAAAAATTCTACTCACAGTAAGATTCACTGGACGCAAGTCCCATAAGACTAAATGATTATCGGTTCCACCAGTAGCCAACTTATATCCTCTTTTTTCAAGTTCGGCTGCCAATGCACGTGCATTGGCTTGAACCTACGAATCTTTCAAACTCTTGCTCTAACAAAAAACTTGACTTCTTACTTGAAACGCGTATTTTTTGAACTCTGGCGACATAGCCTCCTTTAGAGCGACACCAACTGCAGCAATAGTGTGATTGTGAGGACCTCCTTGACAACCAGGGAAAACAGCCTAGCCAGTCTAAACAAAACTTCGAGATAAATAAACAAATAACCAACCATGTTGATCTTGGACTCAAAGTCATATTCTTCACCGGATGATTGACCTTGTACGTCCTTCTTGGGACCACGACGGAAGAAGATGAGACCTGCTCTAGGCCCTACCATATGTTTGTAGGCTATTATTGAAAAATAAATACAAACATGCTAACCTCTCAAAGACTTGTGAGTGGTCGTGGTAACAATGTCACAGTACTCGAAAGGACTCCGAACTGCGCCTGCACAAACCAGACCAGAGGTATGAGCCATATCACATAAAAGATAGGCTCCACATTTGTCGGCTAAGGTTAAACAATTCAACTTCATGAAAGAAAACAAAATCCGACCAACATACCTATTGAACGCAAACGCTTATAATCCCAGTCTCTTGGATAGGCACTCGCTCCACAGAGAATAAGTTTAGGTCTATAGGTCAGTGCAATTTCTTCCAACTTGTCATATTCAATAAGACCTGTTTCTGGATGCACCTTATAGGGAAAGGATTCGAAATATATAGAAGTGGCTGATATCTTTTTTTTAGCTGTGTAATACCCATGAGTCAAGTGTCCACCAGAAGGCAAATCAAGACCCATTATTCTATCATGAACTTGGAGGATCTGCGAGAAGTTGTAAGATTCAACAAAACTGCCTCAAAAACCGTTTACCTACCCCAGTATAGGCAGCAAAGTTGGCAGTAGAGCCACTGTATGGCTGTACATTCACTCCCCATTGATCAGCCGAAAGCCCGAAAGCTTCCAGAGCCCTTTTCTGAACCAAAATTTCCACTTTATCAATTATTTCGTTTCCTCCATAATATCGGTTTCCTGGAAGGCCTTCCGAATATTTGTTGGTAAGACAGGAACCGTTGGCTTCCATAACTGCTCTTGAAGTAAAGTTTTCTGAGGCTATAAGCTCCAAGCCAGTGAACTGTCTCTCTTTTTCCTTTTCGACAAGTGAGTACATTTCTGGGTCTACTGAAGAGAGCGGTTTATTCCCGCTGAATCCTTCAAATTCCGGAGTATAGTAACCGTTTGCATAACACTCCGACATGGTTTTTTTGTTAGTGGTTGCCACAGACAGAAACTGATACGGCCAAGACAATCTCCACAAATGAAGAAAAGTAGAGTGGAACGAAATGTCCAAATTCAATTTCTATTTTGCAAACGCCATTTTGAGAGTTGATCTGACAAAATATGCTACGAGAACTTTACAATAAAATTGCACTTGTTTTCTTCCAACTTGCAAGTTCCGTTTCTGTCCCATTCGAAACTCTGAACACCAGTTGTCTCTTGAACCATATGAAACTGCTGGAGACACAATGTAAAAAAGAAACTCCGTGGAAGCTTTATTTTTGGTTCCGAGAAACTCAAAATATTTCAAGTATGGCATAATGAGTATCTCTCTATTCTGTTCGATATCCAAGAAAAATCAGGTTATCCTTGTCTCACTGTCCGTCCCAGTGTCCAACTATTAACTACAATTCCACTCACCAGAAAAAATAGACTTGTACACGTCAGGTCAAATGCATTTTGTGGCCCAATCCATATCGAAGCATCGAATAAAAATTGCTGTGGGAAAAAAACAATTTTTGTGGCACAACTCCTTAAGCAGTATTTTGTTCCAACTATTGCATTGGAAAAGTCTGTTGAAGCGAATGAAGCCGAGGTTGCGACTTTTAAGAGTTTCTTCTACTAGACTGGTTGCTACTTTTTTGTTTTTATTGCTGTGTTCCTTGTTCCTTTTGCTCCAGTTGCTATACAAGAGATCAACTATAAGTATGAAAACAGACTGGAAACCTGAAACAGACCCAATCATATTGGAACTTCTCCAGAAAGCAGCTAATAAGACTTCGCCTTCAGAAGATGAGTTGTTTCAGGATATTTTGGTGTTGCCTAGAGAAGATCCTCGATGGGAAGAAATAAATAAGATTCACAAGAGTCCTTATTGGGACAAGTCTGTGGTAAGTCAGACTTGGGGAGGGAAGACCAAAGTTTGGTGTCCACCTGCCCATAACAATTGTGTTGCAGACGAGTTCCGTTCAGTTATATGGTGGATTGACTTCACAAATGAAAGACTGGCTAACGAAGCAGGCGAGTTTGAGAAAGTTATTTTAAAAGAACACTACACGGAATCCCACGAACAAAATCTTGTATTATATGAGGCTACAGATTACAACTATAATAGTAACTGGACTATGGCCTTACCTACAACTTATGCAGCTTCTCCCATTTTGAGAGCTACAAGACCTGAACTGAGCCTTGCTTTCTTTATTCAAGTTAGTGAGAGCAATCTGCACATGTTTCCACGCATGTTTAACAAAATTTATCACGATAAGAATGTTTATGCCATTCACTTCGATAAGCATGTTTCTGAGCAAGATATGGAAGAAGCACTAAAAAATATTGGTTTTAAGCAATCCAACAATGTAATTTTATTACCTCGTGAAAAAGTGTCCTATTGGGGAATATCAATGGTAAGTGAAGAAAAGATATCTGTTCATCGTGATGACTCAATGAGGATTAGCTTCTGAATACTATTTCTGCCATAACTGAATTATTAGATAAGAGCTCTCATTGGGATTATTTCATCAATTTATCAGCTGCTGATTATCCATTGATTACTCCATCCAAACTGAGACAACTTTTCGCTCAAGCTGCTGGAGAACCAGAATATAATTTTATTCAAGTACTTGGTGCGAATGCTGCTAGGGATCACGACTATCGAGTGAAGCAAATTCATTTCGATCCTGCTTTATTTGATGCGGAGGGAAATGATCTATATACGATATCGGACAGAAGTCATCCTTATGCACGACAAGACAATATGAACATCCAAAAGGGAGAAGCCTGGATGATCTTGTCTCGTTCCTTTTGTAGATATGTTACAAGAGAAATGGATCCAAAACGTTATTTGATTCGCTTTGCAACTGCTTCTGCGTCCGATGAATTGTATTTTCAAACAGTATTTTGGAACTCTCCTTATCGTCCTACCATAGTCAATCGAATTTTTAGAGCTATATTCTGGTTTCATCCCTTAAATGGAACTTCGGGTGCAAGACCATATAACTTAGATCAAGCTTCTTTATTTTATGACTATATTCGATGTACTGGGGCATTGTTTGCTAGAAAATTTATGGATACCAATAGCGAAACCTTAGCTATAATTGACCGTGAACTTCTTAATGAAAGCAGTGATATAAGTCAGCAATATTATGATGAAATATCGAGACAATTCCTGTATGTTACAGCCGATACGCGAAAACGAATGAACAAATTGAGATGGAAGGACCCTTTTTACAATCAATATCATTCTTAGTTATTTCTTTTGATTGTGAAGGTTACTTCAATGTGATACATAGTTATTGTTCAAGTTCCGAAGCCGAGTAGTTTCCATTAACCAGACTAGAGGATGTTTCTGAAGGTAATGGACTGTGAACTTGTTTCTCAACTCGAAGCAATAAGATACGGCGGTCATCTGTTTGCATAATTGTAAAGAGGTAATTGCCAAGGTGCAAAGTTTCACCAACATCTGGAATCCGTCCAATCATGTGACATATCACTCCGGAAATGGTTTCGAATTGGTCCAATTCGGGATCATGACTTAAGGATAAACCTTCCAATACTTTACATAAATGTTCCATATTTGTATTTCCTTTGATTGAATACACTCCTTCGCTGACTTGACAAATATACTCCGTGTTCTCATCTACATCATCCTCATCATATATTTCTCCAACAATCTAAGTATAAAGTGTCAAAAGAACAAGTTAAACAATGGTTATTTACATACCTCCTCAACAATATCTTCCAATGTGACCAATCCAGCAGTTCCGCCATATTCATCTACAACGATAGCCATATGTTGTCGTTTCTTTTTCATTTGCTCCAAAACGTTCCAAACAGGCATCGACTCTGGTACAAAAAAGACAGGCTCCATTAGCTCTCGCACTATTACCGTTTCAAGTTGTTCAGGTTCGTTCAAAAACTGTAAAAGGGACTTGAAGTATACAATTCCAGTTATCTTGTCAATGGAATCTTCATATACAGGTGTTCGGGAATAATGATGATCTTTTTCCAACCTCAACAAGTCCTAAATTAAAGGTGAGTTACCCATCTCAATATCCAATTCTAATAACCTTTAACGAGGCTTCCGCACTTATTGAAACCATTTCCACTCGAGGACACATAATTTCGCAAACTTTCGTCTCCTCTAAATCTAAGACACCTTCAATCATATCTTGTTCATATCTTTCAATACTTCCTGAACGACCTGCACCAGCAGCAATCAACCTCAATTCCTCCTCAGATACAGCGGTAGTATCTTCCACTGTAATACGAAATACTCTTAATATGGTTTTGGCAAACACTGCAAATAGTTTTCCAACTGGATAAAGCATGAGCGAAAGAAATGATACTATTGGCAAAGTAGCTCTCAGCACTAGAACAGGATTGGACACTGCAAGTGACTTTGGCAGAATCTCCCCAAAGAATAAGAAGAAAACTGTCATCAAGGCACTTGTATAGCCAAATGCCATATCTCCAAATAATTTGGTTGCTGCTTCTGTAGTAAAAGCAGTCACAAATACCATCACGGTCGTTGATGCTACCAGAATAGTGGTCAAAAATCTAGTAATGTCTTTTTCCAATATCTGAAAAGGTGAGTTGTATCCACTAGATTCTGCGAGCTCCTTCAGTTTCCAAGGCCACAAAGTTGTTGCAGCAGTTTCAGCAGCAGCTAATAAGGAGCCCAATAGAAACAAAAGTATGCTTAAAATACTCATAATCTTCCATCTTGAAGAAAAAGAACTTGGATCGATAAAGGCCAGCTGGGGTCCTGTCAAACTCTGTATTGGCAAGCAAAGAACACAAAACAAGTTTGAAAAGGCTCTAAAATGAGTGGTTAATATTTGATATTTAAAACGCTGCCGGAAATAGACGACGATTTTGGTCAATACACAACTTTCCTTTCTAGAATAGATTGTCGCTCGAGGGAGTTGGCACATTTTGCAAAGAGCGGTAACTATGCAGAATTTGAGGTTCAACAAAGTATAAAATGAAGTAGTTCTAAAATATATACAACCTCTAGGCCACGAAGTATTCCACCATAAATATCTTCTTGTTAGTCTTCCAAGTGGGTGCTTATTCCCTAAACTCCAAGCAACAGTCCAAGCAGGAGAATCACAAAAGCGCTCAGTAGAAAGTTTTGAGAAACATGGAAAGAAAAAAGATTTGTAAAAACTAACTGGTTGGAAGCCATATATAGCTGCAACCGAATACAAGTGCGTCATCCAAAACTAGCAACTAATTTCAGTGATCATTCAAATGCGATGCAAATCCAAGTGGTTTCTGATCATCAATCATGAAATAACCAAAAGACAGAGGAAAAATGCAGTATATCAGAGAATAGTTGTCGAGGAGTTTTAAGTGTTATTTCGAGATTGTCCAAGACTAACTAATATTCCTTGTTTCCAAAGCTCCAGAATAATTTTCTCTTTGAGACAATACGAAGCAAATTTCCAAATTCCCACCCGGGAATAACAACTTTTTGAACAAATGGGTTTTGTTCCAGCTATCGTTGTCGGTAGCGACACTCCAAGAAAACAAAAGTCAGAGACTTCTGGTATTAGTAAGAAAAGAGCCATCAATCGTATCAAACAGGGTCCTAGACAAAAAGTGGGAGACGTTGAGGACCTGTTGACATATTTGTATCAAAAGGACAAAAGAAACAAATGGGTAACCGACGAGAAAGAGATTTCTAGATTTCAGCACACTCTTCTTGAGTGGTACAAGAAAAATAGACGCCAGTTACCTTGGAGACAAACTCTTATGGAAGGTCAGCCCAATCCTTACCATATCTGGGTATCGGAGACTATGCTTCAACAGACAAGAGTCACAAATGTGATAGGATACTATAAAAAGTGGTTGCAAACCTTTCCAGATATTCCATCCTTAGCTGCAAGCTCTCTCGAAAGAGTTAATGAGATCTGGGCTGGTTTGGGATATTATCGAAGAGCAAAGTTACTGCATGAAGGTGCACAGACTATTATGTCACGCTTTGATGGAAAAGTTCCAGAAGATATCAAAGTACTTCAAAGCATTCCTGGAATAGGTCCATATACATCTGCAGCTATTGCATCTATTGCGTTTAATAAGCCTTATGCTGTCTGCGATGGAAATGTCTTTCGAGTTCTATCTCGTCTGTTTTCTATAGACTTGGATATCTCTTCAACTGACAATCAATCTCTTTTTAGAAGTTTAGCACAATTTTTGATGTTCAAAGAAATGGCAGCCGATTATAATCAAGCTATGATGGAATTAGGAGCTACCGTCTGTACGCCTAAGAGTTTTGATTGTAATCATTGTCCTGTTCAGCGGTGGTGCAACAGTTTCCAAATTGCCAATGAGCATCAAGTACCTTTGAGTGACATTGTTTGTCAGTTTCCAGTAAAGTCAAGTAGAGTTAAGCAGAACGAGGAGGAGCTACTGGTTTACTTGATTAAGTTTGCAAATCACTTTCTAATGCTCAAAAATATTTCTAGAAACCTATTGGGAAACTTGTGGCATTTTCCTTATGTAATTTGGAAGCGTAATGGAAATACAATGACAGAAGAGGAGAAAATACAGCATGAATGTTGTTTGGTTGGAGTATTGCATTCTTGTGGTTATCCACTGAACGATACAAATGGCTTGCCAAAGTTGCTTCATGAGTCTGCCATTCCAATAGGGCAAGTGGAGCATTTATTTACACATATTAAGCAAATCATTCATGTAAAGTTTGTTTGCGTGTCCTCGGAAACCAAATTAGTTATCGAAAGTAGCTCACGTAGAATAGGAGGAGTTGGACCAAACGATGATTCTATCGAGTACAGATGGTTGACAGAAGAGCAGATGGAAAAGAGTGCTATTTCACGTCAAATGATGAAAGTCATGGAACTGTATCAAAAACAGAAGAAACAAAAAGTTATTCATTCGTTCTTCTGTTAAATATCTTTTATATGCTTTATTCCACAAGTTTTCAGTCTGTGGGATGTATTGAATCGCGAACTTATTATTTGGCCTTGAAGATTTCGAGTTGTCGCCGTCATTCTTAAAATGTTTTCTTAGCATTTCAGTATTTTTCAACTTGAGAATTTTTCTTATGACTGCGAGACGAATTGACCAGTCGTATTTTGACCGGTAACAAACAATAAGTCTACTTTGTAGTGTGTGTGATCCTGCTGTTGCAATAGTCGTCTTTTTTTTGCGACCAGTAGGCGAGTTGTTGGCTGCCCTCTAGTCTTCAGGACAGGGAAGACTAGGTATCCTTTTACAATAGTCTCTATGTAAAATACGGGGATGTTAGAAAGCTTTCTTGCGATTGAGGTGTTAACTTGCAAAATCAAATATTCACTTTAAAGGGGTATTGATTGTTTCAAGGTTAGTACACTACTCCCGTCAAGCTGACTTGAAAGGAGGAAACAAACTATTGGTACATTAACTGTTTATGGTACTTTTTGTATCGATAAACATATGAATGATATCCAGTACTGGGCTCTGATCAATACAACTTGAATTTTATTCTTAGTTGTGGGTAAAGTTCTGAAAGTTGAATAGGTTCTCTTCTCGTCCTCAAAGCAAGTCCCGTATATTTCTCTTCTTGTTTGATAAAAGTGTTTAAGGGGTAAAAGTAAATAGAAATTTTTGTTTTAAAAGTTTCTTTTTTGTGTTTTTTAAAGCTCAGGTGTAAATCAAAACGTTATAATTCATAACAGCTAAACCTTATTGAGTATCTATTTCTATCTAAATTTCGAAAAGAAATTTGTGAAAAGCTCGTGCGCGCTCGTGAAGGCGCTGAAATCAGATCGTACTGAATAGAAAAAATGTTTGTGCCAAAAGCGCCTCCTTTTAGAATTTTAGCGAACGGTGGATTTTTTCTATGCATCTTCCAAAAAAATTTAGCTCGACCATTCTTCTCCATCAATCAATTAACGATGCGCAATGCTTTGGCCGCAGTGCGGTTGTCAGAAGAGGTACTTTGGAAAGCAAGCAGTTAGCTTCAATGCAGAGGCAGTTGGAGGAGTTGAGTGAAACTTTGCAGTTTCCTTCTTTGGGAGACACCGAAGTGCTGTTAGCGAATCCTTCTCTGGTTGGTAGCTTGGTTAGTGACGAATGTCACTCGAAACCAGGTACTTCGCCGTGTCGGCGAGAAGACTTTTTTGACCTTAGGAAGGAGGATAGTGTTAAAAACTATTCTCGAAAGCATTTTGAAGACCACGCAGGAAACAAGCAAGATAGAATTATTCCGAAAGAAGTTTGTTCTTTACCTTCTGCGTTGGACTCATTAAACGAGATTCTGACAGAGAAACTATGGAGCAGAAACGTAATACTGTTTCTTGATTATGATGGTACACTTGCACCTATAGTAGATGACCCAGACAGAGCTTTCCTTCCTGAAGAAACGAAGACTGCCTTGCTGAAGCTAACAGAATTGGGCATACCAGTTGCAATAGTTTCAGGACGAGCGAGGAGAAAAATACAAAATTTTGTTAATATTGATACTTTATATTATGCTGGCAGCCATGGTTTCGACATTTGTGGTCCTAATGGTTACATTGTACCTCATCAGGTAGCAGGCGACACTTTACCTGTGCTTGGTGAAGCGGCCGAAATAATAAAGGAACAAATAGTTCAAAAATATCCTGGCGCATCAATGGAGGATAACATTCTTTCGAAAACTCTTCATTATCGACGCTGTTCACCCAACATCATTCCTGAGCTTGAAAAGAAACTAGATAATATACTTGACTGTTTTCCTCAACTGCAGAAGACGTATGGAAAGTGTGTGTTTGAAATTCGACCAAAATTTGACTGGGATAAAGGAAAGGCAGTTGAGTGGCTGCTGTCAGCACTAGCAATGAATAGCCCAGATGTAGTTCCCATCTATATTGGAGATGATAGAACGGATGAAGATGCATTTCAGGTCGTTGTTAAGAAAGGAGTGGCAATTATTGTAGCAGATGAGTCAGAATATGCCACTTTTGCCAATTTTCGACTGAAAGACCCCAGTGAGGTTCGAAAGTTTTTGTTTCAGTTTTGGATTTCAAAAGTACAGACAGTTGCAAGCAAAATGAGTTGTGGAAAGTCTCTCAGTAACTGTCAGTCATGTTAGTTGGGTACAAATGCATGGGTTAGTGTTAGGATTTGTTCATTCTTGCCTCGTGTGAATTTAATATTGCAGAGCAAATGCTCTCTGCGAAACTTCCATGTTCAAAGCTATGTTTGGTTATTTGAACATGGACAGTTTTCATTAAACTAATCTTTTAGTTTTACTCTTTTTCCATTCATGAAAAGTTTTCTACTTTTCTCAATTCGTCTGCGCACTCTTCTTTCTAAATCTACTGAAGAAAAGCCCTGTCTTTGTAATTTTTTTAGTAAACAACTCATACGAATTCCATTTGAAACGACAAGTTTCTTGATGGCTTTCTTCAAACCAACTTTCTTCTGAGAAAAGCTTTTCGCCTGTTTTTTATCGGAACCTCTCTGGTTGTCTGTTTTCAACGCCTTCACTTTGTCAGTTCCATTGGTTCCTTGATGATAGTTGGTTATAAAAGTCTCTTGAATAGCATTACTCTCCTTCTCACCACTGACACTATTCAAGCCAGTAGTTGCATTATCGTCTGCCAATCGTCTCTTTGTTGCCGATATGTGGCGCTTACTTTGATAGTGTTGTTCCCCTTGAAGTGCACTATTAAAAGAAATGTTACAAGTTTTGCAATAAAGGTTTGAGTCTCCTTCTAAGCGTTGTAAGAGTTCTTTAGATACTTGCTGCTTTTCATATTTCTCCTTTTCTGTAATACAAGTTATGTGGGATGTAGCACTCTAAAACACCAGATTAGTCTTGCACCTTTATCTAGTTGAGCAAACCCATCTTACAGCTCGATCAAAAGTCGTTCCACAGTCCACACAAGAGACTGAGCGTGTTCTACAAATAAAAAAATGTTTTTCTAGTTTGGGTTTTTTTACAACTTCTTGGCACTGGTCACAACAAAAACTCACCATAGGAACGCCGTCGAAGATTAGTACCGACTAATGACACGACTAGAACAACCGAAACCAATTTAACTTTACAAATATACTCGGACAAGTTTTCTCTCAACTCTTTTTTATTCTTTATTGTAGCCAAAAATATAGATGAGAATAGTTCAACCTCTCTATGCACCATATTCTGTTATGTAGAGCTACTTTAAAAGGACTAGTTAACACCCTTCAATATAAACCCTTTTTGCGAAGCAGTCAGTAGTTTCAACAGTGAATAATGAGCAATGTAAAAACTCCAATACAACTATTTGTGGATTCACAGACTTTTGTTTCTTTTGATTAGCAGCCGAAATATTTATTCAAAACAACTCTTTTTCATCATCAACTAAACAAGCTGGACCACGAGTGTGGTGGATATCATCCTCCTCAGGTTCCACTTGGCCACCCCGTTGTTGTTACTTCTTTTTCATCTCATCCGTTGTGTTGATGGCTTTTGTTTCAAGTTGTGCAAACATTTCTACTAGTCACAAAATACAAAGAGAACAAAGAGCAATATGTGGTGCACATCGTTATTTACGTAGTTCCAACTCTTTTATTCCTTTTCAGGTTTGTCTTTGTGTATTTTGAGTTGGGTGGCTTTTTATATTCCGAGGAAATAGGTTGTTTCCAGTGAATATTTTTCTCCAAAGTGTTATGGAGTTCGAATGGCAGCTCCAGCCTCATCAAAGCGTGAAGTGCCGTTGAATATCTTTCGTCCTAATAAACCTTTTGAAGCCACTTGTTTGTCAAACGAGCTGATCGTTGATAAGGATGCTCCCGGAGAAACTTGGCATATGGTTTTTAATACGGATGGTTTGTATATAGTTTGTGATAGGAATCATCTTTTATCTCTATTCTTTTTTAGGTGCTCTACGTTATATAGAGGGACAGTCGATAGGAGTTATTCCACCTGGTTCAGACGACAAGGGCAAACCTCATAAAGTGAGGTTATATTCCATCGCTTCTACTAGTCATGGGGATCATAAAGATGATAAGACGTTGTCCTTGTGTGTTAAGAGACTTGTATACACAGATCCTTCAACAGGAGAAGAAAGAAGAGGTGTTTGTTCCAATTACTTGTGTGACTTGAAAGCCAACGACAAAGTCAATATATCAGGCCCTGTTGGCACAGTTATGTTAATGCCAGAAGATCAAAAGGCCAATATCATCATGTTAGCAACAGGGACAGGGATTGCTCCTTTCCGAGCTTTTCTGTTGAGAGCGTTTATGGAAAATAATCCAGATTATCGTTTTGAAGGTAAAATGTGGCTGTTCTTTGGGGTTCCTACCACCTCCTCTCTCTTATATTATGACGAGCTTGAGAAGATGGCCAAGGAAAATCCCAATCATTTGAAGATTGACTATGCGATATCTCGAGAACAAAAGGATGCCAATGGAAAGAAGATGTATATTCAGAATCGTATGGCAGAGTATAAAGAGGAATTGTATGAACTGTTTCATCAACCGAATACTTACATTTATATGTGTGGTTTGAAGGGAATGGAAAGTGGTTTAGATGAAGTAATGGGTCCAGTGTTTGAAGAACGTGGACAGGATTGGCAAGAGTTTAGAAAGCAGTTGAAGAAGGAAAAACATCTCCTGATAGAAACTTATTAATATCATTTAGTGAACGAGTCTTTATGTTTGTTTGTGTCTTTTGAGGGATGAAGTTGAACACTAAGTGGATGGGGTTCAGTAGTGCGGCTTATAAAACAGCGTTTTCTTATGAGCATTTTTGCCTTTATATACTCCAAAATCTTTCATTATTGCCCAATATTAGTGGGATTCTTTTGGAAATCCAATATAGTCTAATACTTCGGCAGGAAGATTGGCTACTCTTGGTATTCATGTACATATATTCTCATTGAGCTTCTGAACTTATTCGGTCGAGCTGTACTTTCCTGGCACAAGACGAAAGCGCTTTTACTGCTTCTGCACAACGTAAAGGATCACTTAAATTCTCTCGATAACATTCAATACAAGCCTTTCTTTCTGATTCACATAAAATGGTCTTCATTTTGGGACGAAAATAGGATCTTTGCAGATCCTGAACGAGTGCTTGAACAAGAGCAGTCTCTCGTTCTTCCCTTTGTCTAGATTTTCGTTGCTGTCTCTCTCGAAATCTTTCCAATAGTTGTCTTCTCTTGTTTCTCTCTTCCTCTCGAACAGCTTCTACTAACTGTCTATCTCGATCACTTTCAACTACAACACGGGATTCCTCCTTGCCATCTTCTGGAGCTGAAGTCAATTTGCGCAACAAATTTTCTGAAACCTAAAAGAACCATATTCAAAAAGTATTTGAATAGTTATCCTTACAACTCACTCTTAGAGAAAAGCCCTCAACCACTTCGTCCTCCATTTGGATAATCGATTCTCTCTACACATGTTGACTTGGAGATGCTTTCATTCAAGTAAATATTTTGGCAATATTTATATTCTCCAAATCAATAACTTGAAAAGAATTCAACATAAAAACTATCTATGCAACGCAGCAAAAGATAATAGAAAGCTGGCTTTGGTGTCTGGCAGAAGAATTTTGGATCAGTACAACAACTTGAAAAGGCAATATCCAGGATTTCTCTTATTTCTTCGAATCGGAGACTTTTATGAAACGTAATTCTACAGTTGACTTGTTGAATTTGCTTTCTAATTGTTATAGGTTTCTGGAGGATGCTAGAACTGCTTCTCAACTGTTGGGTATAGCTTTGGCAAGAGCACACGGATACAAAACCAAAGGACAAGAACTTCCCATGGCAGGTGTTCCTTTTTGGGCCTTTGATAGGTAATGCTTTTTAGGCAAACTTTTTGTGTGAGTGACTTACTGTTTATAGTTATCTTCAACGCTTAGTAAAGGCAGGTATTCGAGTAGCAATAGCTGATCAAGTTTTTGATGGAAAGGACAAGTCTTCCAGGAAAGTAACCGGGAGAGCTATTTCAAGATTAGTTACTCCAGGAACGCTTACTGAAGAAGATTTGTTGCAACCGAGCGAAAATAACTTTCTTGCTTGTGTAATATTTGAAACAGGAACTCTTTCCAATTGGATTGGACTTTGTTGGTTGGATATTTCTACTGGAAACTTTCAATGTGCGTTGGAAACGAGTCATTCTATTCAGGAAGCCATTCATTCCATCTCACCAAGTGAAATATTGGTTTTAGAGAATCATTATGAGATTCTTCAAAGAACTCTTCCAAATATCGATAATCGCTGCACCGTTTCGCCTATTTCTTTTCGAAATACTTACTTGGAAAACCATAGCGACTGGAAACAAGTAGTATTTTCCATGGAGGAAACTTTATCTTCCTTTCAAGACAAGAAGAAAAAGTTGTTATCTAGTTTGGATATATCTTCCATTAGTGAATTGGAAAAGGAAGCCTGTGGTTTATTGTTACTTTATGTAGAACGAACACTGGCAGGTGAACTTCCATTTCTTTCTTCCATTTGCAAAAGTCCAGTTTCCACATTTATGCGAATGGATATGGCAACCAGAAAAGTATTGGAAATATCTCGACGAATGAATTCTTCAGACGATAGTCAAAGAGGAAGTTTACTTGCTGCCATCAGGAAGACACAAACAACTCCCGGAGCAAGATTGTTAGCAATGAGAGTGAACGCACCACTGACCTGTAAGAAAAGCATAGAAGAAAGATTGGATGCTGTAGAGTTGTTATGCAGACATCCTCATCTTCTTGAAAGACTAAGAAAAGTACTCAAAAATTGTCCCGAATTTGAAAGGCCACTACAACGTTTGTTTATGAAGAGAGGAAGTCCCAGAGACTTGCTTGACTTGGGAGTAACCTTTCAACAAGTTTCAGATATAAAAAAACTGTTGGATGAAATAGAGCTTCCTGATTACTTGCAATATTTATTAAGAAAGTTTCAGAATCATGAAAAACTGAAGCTTCTGTTGGATTCTTGTATATCAGAAAATGCTCCTAAAAGTTTTTCTAGTCATTCAGCTACATGGAAACGTACTCAGCTTTTTGGAGAGGGCTATATAGTTACTGGATATCATTCTGAACTGGATAGTCTTCGTGGTAGAAAAGACGAACTATTGCGTAGTCTCAAAGAGTTGGAAATTGAATACCAGAAATGGACTTCAACAGACTCTTTGAAGATCAACTTTAATAGTAATTTAGGTTTTGTGGTGGAATGTACAAATACTATCGATTGGAATCTGTTTGATGAAAAAATATTCCACAGACTGCCACCTTCTCAACGAACAGGTATCAATGCATATCGATTTCGCACGGATAAAGTTAATGAAATACAAAATAAGCTCAACATGATTACCGATCAAATTCAAGAGTTGGAAGATTCCATTTTTGATAAGGTTACTGAACAAGTCACTCAGCATGCCCATGATATAAGAGAGATGTTAGGAGCATTGGCCGAACTCGATGTGAGTTGTGCTTTAGCTGCCTTGGCTTTGGAAAGGAACTTTTGTCGACCTTTATTTGTAGAACCTGAAAATGCCAACATATTCCATGTAAAGGATGGAAGACATGCGACTTTGGAACATCGACAATTGGATAGACGAACTGATGAAACATTTTCCATGATTCCAAATGATTGTTTTTTAGACAAACATAACGGTTTGTTGTGGATCATTACTGGCCCTAATATGGCTGGTAAAAGTACCTTTTTAAGACAAAATGCACTTATTGCCATATTAGCTCAAATAGGAAGTTTTGTTCCAGCTTCGAATGTTAAAATGTCCATCGTAGATCGCATATTTTGTCGAGTGGGCGCTTCAGATGATATTTATGGAGGACAATCTACTTTTATGTTGGAAATGAATGAAACTGCCAATATTCTAAAGCATGCCACTAAGAATTCTTTGGTTATCATGGATGAAGTGGGTAGAGGAACCAGGTAAGTTGAGATTGATGCTGTCTGTTACATCTTAGGAAAGCATTTTAGTATGCTGGAAGGACTAGCTATAGCACAGTCCATTGTTGAATATCTACATGACCATATTGGTTGTAGAACTCTTTTTGCCACACATTTACACGAACTAGCTTCATTGAGAGAAAAGCTTACATCTGTTGCTTGTTACTATTCCGAAGCATTTCTTTTAAAGGAAACGGAGTCGCTTTGTTTTACTTACAAGGTGCTGAAAGGTTCAATGCAATGTTCTTATGCGAGTAAAGTTGCAGAGTTAGCTGACATGCCTACTCCAGTAGTAAGGAGGACCAATGAACTATTGAAAGGATGGAAAACCAATGCGCTATCTGAACAGCATATGGATTTGTTTCGAATGTGGATAGAAAAACTGAAGAATATCGATCTGGATGCTCTATCGCCTCGTGAAGCTACAAACTTGTTAATGCAATGGAAAGGGCAATTACAACAATGTGAAGAAGAAGATGGTCCAACTCGATATGATGATGATGATGATGATTAGAGGGAAGTTTGCATTTGGTGGTTGGGATCCACTAAAACCTCCACCAACATCGTTCTTTGGCAGTCATAAGACAAACTGTTCTATTCAAAGAAAATATTGCTGTAACAATCAGAAAGATAGTAAAGTTCGGTTTATAGTCTGCTGTTGTGACACCGAAGAAAACGCCAACCAGCAGATAACGGAAAAGGTTTCCAATTTGTACAACCACTTTCCTTATCCACCTGAACCTGTTCGGGACCTAGAACCTTTAGGATATAACTGGAGATGGCATTATCCTACAGCATTTGCGTTTTGTTCGGGAAGAATGCCGACAGCTCCAAATATTAGGATATTGGACGCTGGTTGTGGAACGGGTTGTAGTACAGAATATTTGGTTCACTTGAATCAGGGTGCAGAAGTAATTGGAATAGATATTAGTGAGAAAGCGTTGGCAGTTGCAGCTGAGCGACTATCAAAAAGTTTGCCACACTCTAAGAATCGATATCGGTTTATACAGAAAAGTTTGTTTGATTTGGATGACAGCATGGGGACGTTTGACTTGATCAACTGTGTCGGTGTTATTCACCATACTGCGGATCCTGTTATGGCGTTGAAAAAGTTGGCTTTGAGACTAAAACCTAATGGAATCCTTCATCTATTTGTCTATGGAAAACATGGAAGATGGGAAATTAGTTTGATGCAACAAGCTATAAGATTATTATTAGGTCAGGGAAATGAAAACTGGAAAGAAGGAGTACTCATTGGACGCAAGTTGTTTTCTGTTCTTCCCGAAGGAAACCGAATCCGAAAGAGGGAAGAGGAAAGATGGTCGAGAGATAATCAACAAGATGCAACCTTTGCAGATATGTATGTACATCCTCAAGAAGTGGATTTTACTATCGACTCTCTATTCCAGTTGATAGACAGTGTCAACTTGCAGTTCCTTGGCTTTACTAATCCTGAGATTTTTGATATTTGGAGGCTTGTTGGGAAACAAGAGGAATTATTGGTATCAAAGATATCCTGTTTGAGTGAAAGAGAAAGATACAAATTAGTAGACCTTTTGGATCCTGATAATATGACTCATTTTGAAATGTTCTTGGCCAGGAAGAGTTTCACAAAATGTAATTGGACCCAGCGTTTATTAGGAACTGCCAAAATACAAATCTCTAGTTGTCTTCAAGGCTGGCCATCACAACATCTTTTGGATAAGGATTATCGACCTATAACGCTTACTATGTCCGAATATCATTTCATGCAAACTGCTTGGAAATGGTATCAAGAGAATGGCCATCGTCCAACAGTAAATGATGTATTGGAACACATCTACTTGCAACAAGAGGATATATTATCACTTGTTGATAGAGTTTTGATTCTTTTGGAGCCACAAGATGACAACATATCTTAGACGAATTATTCGTTGTGTTTCCAAAATAAACAATTTTATTTACTTGTCCAAAAAAAATCTTCATTTTTGCTTCAAAGGTCGTTTTACATAGCATTGACTCGCTCTAATCACATAGGATTCCTTCAAGAGTTTCATTTCTATCTTTCTTCAGCTGTTCTTGTAGTCGAACAAGATTCTCATGAATAACCCTTTCATTCATACTAACCAAGTCTGTTAGCTTTCCATTTAAACTAGATATTCTTTCCTTCAATCTACGCTCTTCATCAGAAATTCCAGTCGAAGATGAAGTGGTACAAGAGTCCACGCTCTCCGTTCGAGAGCGAATTTCAACATGATTTTCTTCATTCTGCTCTTCCAATGTAGTCCACAAAGTGCAATGAAAATGACCACAAGTAATATCAATCGTTCCGGGAATCGAAAAAAATAGTTTACGTGGAGTACAACAACTTGATTTGGATCCATCTCCTAATTGTCCGTATGAGTTGTTTCCAAACACATAAATATCATTATCCTTCGATAAAGCAACAGTAAAATTGTGTCCACAGAAAACTTTCAGTATAAAAACTCCTACAAGAGATTCCACCAAAAATGGCATATCGCAATCATTATAGTCGCCATGCCCACATTGACCTTCTGCACCACAGCCCCATGTAAAAAGAGATCCAGTGTTAGTCACCGCAGCTGAATGTCTATCACCAGCTGCAACAAAAGTTACCATCATTCCAGCAAGGCTCGTTAACAACACTGGAGAAGAATAAATCTCGTTATACCGACCAATGCCTAACTGACCAAATTCATTGCTTCCCCATGTATAAACATCACCACTTTCTGTTCTAACCAAACAATGCCTATCGCCGCATGCTAGCTGGGAAATTGCCAGATTAGCATCGTCAAAAATTACTTTTTTGGGTCCATAACTATCTTCTAAACTACCTTGACCAAGTTGTCCGTGTTCGCCCCAACCCCAAGTATATAAGCCATCGTCTGTAATAGCCGCAGTGATATGATAGCCGCAAAAAATTTTGTGAGCACGTGGTAAATGTGTTATTCGACAAGGTATTGTCCGAGTCTGTTCATCATTATGACCTAATCTACCATTTTTTCCACCACCCCAAGTGAAGACTGTACCGTTCACATCGAGAGCGGCTGAGTGATATCTACCACAAGCTACAGCAATCAGTTTGTTGGAGAGACTCGATATATCTCTACTTGCATCCAAAGGAGAGTCGACCTTTGTTCCGTTTCCTAACTGTCCATATTGATTATATCCAAAACTATGTAAGCAACCGTCCTCTAACAATACAAGAGTGTGACCACCACCACAAGCCACCTAAACAAGTCATACAGATATCGATAGCAAAGACAATAATGAATACCTGTTGGATGGCGCAGTTTTCAAACACTTTAATGAGTTCTGGTTGACAACTATCGTCTCTTGTTCCCCTTCTACCCAGACGGTAGTTTTTGGCTCTACCCCAAGTGTACAAGGCGGAAGACGCTCTGTACTCTTTTCTAAGCATGATGGATGGAGAGAAATACCTTTAAGAAATAAGAGTCGAAGAAGGAAAAGCTTTCGACAGTCTTCTAGTGATAACTCAACTCATATTCCATGAGTACCTTTCGTAACAAGCGCATTTGATGTTTGCAGGAAGAGGCGATGACTAAGTAGTAATCCACATCTTCTCGCAACGTGGCAAAAAGTCTCGCGTGTCCAACATGAAAAGTGGCGCCAAATTTGGCAATTTTTCTCTTCGATGGACAAAAATGATTCCAATTGGTTTCAAACAGAGCATTTGTAAAGCACATTGAGAGCCACTTTAGAACCTTCTTGTGTTGCATAAATATTCACAAGAGAATCCTTGTGTTGTGGAAAATATAAAAACATTAGATAATAACAATTATCTTTTCTTTCCAAAAATTATCGACTATATCAACGACATGAGTACTACTCTCAACTTGATGCTTTCAATTATATGACTGGAATATCTCAATTCATAGAAATTATTTATCTTCTCTTACAACAAGTAGCTTTGATAAGATTTCTAGTGTAACTCTTTCGCCATTTTCTTCATGAGATACGATTCATTCGTCGATAGAGTTCAAGGATGCGATAGATAATAGATTTTGCTCAAATTATACAGTGACTTCTATGAAACATATAGACTTGCAGTAAAACAAATATCACGACGAATGCTTTCGTTAGCTCTCTCCAGTTTCTGATAAAGTGAGGGGTTTCCGATGACTCGTGTCACGTTCTTGAGTTCCTTTAACAACTCTGCCAATCGATTAATATTTCGAACAATGGATCCTTCGGGAACGTCGGTGATACTACAAATGTCAGAGAATGACCTTCCTTGAGCCCACCATAACACAACTTGCATGAGCGCATTTTGAAGATTTTGTCGCAAATATTCGGGAGGAGAAACAGGTAAACCACATTCTGCTTGCAAATTTCCAATAGCCAGAGCTATCTTCCTCACACGCTCTACAGCTTCTTCTAAAGTTGGGGTCAAATCAAACTCTGAGACTTGAGAAGATCCTTGAAAGACAAATATGGATAGAAGACTTGCGCACTCTGCAGCATCCAATCTGTCGAGTACATTCTCAAATACTACTTGAACAACCAATAGAGAATCACACGAGTTGATCTCACATGCAGCTCTACCTTTCAATTGTACTATATTCTCCTCATTGACAAACCTACACAAAAATGAGACAAGGCATACAACTAGAAAAACTTTGCTTACTCTAGTTTACGAAGAACTTGTGTACGAAGAGTGTAATCCGGCATCAATTGCAAACTCTCATCACTCATAATCCATTGAAGAACACTCAGTTTCTCTGACAATCGATGATACTTGTCTAACAATTGTAAAGCGGAAAGAAAAAGGTTACTTTTGGAAACATTACTTTGTCTCCATTTGGCAATGAATGTCTCTCTTTGTTCCCAACAATTCTCTACTTCAAAATCATGAACATTCATGTGCTTTTTAGGAATCAATCTCGACGTCACAGTTATTTTACGGAGGAAATCAATGGCACGATTCAGTTCACTAGAGTTTACTCCGCCTCTCAAAGGTAAAAATACTGCGGAATGAGTATTTTGCAGACGTTCAGATGTAGGAGCAATAATCTGAAACAAATCTATTCTCTTTAGAACCCAATCATATTCACCTACTTTCCCTTTTTCGATCCAATCGTTGGTTACTTGGAACCTTTCATTATCAATGGGATCTAAAAGATATAGTACTGAGATGACAATCCTTTTATCGGATTGTAGTTGGATTCTCGTATCTTGTATTTTAGACAGCTTTTCTGGTCCCTTTATGATAAGTGCGTTACAGGTCCCAAATGAATCATTCAGAATCTCAACAACTCTTCCAGGACTAAGAAATTGATTAGCTATCATCGGAATATTCCATAATCTATCTACAAAATATTCGTTCCACTTTCGAATTTCACAATATAACAAATAATACTCTTGAAAGTCATCAAACGTCAATCCAAGGGAAGGATCTTGCAATTCTCTATGCAACTGTTGATCCCATTCTTCTAGTTTTCTTCGACCACTTTTAAGTAATCTGAGCATTACATTCAAGTCCATATTAGATGCGGCTTCACCAAAAGAACGACGAATCATGTCTTCCACCTTCAGATCTTCCACTCTTAGCAGATTCAATATCATATTATATGTGAGACGAAAACGAGAACTCAATCGAATGGGTGGTCCAGTCAAAATATACTTTAAAGTTGCTGCATCAGGAATATCTTCTGAAAGATAGATCAACACATTTCCAACTGCATCCAAACCTCTTCTTCCAGCTCTTCCAGCCATTTGAATGTATTCACCCTATTCATAACATAAGAATAAGAAGCACAAGTGAAGCATATCTTACCGGTTCTACAAATCGGAAAGAACGACCATCATGTTTTCTCAAAGAAGAAAAGACAACAGTACGTGCAGGCATATTCACTCCCATAGCAAATGTTTCTGTAGCAAATAATATGCGAACCAAACCTTTCTGGAATAATATTTCTACACATTCTTTCATGATTGGCAATATACCTGCATGATGTACTGCAATTCCTCTCTTTAACATCTCTTTTAGTCTCTCGATTTGGGGTAACTGACGATCTTCCCTTTTTAGTCTTGCTATCGAATGTTCGACAAACTGATGAATGTTAGATTTCTCACTTGCTCCTTCAGTAAAATCTACAGCTTGCAAAGAGTCAGCAGCCTCCTCACATCTTCTTTTTGAGAAACAAAATACCACAGTAGGAGTCAGCTGTTGCTTTCTCAAAAAGTTGGTCAACTTTGTCCAGGAACCCTTTTTACCTCCAAAAGAGCCTCCTAAACGATTTGCTTTCTCTTCTTTCACTATTTGTGATATCCTTCTGTAAGATTCTTCCAAGAAACGTCCTTTGGCATCGACCAATGTAATCATGTCGCCTTTCCAAAATGCTGAATGTTGTAAAGGAACTGGTCGATATTGAGTACTAATAACGAAAACTTTGCTTTGTCTGGTTCGACCAACCCATTTCGCAAAATCCAAAGCATTAGGAACAGTTGCACTCAGCATAATAATCTTAATTCTCGGTGGAAGCATAATGATTACTTCTTCCCATACAACACCTCTTTCTTCATCATTGATATAATGAACTTCATCAAACACAACAAATTCTATGTCGCGAACAACATCTGCTCCTTTGTACAACATAGACCTAAGTATCTCTGTGGTTACTATTAAACAAGATCCTTGTGGATGAATGGAAATATCTCCCGTTATAATACCAACATCGGAAAATTTATCTTGAAAGTCTCGATACTTTTGATTCGACAACGTCTTAATAGGTGAGGTATATATACATTTGGTTTGATGTTGCATAGCTAAAGCAATGGCATATTCAGCTACCACCGTTTTACCAGCTGAAGTATGTGCAGTGACAAACACATTTTCTTCGCGTTCTAAATGAAGAATAGCTCGTTTCTGAAAGTCGTCCAACTCGAATGGAAACTCCAAAGCAAGATTGGGCACTGATTTCCAAAACTCCGATACGCTTTCATTATCTACAATAGCCCATTCTTCTTCTGTCACGAATCTCGAACGTTTCCTTTCTAAAATCAAAGATTGAAAATCGTTTTGTTGGCTCTGTAAGATTCGATCCACCTGTTCATGAAGACTGTCGTATGTTAGTCTCTTTTCTTCGATAATTTGAACGCCTTCCGAGTCTCCTTTTGTATCCAATGGCTCCTCCGAAATATTATTTGAAATTCGAACATTGTCCCCATATTTATCTACTTGATTCTCTTCAAAAGTTGTTTCATCTTTACCAATTCCTAATAACTTAAAGTCTTCCTCAGTCAGAGAAAAGACATTCCAGGCCGCTGCAGTATCTTGTTTTAAAGCAGCTTGTACAGGAGCTCCACTAGACTCGTCACCAATCACATAATAATCTCCACTTTCTGAAGCATACCGCGCTCTAGCAATCTCCAGTTGTCGTATTGTTTCCTCATCAGGAGTGTATCTTTCCAATAGTCCGTTACTGGAATTAGCTAGCTGACTTTCACTTTCTAACAATTTCACATCACACCACTGAAGAAGATTTTCATTCCATCCAGTAGATTCCACGTGGTTTGTCAAACTAGTGTGTTCTGCGACAGTCCATAATTCTTCCGCAAATCTTTGCCAATACTGTTGTTGTAGCTCTTGTTCCCACCGGGTTTTTTCGTTCAATAAGCAAGAAAATGGTTTCTTTTGTGTTGAACCTCTGTGATATTCATCACTTGGTTTTCGAAGAAACGAAGAGGACACATCTGCTTCTTCCCACTCTTCTTGTTGGCTTTCAAGAAGGTAAGAAACATCTTGTGAAAAGGGAAAGGTCGCAAGGGAGTAAGGTCTATTTATAGGTGCAGCAGTTAATTCACCCAATCTTATCGTATCCAACTCAACAATATCATATTTTTCTTTTGGTAACAACGAAAGTAAAGTTTCCACAACAATAAGATTCGTTTCCATCCAGTGGGAGAATGACTAACAATCCTATTTTTAATGATTTTTATATTCCATCCGTCTCCAACTTTCTTTATTCTTCAACAACAACGACAACAATGAGTGCTTGGCGTGTATCAAGATTGTACTTATAATGTTGCATCATATTCATTTCTATTACATTCACAATTATGCATCATATATTTGTATGTGCCTCTCCATTTATCCATGACCAGAATGTCCCTATACCAAGTCAAGTCTCTCTTGAGTGCATCTGATTCGAGAAACTGTCACTTCTTTCGACAGCAAGTCCTCTTCTTGCACGCAACCATTTGGAAGTCCTCATTTCTCCAGGAGCAACACTGGAAGACCTTGAACCTCGAATCCACGCAACTGAAAAGGGACTTGCTGGAAGACCAGAACCTGCAGGAGCTGACGTTCCAAGTTCCAATCCCAACGAAGGAGCTGTTGGTGGCGGCGGTGGGGCACGTTGACTCAATTCAACATCCATATTGAGAGAGTCCAATGAGGCTTCAAGATTAAACTCGCCTCTGCATTCTCCTGATGACTGCACACCAAGAGATTCTGCTTTATCATCTGTCGATTCGGAATGATCAGCGGAACCTGTTCCTTGTTCATCATTAGCATCATCATCCAATGCACTCGTGGTGCTGGTTTCGGCAGTTGTACCAAATTCGTCGTCGTCCATAAAAGTTCCAGCAACCCACTCTTCACTTGTGTTTTGCAATGAATTGTTCTTTACCCAAGTGCTTGTCGCTTGTTTAGAATGTTCCTCAAAAGAACAAGATTCCAGTTTCCCTCCCTCAATTGACACTTCTTCTTCTGTTTGCTCATCCATAGAATGATAATTGGTTTGACTAACTCTACTTTGTTCATTGTCGTCACCGCTCTGAGAGAAGGACTCTTTTCAAAGGTTCACAAAACAATTCTTTTCAGTAAACAAAAACTCACCTTCACGACTATCTAAAAACTGCGGATTCGGAGCAGATGAACTCAAAGTTCCTTGTATCATCATTGTGGAGGAAGAAATTCGAGCTCGATGTCCCAATAATTTTCGTTGCTCAAGTCTTCCAGAGGGTTCCCAAGGTTCATTATTCAGAAGAGGTTCCAACTTGATGAAAGGATGTTGAAGAGCTTCAAGAGGAGTCCACCGTTCATCTGGATCAACCTAAACAAAGGTTACAAGCTATATCTGAAACATGCAATAGTGAATACCTTTAAGAGACCATGAAGGAAATCTACAAAACTTCGACGCAAGTCAATCTCCCTTTGGGACGGTGGATTGGTTCTCCATATAGGATAACTCATAATAATATCCTTCAATTTTTTTTGTTGAAAATATCGTTTCCATACAACACGTTCCCCCGTTTCCATTTCATACTGTTCCACACTTTTCAATTGATATTTCTTCCCACCCAAACCAGCCATGAAATCTAAAAAAGCCTCTCATATCAACTCTTTCCATCTAAAACAAAGCCTACCCCTTCTGACAGTGAAAAACCTACCACGATTCCTAGACCTCTCAACTAGGTGATCTGGAGGAACATCTAACATTTCTGAAATACGACAAATCATATTAAACACACTAGAGCCCGGAAATAACGGAAGGCCCAAAAAAAGTTCACCTAAAATGCTTATCAACTGGAAACCCAACAAATAATTGCAACAAAAACCTTACCCGCAATGCACCCCAAACTCCACATATCAATGGCACTGTTGTACGAAGCACCCAAAAGAACTTCAATCGAACGATAGAATCGTGATTGCACATATGTGTAGACGACATGATTTTCCTGTATTGGAAGATTTTTAAAAAAAATTTCAAACATGGACTTGAAATACCTGACAACCGGAACCAAAGTCAATGATCTTCAAATCGACACTCCCTCGTTTGGTCAAGAGAATGTTTTCAGGTTTAAGGTCACAATGAATGATGGATGAATCAGAAAGGACAACAAGAGTCTGCAAAATTTGTACCAAAAAGACACGTACAAGTTCAAGTCCTGCAAAACAATTGGACAAAATATTCTCTCAACAAGAGATAAAAACCTACCGAGTCCTCTAAAGTTATTCAATTTGATAAGCTCGTATAGATTAATACTAAGACTTTCAAAGACAAGACATAGATGATTTCTATACACAAAATATCGTAGAAGCTTTACAATATGTTGCACTTCCTATAAAAGTAAAATATCAGTCCTGAACTTTGTAAATAGTACGAATATGGCTCACTTCAGGTGGATGTGTCTTGTGCAACATATCCAATATGTATACTTCCATCCATGCTTGACGATAATATGCTGGTTGGTTCTTAATAACTTTCACCGCAACCAACTCTCCAGTTCTTTCATTGAAACACTTGAAAACCTAAAAGTAACTCAGGTGAATTGTGCAAATATTGAGTATTTTGAAGATTGATACCTGGCCAAAAGTACCTGCACCAAACAGATCTACAACAATATAACGTTCACCTGAAGGTGTTTCCAGAATATCGTTAACATAAACAATAAGATCATTGTCTCTGTTATCAAAGCCAAAGTTGTAAACGCCACGGTTTGGACTGTGGAAGCAGTCAGTCGAACAATTCACACAACCACAAAACAAACGTACTGTGTTAAGCATCTTCTGGGACGGTTTCTATTATCGTATCTAAAGTTCGAACAAACTCTTTGATAGGTGTCCAACAAGACCACTGTAACACGAAGCAGCAACTAACAACAGAAGCTATGAGTGAGAAACTTCACTAGTCAAACAACTTACTCTTGGGGGAGAAGACGACCGAGAACTTTCGAGAGACTCAAAGCCGCCTGAAGCAGAGGAAGAGCCTGTTGTGTCCGACTCTGAACGCGACTGCAAGTCAAAATCTGTTTGAGGTAACTGATAAGGACGAAAGGCTGAATTACACGAAGGCAACTGCACTTGAGAGGTTCTTAAAGGTTCCAACGACATACTCGACACTCTTCTGTGAGCCTGAAAGTGTACAGGCAGGAGTTCACTAGCTGCCGAGCCAAAGTCTTCACTAGTCAAGGCACTTTCTGAACAACTTCCACGTTGGCCCTTCTCAAGTCTGTCGCCCATACTCGCTGTTAAACTGATTCTCAAAAGTACCAAAAAACGAAGTTATCTTTTCTCTAAAGCTTTACAGAGTGATCAACCTTTTGCGTTGAACAGTCTAAATACATCGAAAGTTTCACACCAACAGTTTTACAAAAGGGAGGTGAAACGTTCCACTTTTGATCTCTTCTGGTTGCTGTTTATCAGAACAACAACTCTTCACTAGAAATAATAATATATTTGTTTTAATCTACAATATTCGGCTACTAGTCAACAGAAACACAGTTGTGGAAAATTGACAAGAGACGCCCTTTAACAGCGACAGACCGCCAACAAAATTACACGTAGAAATCTGAGCCATTCGTTTTCCTTCTTCCAGCCAATATGATAAGGCCTTGTAGCTATTGGATAAGTAAGTATAAATGACTGAAGCAAGATACTAAGACTCAAAATCCTTCTCCTTTGTAACCTATGTTTTATTGTTCCATAAAATCGTTCAAAAGCCATAAACCTTTAATATGACTAGTTCCCGAAGTCTCCTTAAGCGATTGAATAGCATAAAAATGAAAGCCTTTCATATGCCATTTCATCTGTTCGAATGTCTTTGCCTCTTCCACGAGACGATGGTCTTCGGCTATTTTGGCCAAACGATAATGCGAATTGATGCCACATTCAAGAACCAACTCAAGTTCTTCTTCACGAAACTTGATAAAGGAAACTTCCGCTCCTGCTGTCCAACTGGCAAGAGAGTCGGCACGTTCGGAATATACAATGATACCCGGCAACTCTTTTTCTAATAAAATACTATCACCTGTATTGAATATATCACAATATGGAATAGTGTCCGAACTTTGCAACTCATAAAGAAAGGAATAATCTGCTGTACAAAACGCAAATTTCTCTCCTCTCAATGCATCAGGAAGACGTTCAGTACTATACAAGTAACTGGTGGATAACGTGTTCTCCGAGCGATAACCAGGCATCTTCGAATAAATATTCGCTTCTCGATCCCTAAGCACATGATACAACCGATAAGTACGCCTACTCGGTTTGACTTCAAATCCCAAGTCTTTCAAAGCCAAGGATATCATATTAAACATCGGCATTCTTGAAAATTTAACTACTTTAGGTTTCACCGTTACTTGTTCCAAAAGCCTCTCCACTCTCTTTCTTAACTCTGCAGAATTGATCATATCATTCGGAACACTTTCTACGTGACAAAGAAGAAAGCTTTCATCCACAACGATGAGTTCCCATATTCGTTTATTATCCTTTCCATAAACGGGTCTTGAATAAAAATCCAACTCCCAAACTGTGCTTGGTTGTTCTATTTCTCTTGCTTCTGAAGCTTGTTGTTGTGAAGAAGGCGAACAACAACGAGTTTTCAGAGGGGATACCATAACATCGTTGAAAACTGTATGGAAATGTTGCCTCCTCCTAAAGAAACTCGAAAAACAAATATTTGTATTTACATCAAACAAGTTTCTGTTGTTGTAATGTCTAGAACTGTATCTGTGTAACACAACCAAGTGAGAAAGAGTTTGAAAGGCTGCATGAGAAGTACAATACCACCACATTGTAAGTTTTGGGATCGTAATGAACAACGACGTTCCATTTACTTGTAAAGCTTAAAAAGGGATTGTTTAGGTCTTGTAGCTGTGGACAATGACCGACTCTATTGGAAACGCAAACCTTATTGTAGGTACAAAGAGAACACAAGAAGCTTTGCAAACGGAAAGGGACATCAAAGTTGCTTCAAACACAAAACAAGCAGCCACTACAGAAAACATGAAAGAGTCCCCAAACAAGATGAGAACGAAGAACAACTCATTTAGAGGTAAGCCTAGTGTCTCGCCGATTTGCTTTCTTGACAAGTCACCTCAACAGGAAGTAGTTTATCAAATGGTAAGGAACCCAACTCGAACGATGCTTCAAATAAGCGCAACTACAAGTCTCGAAACGTTCCTAATATTACTCCAAAAGCAACCAATATTTCCACTGCAAGTACTCCAAGAAAAAGCTTTTTCAATTCCCAGATTGAAGCAATCATGTTTGCTTTTGGTGAGAGTCGTTATGTTCCTCGTGATATTTTGGAGTTGATGGAAGAAACTGTGCGCCAATTCATCCTATTTCTTATTGGACGTCTTTTGAAAAGAACAGATACAGAAGGAAGTCGACAAGAAATCCATTTGAAGCTTTCTGATGTTATTGGTCTGATTCAAAAGGACCGTCGCCTTACTCGTAGAACTTGTGCATTTGTAAAATCAGTTGGTGTTCCAGTTGATGACAAATATAACTCTAAGCATTACTCAGGGGATAATTATTCAGTCATTCGCAATCTTTTGGCTCCTTCATCGGAAACAATGCCAAAAATGGATTCAAAATCTTCTCATAGAACTCCTGAAATACATTGGAAGGATTGTGAATCATTAAATGAGACAACAGAAGTAAGTACTCTTAGAATAACGACTTTATAGACTGGTCTTAAAGTGGTTGAAGAATGGCAAGCCTACTTGTCACAATAATGATCATAGTCATAAGACAGAGACAAGTCGTCTACATGCTTCTTCTGGGAGTTCAGAAGTAACTAGGAAATCAAGTGACTTCATTGAACAGCAGTTGCTCTTAAATAACATTGATATTATGAATATTTTAGTTAACAAGGCTGCAGCTTCTTTAAGTCAAGTATTCTCGCAGGCAATGTATCATGAATATTCTTTCTGCAGGAAAGTTGCCATTACAGCAAGTCCTTCACAACAAAGGAATTCAATCGTGGTAAGCTGCTTTGAATAACTTTCTATCGCATAATAATTATATTGCCAGGATCAAACTGGTCACTTTTTACAGTGGTTAGGAACCGCAGAAAATGGAATTCATTTGGATAATGCTGTTGTTCATGCATTGGGATATCTTTCATGGGAAGCAATTGGTCTCATAACTCAAACAAGTTTGGTTCTTCGATATATGTCACAAAGTATATTTTCTTCCAAAACAAAAGGATTGGAGAATAGACACATGAGCTCTCTGGATCCTCGACGTTTATATTGTTGTACTGCGCAACAGTTCATCCTTGCATTACGTCACGTAAGTTGTTATAGCTACCTTAAGCTGCATTCGAATCATTCTGTTTCATTAGGGTTTAGGAACATGGCTTGTTTTGCCACTAAATGACGAAGAACTTCGTGGTATTGCAAAGGAACTTGAGAGGAAAAGTAGTTTGGGAGATCGTTCAACATTTGATATCAGTAGTTGGCATATTCGAACAGTTAGTCAGTTACAGGTATTTCAATTGTTGGATACTCTGAGGTTTTTGCGTGATATTCGGCGCAATGGAACTTATTCGAGTGTACTTGTCAATCTTTTTGGCGATTCATTATTGGGAAGATAATAATGGGAGTTTAGATATTTGTCATCTCTCACATTGGTTGCCTTATAGATAATGTTATGCGAACTTAATGGAACTCATTTTAGGAGAAATAGTAGCAAGAATGTAGAAACTCGGAGTTTGACCTATTTATTTCGGAATGGATATTGTTGGCTTGAGATTTTGAATAATTTTGTCAAGAGTTTTGTCAGGCTATGACTTTTCTAAAGATTGCCTCCCAAACGCTCCGTTGAAAGATGAATTGTTTCTAATAGGAATATTGTTGACTCGATTCAGTTATAGCATATATGTTCACAGTCACAATTTGCTTAGAATTCAGAAAAGACCGAATTGTTTCGATTTCTCTTGGCTTTATCTTGTATTGAGGAGACGATACCGTCAGGTTATTCAGTTGACAGTTCTCAGAGAATATGAGGAAGAATATCATATGAATAATGAAGCTAGAGAAATATGAAATGATTCATCAACGGATAGTATGCAGTGATAACCTTTTGGATATGAACTGTGAAAGAAAAGTGTCATTGGAATGATACAACTTGCCTTTATAAGAGCTGTAGACTACAAAAATTTTTGAAAATTTTACTTGAAGTGATTGCAAAATATTTGAGTTCTCCCGAACCTGGATTCTTCTTGTTGACATTTAGATATACTGGAAGCCATTGTTTTCTCTCATGACAAGAGTCGTAAATATCCAATGAAATAATCGAAATCATTGTATTCTAGTAGTTGGCTACATGTCACAAAGGAAAGAAACTCCTCAATTGGAATAACAATAGAGAATGAAATGTCTTTTCAAGAGAAGGATATTTTCGCAACCCAACAACAGAGACTTAATCCCCCAATGAGAAATTGTGATGTGGAGAAAGAAAAAGCAATTGCCGTCGACGAACGTCAAAGGTTGGAAGATTTTATTCAAAGAAATAAAGAACAGTTGATACTCATTTGTGTTCTTAAATACACCAGATTAGAATAAACTCTGTACTAGCTGAGGTTTATACCTTGAACGTACAGGGTTCCAGACAATCTGGTAGAATAAACGGCCGGTCCTTAAGGCTATCTGACTTGACAGGTTTGCACTAGTGAATCTGTCAACTCCCCTTTTTGGAAGCTGTGTCAGATATTCGAGTCATAACCGTCCAACAATAATCTTATAGTCTTATGTGTGTTGATAAAGCCCTTCTTTAGAAATAGTCTTTGGGAAAGCATTATCTAAAATATAGTGTTATTTCCTTTCCCCTCTTCAAAAATTGCCGCTATTGAGACATTCATTTGAATTTGAAAAGTGTGGATTGCTAAAGCTTGACTTATCCTTTGCACGATACGCAATGAGCATAGAAAAAACCATCAAAATTGTTGTTGTTGGAGATGGAGCTGTAGGAAAGACTTGTATGCTTATGTCTTATACTACCAACCGTTTTCCAACCGACTATGTGCCTACAGTATTCGACAACTACACAGCAACAGTTATGGTCGATGACGAACCAGTACAAATAGAACTTTGGGATACTGCAGGTATGAAATAACACAAATAAAAGAGTCTCTTGTCCATAATGAATTCCTTTAGGCCAAGAAGACTATCAAAGACTGCGAGCTCTTAGCTATTTTCAAACGGTACGTGGTCTGTCTCCATTTCTTCTTTCTTTCGAAACAGACCCTTCACTCAAAGGATGTATTCATCTTGTGTTTTTCTCTTGTCAATCCACCTTCCTTTGAGAACGTTGAAAGTAAGTGGATTCCTGAACTTCAACGGTAATTGGGAACTTTGGCAAGTTGTGAGGCTATTAATTGCTTCCTTTCATAGAAACTCTCCTGGTGTTCCCATTATATTAGCCGGTACAAAACTTGATCTAGTGAATGACCCACAAGAGTTGAGTAAACTTTCCAAACGAGGACAATCACCTATAGCAGTAGAAATGGTATGTCTTGTGCAACTGGCTATTCGTCATTTTCATGATTGTGTGGGACATAGGGAAAGCAGCTGTCTTCCAAAATCGGAGGAGTGTATCGAGAGTGTTCTGCATTTACTCAAGCAGGATTGAAAGAAGTATTTGATGAAGCTATTCGTGCTGCATTAGCGCCGAAATTATCCAATTCAGTTTATACCAGCACTAATCAAGCCTGTTGCTCTATATCTTGATGGTTTTGTGAATATATAAAATATACATTTGTTTATCTTTTGAAAGGAATCGATGTTATTGTTTCATGTTAAGTGTATAAACCAACTTAAGTAAAATAAATAATGGCTATATTCTAAACTAAAGACTTTGGAAATACCATAGCGCGGCGACCTTGTTGCGATACACAAAATGGTCATCTTCCTGTTTCATTTGTCTGTTGGATGAAAACCATTCACTTTCAATGCTCTCAGAACTACTATCAGAACCTTGTTTCGATCCCAAACAAGAATGACTGCGAACTGGAAAACAGCGTTGACCTGAACAGCTTGCAAGCAAAGGAAAACAAGGATTCCAAGAGACACTAGAAATACTCCATCGACTTGCATTCCAAGACATGAAAAGTCTTCCATTTTGTAAACTCCATAGTCGAATAATGCCATCCGTTGAACCACTACATACAAACTTTCCAGTATGATCGATATCAAAGCCTATTCGCTGATTGGTCTCACTCTTTCTTGACAAACGATACACAACTTTATTTGTATTGCGAATATCCCAAACAACAATATCATCGTCTTTTCTTGCTCCTGCCAACAACAAAGTGGAAGAACCTGGAACAAAACGAACCATAGTTATACCTCCATTGTGTGCTCGCATAGTTGTATGCAAAAAGTTAGCTTGATCAACACGATAATCACCCAGTCCAACTACGCCTGAAAAAGAACCTAGTGTCAAATAATAGGGTTCTTCTATTTTGCTATCAATAGAAGAAACAATTCCTCTCAGAGATGGGCCTTGTCCTCGATAACTGGTCAACGAGTATTCAATAAAGTCTCTTCCTGGGCGTTGAGTATCAAATACACATAAACGACGATGAAATCCACAAAATATCGAGTCTCCAAAAGTAGAGAATCGAATGGAATGTGGACTTACTAACTCGTCGCAGTGATTATAAGCACAATAAGAACATCGATAACTTCCATCGTTGCCATCCCATAGATGAACTGGATGATCCTTGCAACAAGTAATAAAAGCACAAGTAGCAGGATTATTGGAATCCATGAGAGGAAACCAGTCCACATCACGAACACACTCTCCAACCATGATTCGTGTGGAGGGTTTACAAATACGCAAGTGTGCAAAATGCGAGTAGTTGAGGATATCGTTAGGACTAAAATAAAGAGAAACTAGTCTACTCACGTCTATCAATAGAAAACGTGAGCCATCTGGTGCAAAACTTATCTGTGTGCACAAGTATTAGACTGGAAACTTGGAATGACTTATTAAAGGCTTACTTTCTGTAAGTGATAGAACGGTTCATCTTCCAACAGAGACACTTTCGTAGCTGCTATTGCAATAGGAAGGTGTGACTGTCGTTGAATAACTGGATCCTGTAAGGTTTCTTTTGTGGCAGTTGTCAGCATAACCACCAACTGTCGAAATGGGTTGCCACTCGTCAACCAAAGAAATAATTCCTTATTCTACAGAAAATGTCAAATGATGACTCTACTTTGGAAGAGAATAGCCGTGAACCTCAAAGACAAGTTTCTTCAACAGAAAGAGTTGAAGAGGAAAATGCACAGAGAATAACCAGGAATTTGCACTCCTTACTTCACTGGTCTGTTGAAAACTCTTCTGGTGACTACCAGGCCAATGATAGTTGCGATACAGAGAACGGATCACTAGAAGAGCAGCTTATTATGAATCGAAAATGGTTGGAAGCTCTTTTACCAAATGATGCGGAAGCCATGCGCCTTTTAGGAGAGCAAATAGCAGACTCGAACGTGGATGACTCTCAGAGAACCCAACTGTTGGACGACTTGGAAGCTTACATAGAAGATATCAATTGTGCGATCAATATGGATAAAGTGGGAGCTTTCAAACCTGTTTTGGAATGTCTGAGAATAGACTCTAGCGAAGCTGTGCGTGCCAAGGCGCTCGAAGTCATTGGTTCTGCATTGCAAGATTCCACAGAAGTCAGACAAACATTTATGACATATGAAGAAGCTATACCTTTGTTAATTGAGTGTATGCGAGATAATAGTTCGCTTGTTCGAGCTAAAGCAGTTCGAGCAGTATCCGCGTTATTACGTAACTTTTCAGCTGCCATTGGTCCTTTTCGTTCAGCCAAAGGAGGGGAGATATTAGTGCAAATGGCAACAACTGATGAAGATAGAGCAGTGAGACATCGAGCTTTGTTCTTTCTTGAACACTGTTTACAAAGTGAAAATGATTGGTTTGCAGTGGAAGTAGCAGCTAGTCCTGCTTCCGTAGCCAATATTGTTCAAAGGCTTCGTATTCGACAGACTGATAATATCGAACATGCCAACGATGTTTCTGAGTTGGAAGCAATCATAGGAGCATTGACTACTTTGGCTAGTTTCCCAAAGACTGTAAGAGTGCTTCATGATGCTGCTCTCTTGCAAGTTCTAGAACAACTAGAGTTGCGCGATATTCATGAAGACTTGACGAACAAAATACAGCAACTTCGGAACAAGCTATCAGAGTCACGTTATTAACTCTGTACCATTCTATCGGATATTGTTGTTTCATTTTGTATAAAAGTCAAAAGAAGCAAGTTCATAGAAAAGCAACTCCGAAACAAGTTGATTTTCGGTCACTTTTATTATGCATATTTGATATCCACTCTGTACCTACAAATAATGGCAGAGTACGTTATTGTCTGCCGAAACGTCACAAAGTTGTTTTGGAGCTCCTCTCCCTCTGTTAAGTTTGTGCAGGTTGAATCAGTGTTATTGTATCACCTTTGAGAAGAATTCTACCCAGATTGATTCTTCTACACACTCCTCTCAGTCCTTTTCAACCAACCAAACAATCTCAACTCACGTGTTCTTCTTAACATTCCATTCAACTGCCTCATCCAATACCAAGTTCATGTACTCATCAAAACCCTATGACATTTTTAATTCTTTGATGTATCACAAAGTAAACGATAACTGACGCTAATTCTTCCCTCAATCCTAAAGTTCGTTTCTTCGTATAACCAAATAACAACCTTGGTTCGGTTTTGCAAGAATCGAAATATCAAGTTCTAAAACAACCCGTCGATTTATCACAACATGAAACGACAAACATTACTTACTATAGGTTGGGTCATAATCTTTGAAGGTGGCATGGTGTGTAGTTGAACTTGGTAACCAAAAGCAACCAATGGAACCCTAATCCCAAAATGAAAATAAGAATGGGCCAACGAATCACTTCTCCTTTCACAATATATAACATAAGAAATATTCTTCACAAAGAGCATTGTACGTATATACATCTCGTTTATTTGAAATATCACTGAAAAAGGCACACATACTTAAGGTTGTCGGAACATTATCACATAATTAATCTTCATTGTGTTTTCTAATATGATAAAGCCAACCATCACACAACTGGTTATTGAAACTTTCTTACGATACTCATAAGGATTGAAAGATCATGGAGCTATAAACAAATTCAGTACCCAAACCAAAATGGGTTTTAAAATATTATCTCTTTCTATGTCGTCCCTTTCTCTGCATAGTAGTACTCGTAAGAACCAATCGTTTTAATTCTTCCTTTTCTTCCTTTTCCATTTCATCAACAGCCCTCGATGCAGTTACCAAAGAACTATTCGAAGGAATATTCAGTAACCGAACTTGAGGCTTCCCTCCTCTTCTCATCAAAACTTGAAACGGCACATTCTCATCCATGCCATGCTGCTGCTTTTCTTGGTTGCGCAATGAATTGATATTATTATTCATCACATTTCTAGCCGAGGAAAGTAACGGCCGAAAAGAAGAAGAAGAACTTGCAGCGTTACGATTTTGACTCGCTTCCGAAAGACTTTCAGTTAAGATTGCAAAAATTTCTTGGTCAAAGGACTCCCTTTCCTGCTCCTTCCTTGGAGCATTTGATATTTCAGTATCCTCCTCTTCAACTTCCGAATCTTCGCTCAATGACTCTGAGTCATGAACGGATGACTTGTCAGCGTTTTCAAGCCCTTCACCTTGATCGCCCAAAGATGCCACTTCGGTCGCACCTTCTTCTTCTGGGTGAGAAGTACTTGAAGAGCCAACTTCATCTTCACTAGCGATGATTTCCTCTCTTTCATCTGCTTCCTTATATGAAGAAAAACTCCAATCGCGTTTCATCGAATTCATCTCCTCGGAGAAACTATCTTCTGACCTAGAAGTTCCATCATTGCTGGCAGAATATGAAGTAGTAATATTGGTCTTCTGTAGGCTGCCTATAGTCAAGTCTGGAACAGAGTTCACTTTGTCGACTAATTGCTCCCATTTCTCAGTCAACTGTCCACCTGTAATGGACGCTAGAGAAGATGCAGAATACATCTCTGCTATTTCAGTGACTAAATGCTGCAAATGAATGGGCAACAAGCTCAATACTTTAATGGACAAATCTTCTCCTGTTCCAATACCTTTGCTAGATTGCCATATCATTTGGAATAGATGCAATAAAAATGTCTCCATTTTTCTGAAGGATACTGTATCTAATAACTCCAAACCACAAGTCTCAAGAAGTGAACAAACCATTCGTACTCTGACAAACAAACCATTTTCCTGTTCCACCAATAAAGATTCGTTCCAACCATAAGAAATAATACAATAAGCCAAATTCATGATAAACCTGCCATTGACGAAACGCGTCTTGAATAATTCTCCTAAAAGCTTCAACTGTGCAAGTCTTTGCTGTAAGAAACGGTTGTCCTGGTTTTCAAGAAGACAAAAGATAGCTTCAACAATTCCTAAATAATACATGATTATGAAAATTATCAACTACAGTAACATGCTGCTGTACAAGATAACTTACCATCCACAATACCGATTCCAATGGAGTCTCTATATTTTGAATATTCAGTGATAACCTTTGACATATCTCCTAGACAGTCATATGGAAACTTTTCAGTTTGCAGAAACTCGTCAACAAGGAACGTTTCCATTTCCATTGTACAAGGGAGTTTCCTTAACTTTTTCACCAGCCAAGGAAGTTCTCGATAATGGTAGCGAGTTTCAAATAGAATATGATGAATAAACTCTTTCAAGGGTTCTCGTTCCGCGTTCTTTTCTTGTTTAGCATTCAAAGGTCTCACAGTATAGTACGCATTTTCCACCATTACTTCATGTCTGGGTTCCAAATTCTTTACAGATCTTAGACGCCACAGTATATCTAACAGACTGCTCGTTCTATATTCCGTTTCCGACTTGTTGTACAAGAACTGACCACAGGATTCCTTGTTGACTTTAGTTGATAATTCTTCCAATACAAAATGCAACTACTTACAAGAATAGCACATACTATGTCTACGTTATAGTGTGAGAAGTCTTCCAAGCATAACTTAACGTAGTTCAATACGACATGTGCCGGGAACAATCGAAATTTTGTCATTTCACTTATCCATCGAGCATTCCATATTCGACACTTCAGATGGTGTTCTCCAGTTTCTTTCTTCTCAAAATAACTCATGAAGTCATCTTTCAAGACTTGCGTGACATTTGCTGCAATGTCTGGATATATAGGATTGAGAGCAGCCACAAGTCTACTTGCTAAAGGAACCATTTCAGGATTTGCGAACGAAAAATTGAACAAAACTTTCACTAGCTTTTTTCTTATTTGACTTTTCTTGAAAATTGACCAATTTTCTAAGCACCATTTATCTATCTCGTCCATATCTGAACAGGACAACAGAGATGATAATGCATCCTCTGATAAACGAGACTTATCAGATTGCTCTCGACTGATAGAGTTGTTTCCGTTCAAAGAACTTTCAACATTCTCATTTTGATCCTTTTTTTTCTCCTCTTGAATATCTTGTTGAACTACAGGGGAGTCCAGAACAACAATACTTGGCAAATCTTCATAAAACTTTCGTTCCGCTTCTGTTTCAAAACATGATTTTTGCGGTTTCTCTGTTTCAGTCTCTTGTGTGAATGTATTGGAATAAGAATCCAATGAGTTTGGTGAATGAATGTTGCTTTGTTTTTCCTCATCTTGGATAATAATAATAGGCATTTGAAACCCCAATAAACTGCAAAGCGTCTTGATATTACTAGACAGCTTAATAAACTGTTTTCGTTTGCTTTGAAATATATTTTGTGTGTCTTGCTGTACTTCACCTTGCATTTGACGAGAAACACTCGTTTCTTTCTCCAAATCTGTAATCTCCCTTTGCAGTTCATTTAAAACACTACAAGATTTTTCAAAAAGTGATTCGTAGATGCCAAATATCTGTTTCTTCTCCTCTTGGCTCAATATCCAATATTCCCAACCTTTCTTATATTCAATTTCTGACAAAGGATTGTCACAATCAGTTGGAGGAAAAATGAGCAATTCCGCAAGGTAGTTCTTTGCTAATGAAGTAAAAGCATTGACCGCTGAAGCCAAATCACTTCCAATATTGGTAGACTTGTTAGTCTCCTTAAGAAATGCAACCAATTTGAAAGAGGGCAAAATATTCACACAGCACAACTCCACCACCAAATGCAAGAAACTTCTCTTCGTGTTCCAATCCAAACCACTGCTTTGTGAGATATTACGAGACAAATGTTCCACAAAGTGATCAGTGAATTCCGGATAACGCCGATATATTTCGGAAATGACTTCGACTACAGCTGGGACGTCCGCTATTCTAAATCTTGCTTCAAAAAAGGCTCCACAGATCTCCGAAATATACATAGACAAGTTGAGGGTCTGTATTTCAGCCAGTAGTGATTCTTTCGTATCCCTCGAGACACTCTTAAGCTTTCTTACTAATGCAGTGCATTTTTTCAGGGAAGATTCCAGCCTGTAGTCATCTTGGTCTATAATAGTCTTTGTTGTTGTTCGACACTGGCAGTTTCTTCTTCGTAGAGACCACCTTTCCTTGCTACGTTTCAATGCTTCCATATCCTTTTTTGGCATTTCACTTTCTACTGTGTCTGAAACACTAGAGTGTGCTTCTACCATCTTTGTTTGAACACTGGCTTCCTATGAAATTTCACAGAGTTGGCAAGAAACCCCAATACGTAAATACAATTTCTACCTTATTTTCGGAATGAACTGCTTCCCTGTTTTGGTAAGTGTTATGTACACCGTGCTGTGTTTCAACTTCTTTGTACTGCTCTAATATGGGTAAGACTTGTCCACTCCTATCCATTTCCCACCAATTCCTGTTTGTCAATCATTCCGGGATGAAATTAGCAGTCCATAAGTATTTCTATTCACATATTAAGCAACTAACATAGAATCGTTCTTCCCTCTTTTCATAATCGTTTATATGTGTGAATAGTGACATGGAAACAGTGGGCTCATTACATGGCTATAAAAATGTACTATCAACAATCTGACAAGTTACTCTATTCTTCCTTTTATGGTATAGACACGAGGGTGCATTCCCATTACAGTACAATCTTTTTGTATTTCAAAGAAACTTGAAAATGCAGACCCCTGCATTCGGACTGTCTCCGACACCTCTATTTTGTTGTAAAACTAACTTGCCAAATAGATTTTTTCGTAAAACGTGTTACTGTTGTCAAGAAACCTACTTGAAAGAGAGAAACTTGCTGATATTCGGTTTGGGATATCTTGGAAAAGAAATAGCTGTGCAGCTTGGTAAGAACAATCAAGGTATCGGGAATAATCAATCTTATGTTTTGGGAATAGCTAGACAAGGTTGGAAAGTAACTGGAACTAAAAGGAAACAACTAGTGGACAATGAATTAGTAGAAAGGTATCACGCTTCTTGTTGGTTTGAATGCGAGAGATGGTTACTGTTCCTTTGTAGTGGTGTCGAGGTTATCGAACTGGACACTGAATCTTGCACCCAACTGAGTGAAACTATCTTGCAGAAATTGAATTTAGCAAATTACATATTGGTATGCATACCTGCGAACCATCGAGGAGATCCTCTGCTGAGCCAATTGACTGATAAAGTCAACTTGCACCATTTGTCCAAAGAAAGAATTCGGTGGATTGTAGGTTTCATCTTTGAAGGCAACGAATAAAGTTCAAGCTGTTGTAGGGATATATTTCTTCCACAGTGGTTTATGAACCTAGCGAGACGGATAGTTGGATTGATGAAAGTGCCTCCTTAGCTAGACATGTGAAGAAGGCATCGTATTACATTCTGGCGGAAAAGCAATGGCAAAGATGGACAAATGATGCCGATATCCGTCTCGTGATATTTCGCTTATCTGCACTTTATGGTCCCTGTAGAAGTGCATTGGATACTTTGATTAGAATACGTTTGCTCCATGGAAGTGTTGAAGACTTTTTGCAATCGTCCTCTTTTGTTGGTGATGTTTTGGTTTCACGAATTCACCTAATAGATGCTTGTGAGAAGGTTATTGCTTCTATGGTTGATGAGTCGATGCTTCCTTTCAATCCTTGCATCGTCAATCTTTCAGATGACCTTCCTTCCACTCGTGCTGAATGTTTTTATCATGCACTTGAATTATTGGATGAATCCACTGTGGAAGCATGGAGTGCACTTCATATGATTAGAGAAGATAAACAATCGTTTCCAATTGGAGTATCCTCTATTTCACCCTTTCAAGTTGTTTACGGAGACAAACGAATAAGGACACGGATATCGGAATTGAAGAAAGGAAAACGTATTCTTAATCAACGAATGAAAAATCTGTTGGGTGAATCCTTGCATTTCCCAACTTTTTGCCAAGGCCTTTTGCATGTAAAGAATAGCATTTTGATTCGATATCGGTCTGTTTTCAAGGACTAAAAAAGTGCAATTTCCGTTCGGTTTGAAACAAATTTTTATGTATCTTCCATATTCAAGCTATTCCGACGGAGATTGTTGAGCTTTGTTTCACTACCATGAATACTTTTCGCAACAATTATTCTTCCACTGACTCAAAATGGGCATGCAGCGTTGTTTATTGAATGGGAAATTCCTGATATTACCTTGTAAGTTGAAGAGTTTGGTGGGTCGCAATATAGTAACTGGGAAAAGAATGACATGGCGTAATACTTTTCTTGTACACGATGGAGAATATCAAGTCGGTTGAGATGAATGAATGCTGTAGAATAGAGAATTTTTTGAAGAAAAAAGAGTATACAATGATATGTAACTCCTCTTCTTTGTCGACAGAATGACTTTACAGACTTGGCCTCAAACCGAAGACCATAGAAAGAATTTTTCCCCACGACAACCAGATTGTCTTCTCAAATGTCATGTTTCTTACGTTACTTACTTTCAAGTGCTTGTAAGAACTCTGTTGGTTCCCGTAGTTTTAGGTATCTACATACAACTACAAATACTACAGGATATTGGAAAAAAGTATTGTTCAATACTCGGGACAAGCTGAAGACCCCAAGGAAGACTCTGTATATATCTGCATTCACTCTAGTCTGCGCAACCACACTAGTTGCCAACTGGGAACGAAAGAAACTTTTGCAACGCCACAAAGTACTCGAGAATTATTTTTGGAATGCAATCCAAACTTTCAAAATGTTCTGCCTCTTGAGTTATTGCCTTGTGCTGCTGCAGTTCCTTCCGATGGATTGGATGGCGCCAACCGTGGAAAGAGACCTTCTGGAAGTGACACGAGTGGAAAAATTAGCTGGGAAGAAATACGAGCTCGCTTTCTTCAAGCTCAGTCGCTTATTCCTGGTGCCTCAACTCCAGTGTTATTACAGTCAGATAACAAAATCTCCATCAAGTTTAGTGCACGTACAGAGGCAGATATGTTTGACGTGTTGTTGACAGCACTCTCTGGATTATACTCAAGTACAGCAAATATGTCGGGTCTCTCTGGAAGCTTGTCGAAGAATGAAAATAAGCCTGATATTCGTATAGAACGTGGAGCTTCTTCTGCTTCCATCCAAATAGCATTTCTTGGAGAGTTTTCGGTCTATACTTTTGTTCCTAGAGTGGGTCCATTTAGTCCAGAGTTTTGTTTTGAAAAATATTCAACTACATTATCGGAAAGTGAGCTCCAAGCTCTTTTGTCAGCCTACGAAGCTGCACAAAGGCCTCGAAATCACTATGCTCGTCGAGCAAAATCTCCAACTCGTTCTTATCCATTGCCTCCTTCTTTTTCTGATGACTGGAAAGACACTGATGAGTCTTCTTCTTATTTATATAAAGGTGGTGGTGGTGGTGGTGGGAGCAGTGGAATTCCAACAGTTCCTAGGGAAAATAGTTTTGATGAGCTTGAGGAAAAACTTTCGAGATTTGGAGCATCAGTTTATCATAGTGAAGAATGTCTTTCATGGGATACTTTGGCAGGTTATAATGAACTGAAACAAAGAGTTGAAGAAACAGTGACATTGGCATTGAAATATCCTGAAGTGTATGATATGATTGCCAAAAATACTCGCGAAAGATTCGAAACAAATCGTCCCAAGGCTATCTTGTTTGAAGGTCCACCTGGAACAGGAAAGACATCCATGGCGAGAATTATCGCCAGCCGTGTTGGTGTTCCGTTTGTTCATGTAACTATGGAGAACGTTACCAGTAAATATTATGGGGATAGTGAAAAGCGTCTTGGAAAAATTCTCAAAATAGCGAATGACTATGGTCCTACTGTTATTTTTGTGGATGAGATTGATGCCATTGCTTTATCTAGAGACAAAGACCTTCATGAAGCATCTCGAAGAGTAATGTCGGTATTACTTCGTCATTTGGATGGTTTGGAAGGTCAACAACAATCCATATTGATTGCGGCAACGAATAGGAAGAACGATTTGGATGCGGCACTCTTGTCTCGTTTTGATATGGTTTTCACTTTTGGCTTACCTGATATCAAGTCAAGGGAACAAATTCTTGGTTTGTATGCCAAGCACCTATCGGAAAAGGATAGAGAAACCTTGGCAAGTCTTACGGCAGGATTTTCAGGAAGAACATTACTAGATGCTTGTGAAGAAGTGGAACGAAGGTGGGCTGGAAAAATCATTCGTGGAGAAGTGAAAACGAACGAGTTACCGCAAGTAGAGGAGTACGTTAATGTATTGAAAGAGCGCAAGTCGAAACATTTCATTGAGAAACCACCTTTTTTACGAGCTCCTGAAGGAGATGAAATATTCTAAAGGAAAATGGAAGACTTCACAATACGGAGATTGTATCATCGCAGAACAACAACAACGGAGATGGTTGATGATGGATGTCGTTTGTCTATTGTCTAGTTGACTGTGTATTTTGTTTTATTTAGAATGGAAAATGTAGATAACTTTATTTTGTGTTTTCAGACTTGTGTTATTTTGCCAAACACGAGGAGCTTCAGAGCACTCACTGATTCTTTACGTGTACACCGAAAGCGGAAGTTCTTTTTTCAAAGTGTTTTTTTGCCTTATCAACTATTTTTTAAGCACTCAAGTCATTCACGAATATCAGTCACAGCAGAGTGGAAACCGGAAGGTTTGATGCAAAACGTTGTGGAAGAAAAGTGGAAAGAAGTTGATGAGCTCCAAAATTCTTTAGCTGCTCGCAAGGATGGCCCCTTGAGTTTAAGACTTCAATATTTTGCCGAGCAACATCACCCCCACTTAGTTAAGACGCTAAAAAGTCACAGAGGCAAGTTAAAAGTTGTCGGCGACATGAAACGGACTACTTATGGAACGAAGCCAAGACAAAAGTTGGAGATAGCTGATATTATCAACCCACGGAAGACTGCACAAACGATGGTGGAAAGTGGTGTTGATGCTATTTCGGTTGCTGTCGATTATTCAGTTTATAGCGGGACTTTTTTTGACTTGAAAGAAACGGTAGAATTTGTGAAATCTGTCGATTGTGAGTGTTCGATACCCGTTATTTGTAAAGATCTTGTTGTGCATCCTTTACAAATTGCTGCCGCAAAGGAAGCTGGTGCCGATGCCGTTTTGCTTATTGCTGCTGCCTGTTTATCGGATCTTCCAGAGTTGTTGAATGCTGCAACAGTTGTTGGTTTGGATGCCATTGTAGAATGTCACAAGGAATGGGAATGCGAGTATGCGATGGAATATGGGGCAACTATATTATTGTTATCGAATCGCAGTAGAGTGGATGGAGAAATAGTAAGTAACATTTATAGTTGAACATTCAAAGAATAAGAAAATTTTAGTATATGGGAACTGCAGAACGCTTAAGAGGCATGATACCCAACTTTATTGCTACTATTGCGGGGGGTGGAATAGAAACCAAAGAGGAAGCGTTTTCTATTCAAGACGCAGGCTTTGATGCTGTAATCATTGGTCGTTCACTATTTCGACCTTCTGGAATGCAACTTGTGCATAGTATTCAACAAAGAATAATAGAAGAATCCTTGCCAGGTTTCTTTTAGAGCTAACAAATAAAGAAAGTTGAAATGCGAAACAAATTCGTGGTTGTTAGCATCAACTTTGTCACTCCATGCAGCAACCAAATAATACCGAAGAATTTTTGCGGTTAATATCAAGTTCTCATACAGAAGATAAATGGAGAGGTCTACTTATGGCAACTGGTGCTGTGAGGAACTGGACAGAAGAAGAAGTTCTGGCAGTTTTAGAAAACATAGGCAACTCCTTTCTCGTTGGTTTGTTGGAAAACAGTGAAAAACAACGAGATGTAAAAAGCAATGAAAGTGCTGACCTGATTTCTTTGTCCCTTTCTTTACTAGCTTCGAGTTGTGTTTCACACAAAGTTTGTCAAGGTAAGTTTTGGAGTGATCTACTCCCTCATTTGGCCAATATGATACTTCGCGAAAGCAAAACTCGGAGGGAACAAGAACAGTTGCAAGTTGGAATCCTGACAGAAAGGGTTGTTAACTGTTGGATAGTTGTATGCTCAGTATGTAGTGTGCAAGACGAACTTTTACACTGGTTTCTAAAGAACAGTTCACTCCAAAAGTGTATGGTTGAACTCTGTAAGCATATGGTGAAGAATGAAACCCTATTCAACAACTCCCAAAAACAGAAACAACTGGTACAACTCGTTGTAGGAATGAGTTACTTGGCTTTGGTTTTATCAAAGACAATTGAAGCTATCCGAGTGAGAATGCTCCTGCCGCATATGTTACTTGTTGTAGTTGTGTTTTTCGATCGACTGAGGGAACCTAGTGTTAGTTTGGATATTATTCACCAACTGTATCTCTTGTCACCTTATTTTTGTAGCATTTTTAGAAATGAGAAGCAACGCTGTATGAAGTCTGTGGTATGGCAATTGGATGGGCATTTGCGCAATGCTATCGAGTATAGTTTATCTAACCGATTAAACGACGCTCTTCGTCATAAATTGTTTTCTATAGTTGTTGGAGAGCTCAAGATTTGGAAATTGTTCGAGTTTAATTTCACCGAGAATATGCTGTCGACATCTTCTTTGTGGAGATATATGCGTTTGTTGTTGTTCATGTGCTCTGTGGAATTGGGAGTTCATCTAAGAGAAGTACTTCGTGCACCTATGGATTCATTGGAAAATGAAAATAATCGAGAAATTCATTTGGTGAATATCTTTCAAGTGATAGAGTTATCTATTGATTTGTTGCAACGAAGAATGATAGAAACGGAGGAGCAACCTAGTGAGTCGTTACGAGCCGAGGAAAGGGAAGAGGTAAAAGTGATAGAAGCATTAGTAGAAAATATTCAAGTGGTAGGCTATCCCTTTTTATCTACTTATTTACACCATTCATCAATCTATTATTCTTTAGATTGTTGATTTCTTAGAGGCGGAACCACTTAAAAGAGAGCAAAAGGATGATCGCCAATATATTCGATTATTCAAGTATTCTATAGTTGGATTTCGAATAGTGTGCTGCTTTAGCAGTTTACAACTTCCTGTATTAGAAAAGCGTATATCTTTGGTTCTTGTTTATTCTTGGAACACTATCCTGGATGATTTTGAAGTTATTTTGACAAGTATCGAATGGGATATCTTGTACGACTTGATATCATGGACTGGTTTTGGAGTGACTCGTCTTATTGAATATAGTGATATTGCTATGAAGACTTTTGAATGTGAGATTTTTTCGAGGGTTTGGATTCAACTTCTACAAGAGTTTGTTAAGAACAGGAGCATTATTTCTACGATGACCGGTTCTATACCTGTTACCCAAGTTATTTATAACATTATTGAGATATTGGTTTGTCTCTATGAGTTTCCCAGTAATCGGAGGTACATTAACGATCACAAAGATACACTGATGTCGATTCGAACACTTTGGCCATCAGAAGAGTTGAAAAAGTTGTTCACAAGCGATGAAGTGAGCCATGTAGTCGCTTCTCAATAGCTCGTTGCCCCTCAGTCACACGTGGAAGGGAGGATTGATGGAAGTCGCATCGATTTGCTATGGGGGAATCGTTTCATCGCGAATCGACATTCGGGCCATGGATCGGATTTCGAATCGCCACAGTCTAAATCGAACGTCAAACATTGGTTTGTTGCTCTGAATTCCAGTGTGGACTGCGCAGAATAATTCACAAACTACTAGCCCTTTGTTTCAAATTTATTTGTCTGTATTCATTTAGCAGTAGCGCACTAGTTCGCAACTCATACAATGTATGCTTCAACTATTTCTAGACCTCCTGTTATTCAACCCTGTCCTTATGGGACCCCCTCTCATACGTTTTCCAGTTTCCTGAAAGAAAGTAGAGCGCCGCCGCTAGGGGACTATACTAAAGAAGCTGACCATTGGAGTCGTACAAGTTCTCAAACCAATAGTAAACAGGGGCATGAAAGAGTAGATTATCCAGAACAGTGTAAAAGGCTGGAAACGTGGAGGATGTCAGTCTGTGAACCCTTTGTGAAACACAAAGGCCACAAGAAAATGTCGGAAGAATCTAGAAAGGAGAGAAATCGAAGGCTTGCTAAAGAGTTTCGTGCAAAAAAGAAAATGGAACTGCAGTTATATCAAAGATGGGTTGCTTTTCTTCAGGGCGTTGTGAACGAGTTGAAGACGGAAAACGACAAGTTGCGCCAACTTGTATCGGACACAAGTGCTTGTAGTAAGGATAGAATTCAGGAAAGTTCTGTTCTCTCCATTAGTGATAGAAGCAAAGAGGAGCAGGCAGTTACCATTGAACGAAAGACGAATCCCACGTTTCATCAAGATTTAGCACTCTTTAGTGACACTGCTTTGAAGACAAAGCATATTGCTACCACAAATCTAACCAGTCTTCCTTGTATCTTTGATAGCAATGGGAATCCATTGGAAGAAGGATATCCCTTGTCCCCAGTATCCGAGCAAGTTAGTCCTTGTCGTATTCATGACAACGTAAATTGGCAAATGACTGAAAGGAATCAATCCAATACAAACGCTGTTGATAGAAAGAAGCGGTTATCCACCGGTGAAACATCTGTTTTGGGTATCGACTCACTCGTACATTTTTAGTGTCGATTAGTGGTTGTGAAATGTATGTAGCTTAGCCTGAGTTTTCTTCTTTTGTCGAGCAAAAGTGATACTAGAGAATATAAATGTCTTTTCACAATTGAATTGGTTTTTTTTTTTTCACAATGATTGTCCCTGAAGATGAAATCATCCTCTAGTACTGTAATTCCGGTGGACCCATTGAGCAGACTTGTAGACCAAATAGCACATACTTTTTGTTTGAAATCACCCAACTTTCTGAAAATAAGCAAGGCTCTTCGATATGGCGACTTGTGGCTTTCATCAGAGCAACTTTGTTCGAGTGAAGCCACTGGAAATAGTCAGCTTATTCAGCATGTAAAGAGGGATTGCATACCACAACAAATTTTTCTCAATCGTTCTTTCGTAATACACTTGTTATTACCTGAAATAATACCCGATGGGGTTCATCTGTTGCCGTGGTCATCCTACCTCAAGATCCAACGGGAGTGTTCGATTGGCATAGTCTGTGTGGTACAACAAGACTTTCAACACCTTGGTGAACTTCGCAGTTTATTATTTGCGAGCTGTGCTTATTCTCTGTTATCGCAAGTTGGAGTATCTACCCGTTTTTATATTTATATGACTCCAGTGGAAGCAGCTAGTCTTGTTGAGAAAGTGTCATCTTTTTCTAATCTTTTCCGTTCACTTGGAGAAGCCCTATCCCAACAAGCAACTGCAGTTTATCGTGAGCCTTTGGAATGGCCAGCAGTTGAACTCCTTAACCGATATTATGATAGCAAGAGGCAGATGTTTTGTCTTTCTTTGTTATCTCAGTATCATCCGTTGCCGAGTTGGTGTTATCCTTTACAAGATTGGTATGCTCCTATGAATTCCTATAGATATCGAATGTTTGGTTATCTCTATCATCTTCTTGCTACTCAGATGGATGTGGATCGCATGTTATTATTTACCAGTCCTCAACAAACTCATCTCATGAAACAAAGTATGCTAGCTGCAGCATTGTATCAACCATTTGCTTCTCCTATCATCTTGTTAGACAAGATAAAATGGATTCCGTGTGGAGCGACATATGATCATCTCGACGAATGTACCGATAGTCATGTGGGCAACGAAAACACAGATTGTGCATTTGTATCTGCACGTTGTATTCATTCACTATGGGGTGGTAAAGTGAGTCATCCCACTCATCTTTTCTGTCCTATGCATTCCCATCATTCTTTTGTTGTGGATAAATGGTTGTATCAATATGCTAGAATGGCAACATTGTCACAATCTATTCCACGACAACATGTTGACTACTCTTTGTCATTCATTCATCCCATAGAATGGAATATTTTTTACGAAAATATTCTCTCTTATTATCGAATATTACCATCTTTATGCCAGCAACTTGTGAATCACAGTTGTTCCACTACAACAACTTTTCATTTATTGACAGAATGGTTGGCCAAAACAACAAGCCATTTCACACAACTTTACAGTCAACTTAGAATAGTCATAGAAAAGGTAAGGAAAGGCATCTGTATACCTCCAACTAAGTCATTTTAGGAACCAAATCATACAAAAACTACAAATTCCTCTTTTGTTCTTCGTCAATGTTTGGTAATTGTATTGCAACAACAAATGAAGCATATATTCCAACTGTTACATATCACACCAATGGAAACTATCTAAGTGGAAACTACTTGTTCATTCATCATGTTCTGCAAAACATGCTGAGGAATCGACTTTTCACGAAGAAGTTGATAAAGTTCCTGTAAAAGTTCCAACTGTTCTGAAGTGCTCAACTCCAACACCAAACTCATCAAGTTACCAACATCGGGAGTATTTCGAAGTACAAAATTGATCAAATAGACATAAGTAAATAGACCCATCAGCAACTGACAATCCATCCTATCTGTTACCCCACCATGACCGGGAATAAGATTGGCAAAATCTTTCACTTTAAATGCACGTTTCAAACCTGAAGCAAAAAACCCTCCAAACGGTGCAATAATGGATGCAAAAAGAGAAAGAGATATTGAATGAATCTGCATGGGAAGCAAATCTAAGAAAGGATCGAAAGACTCATCTTTTGACCAAATACAAAGGCCAGTAACAGAACAAATTGCATCCAACACTTTTCGAAGATATCCAGAAGAATAACTTTGTGTTCCCAAACGAATAAGAAATTTTCTAATAAACTGCGGCAACTCCTTACGAAATGAAATAAAAGTTGGTGATGGTTTACAACTGGCATGACAGAAAAAGCCACAATCCATAAAGTCAAGTTTTGGACAAAACATCAAAGGATATCTTCCAAGAATACGAGCAAAACAATAGCCAAATAGAATTGTGGCAATACCTCCACCTATATATCCTTCCCAAGTCTTCTTCGGACTTAAAGAAGTTAACTTGGTACGTCCAAAAAAGAAACCGATGAGATAAGCAAAAATATCATTCACAATAACCAAGGAAACTGGAAGCAGAAACCAAATCATACCCTGCCGAGTATTCAATACCATAAAATGAGCTTGTAATACGACTATCAAAATAGCTACGTGCACCCTTGCAAATACACCAAACTGATATGCATATTGAGAAGGTTGTAAACTGAGTACAAAAGCAACAAATAAGGCACAATATAGTGAGAAACACACAAACGTATGATGAATAAAAAAGAATCGTAAAGGGTAGCTTTTCATAAACCACAGCTTTCTGTCTTCAAAGTTGGCTAACACTGCTTTTCCGTATACAAAATAAAGAGCTGTAAAGAAAAAGCACCAAGACAAAGTTCTAAAGAAAGGCAGCTCTTTCTTGGAAGAAACTTGACCTAGTTGAACTACTTCTTTAAAGATGGCGGTTTCTAAAGAGATTATGAGAATGGACACCCATAGGTGACCTGCCGAGATAACTCCAAAAAAAGCGGATAGCATAGCAACTGTGGTCCAAAGTCGAACTATGAAGCTTCTCCATTTTCCTCTGAGTGGTTTTGGAAAGGCGTCCAAGGAAGCACTTTTATTTTCTTTGGTTTGTAAGGCTACTCCCATTGCTGTTTCTATTATTTGTTGGTTTCTCTTTGGGAAAAGTGAAACCAATTTTCCAATTCTTATCAATAAATGAAAGTAATAGAATAGAATAGAGTCCAAAATAAGATAAAAGAAAGGAATCCCTCTTTGGAGAATACACATCGAAGATAGAGAGAAGGAATACTGTCCATAAAATAGAAGGAAGGCTTTCCCTTTGTTTTAAGATATACTGCTAGAAGAAGAAATATGTTGAAAATAGGATACATAAGAAAGCCTTTGAAGTTGGTTAAACCCCAAACACCTGTTATAGTCCCTCCTGCCACTGCGAAGAAGTTTTGACTAGAATATTGAGTGGGAGTTGAATCGAGTAGAAACACACTTACTAGAAACGAAATAGATACGTGTTATATTGTACTTCAAAGGATTCTGCGGTGGAAGACATTGAGAACTTTATGAAATCCCTATTGACACAAGTTGTTGTGGAATATGATGCGCTTTCCTCTTTTGGAATTCACAAAAATCATTTAGAGAAATGCTCTTTTTGGGATCAAAGCTTGAAGTATGAGATAAAAGTATCATGGAACAAAAGTAGAAACTCATCTTCTCACTTCTATGATAAATATCACAATATCAACCTCTGCAATGGATAGTAAAATGACTTAATGAAAAAGAACTTTGAAAATTCAAAAGTACTCTACTGACTCTATGAAGGAATTCATACGACTTGAGAAAAGATGGTGTGACTTGGACTATCAGAAGAAGGACTTTGGTAAAATTACTTGGCTCAAATTTCCTAAAGTGAACAAGGAATAACCTATTCATTTCCTTGAAACTTTTCTTTATCTTCCATATACGATAAAGTATATATCTGGATTGTATTTATACTAAATGCTCTAAAAAGGTTTCGATGGAAACCCGCGTCTTTTCAAATTTGCCATGAATCGTATTCCTACCTCTAGTTTCTATGGTAAGCATTGACAAATCAAGTCTCATAAAACACCCAATAAAACTTTAAAGGAAACAGTCTAAAAGGATACACTCCACCTGCATTGCGAGAAGACGCTAAGAAACTTTATCGAGGTCTCTCAACAGCCAAGTGCTTTCATTTTCCCACTCAGAGCGCTGCTTTAGAAGCAGCAGCGAAGCTTCCAGGATTGGAGTTGTTCGCTGAAGATTTGGTAAATCTTAGTATTTTCCTTTGTGGTAATATTTATTGAGGTACTTTTCAAGGATTCTTCTGGAACAAGACATTACTTATTGGCTTCCTACAGTGACTTTTGGGAAATCTACAGGAAAAGAACCAGCAAGCATTTTTATGAAGTGATAAGAGAAAACGTATCTTGTAAACTTTATTTTGATCTGGAATATATCCGAGCTTGCAATACCCACGTTCAAGAGCAGGTATTGGTGGATTCCATATCGAAGTTAGTAAAAGAAGGATTGAAGCAAATACTGAAAAGAAAAGAAGTAAGCAGGAAACCCAGCTTCCATCGTACTAAGGCATATACTCTAGTCTTCTTTGCTTCCTTACCTGAAATGTCTAGTTTTAGACTCTTCTTCTCAGGAAAAGTTTTCAAAGCACATCATCTTTCCAAAGGTAAGTCAAGATTCAGTTATCTCAGTATTCAATCATCTTGGGTATTAGATAGTCTTTCCTAATAACAGAATCACTGGAAAGTTTATATCTAAATTGTTACAAATGAGCGATATTTCTTCCCATTTTTTGGTTTTAAAGCCGAGTCGTGATGAAATGCAAACAGTTCTTGCAATAGATTTGAGCGTCTACAGTCGGAATAGATGTTTTCGTATTCTAGGTTCCAGCAAAATGGGTGAAAACAGACCCTTAACCATAGGACAATCTATGAACCAAGAGGTTCGTTAGGATTCTTCTCTCCATTTTTCTGACTGAATACTGAGAATAGTTATTGCATGAAACTTTGATATGCTATTTTTACCCAGATGATGTAATTTTAATAGATGAAGCTCAAATTGACTATATTCAACCACTCAACGACTCCTTTGAGATACCATTCACTCTTAAAAGTTCTTTGTTGCCTAACAAATACAATGACACATTTGCTACATCTAATAGTAAGTCATCTCCATTTCCTGAAATAGACAAGTTTATCGAGTCGGTGATATATGATCGGCAAGTGAAGGTTTGACACGTATTTGCTCTTCTACCCAACATGAAACCATGCTTGCATGAATAGGGCTCCATAAGAAACGTTTTGTTCTTTTCATCGTCTCTCAAGTTGGTATATAATATTCAAGTAAGTATGCAATTGTCACTATCCATCCAATTTTCACTTTTACCACAACCTTATTTTAGAAATATAGATATTGTCATCACATTGGGCGTCATCATAAAAGTAATCATATTGTATTGATAGTAGAGTTGAATACTATGGTTTACTATCAGAAATGTTTGGATCCAGAGGTTCGAATGTAATTTTATTTCTTTGACTTTGTGTTCTGATGCTTATTCTAGTGTCGAGCTATTGACTATCGCTCTCCTCCTTTACCTTTGCCAGAGGTATTGCATGGGCATTTATGATATTTAACTTTTTCTAAACTTGACCAAAGCATTTGTTACAAAACTTCCCTTTGAAAACTGATTTTGAAGCTTCCAAGTAATCTTTTTGTGAGCTTTTGAAGTGAATAGAAAGAGCGTATTTTGTAAAGTGAAGGCAAGAAGATATATAACTTGATATGAGGTGAAATGTTGAGATACCCTTATGAGGCCTTGTCAAGTGCTATTATCCATATGTAGTTTGTAAACTGGAATAAAAGAAACAAGCACGGTTATAAAACAACAAGATGAAGAATTGCTGTCAAGTTGTTATTGTTCGAATTTTATTTCCTTTTTTGTGAAGTGTAAAAATGCTCTTTATTCACTGGATGGGATGGGATGATTCAATTTTCCGTAAAAGATAAATGCAGCTTTGGCAAATAGAAGAGTTGCTTGCAGACTTGAAAACGTTTGAAAACCCCAACATTTTTTGGGAACAATATACGACACCGCCTCATATAGCTGCGTTTTTGGTCCAGATAGCAGAAAACTCTTTTGGAGACTTGAAAGGAAAACTGGTGGCAGATCTTGGCTGTGGTACTGGTATGCTTTGTGCAGCTATGCATTATTTCGGGGCCAAGTATTTGAGTTTTTACTTAACTCCACAGTAGCTAAAATATTGTGTATAGTAGCATTGTCGGAATTGACGTGGACGAATCGGCTCTTGCAGTAAGCAATATTCACACCATGTTCCTAGTTATTTCATTCGTTGGATATAGATTGCCAAAGTAAACACCATTCAGTGTGGCCTTCCAGTGGAGTTATTGCAATCCAATATAACTGAACTTCCTTTCAATTCAGGTAAGGTGGTATTAACTATGACGTGCATTTGTATTTGGCCATAATAGATATTTTGTCATATAGCTGTCTTCGATACCGTTGTTATGAATCCTCCTTTTGGTACTAGAAGAAAAGGAATCGACGTAGTGTTTCTTGAGAAAGCCATCGAAATTGTATATCCTGGAGGATCGATATACTCTCTTCATAAGACTTGTACTCGCAGTTACTTGTACAGAAAGATTCTCCAGCGAAAATGTGAAGGAGAGGTTATTTGTGTATTCGATATTGTGTATAATGGTTAAGTGATATCGATTTTCTTCCAATTTTAGGTATTGGGGAAGTTTATATTTAATCTATCCAAAACCTTTGCTTTTCATAGAATGGAATCTATGGATATCGAAGTAGATTTGTGGAGACTGAAAAGGAAGAAATAATTGGTTTTCATTTGTAAGCTGATAGTTGCTAAACTTGTCAATATGCAGTCAATTCTCTTGTACAAACCGTTGTACTGAATATTCTCCTATTGAATTTCTTCAACTATCTTGCAAACATGTTTTTGTTGTTCTTTAGTTGAAATGTTCTTTAAACATTCCTCTAATATCGAGAATGAAATAATATCTTTTGACACAACTTGTAAAGAATTGTTGTAGAAGAGTCAATAGTTATACAATCTTTAATCAAAAAGTTTCACAACCATGAGAGATAGATATCGAGTTGATCATTTGGTAGAATAGACGCAATGCAATCTCCGTGATCTGTCTCTCAAGCACTTTCGAAAGTCTTATGTCTTTTGTTAGCTGTGACATGTTTTTGAAGCCTTTTAATTTCAAAAGCAGTTGGCGATATGGAAAACTTTCAGTACATAACCGAAACAATTACCTTTTGAAAAGAGTTTCAATATTCTGTAAAGTACAAGTAGCCATCATTGGAGGTGGTATAGCGGGCCTTACGGTAGCTTCTATTTTGCAGAAATATAACGTTGACTACTGTTTATTGGAAGCAAAACCTTATCTGGGAGGTAGAGTTGCTACAGATAATGTCAAAGGCTTTTTATTGGATCACGGGTTTCAAGTTTTTATCGAAAGCTATCCAGAAGTCAAGCAATTGTAGGTATTCGAGGCTTACACGTTTCAAAAAGACTGATGTTGAAATATGTCAAGTATCGACATCAGTAGTTTGAGTTTGCAATATTTTGAACCAGGTGCCTTGATAAGAACAAATACTGGTTTCCATCTTGTAGCTGTTGGTTCATTGTTTCTATTCTTGTCAAAAATGCCCTTAATATTCTTTTTAGGACCCCTTTCGTAGACCCTTATCTATCTTTCAAAGTATCCAGAGCCCTATAGGAAATCTTTCCGATAAATTAAGAGTTGCTTGGCTGAGGAATCGACTCTCAACCAGTTTGATACAAAGAAGTCAGTAAGTAATATTCAGTTGCTGACTCCCTTTTGCTTTCATTTATTGAAAATTTCTACTAGTCATAAGAGGTTTCTTTCGACAGAAGAGTATCTTGAGTCGTTTGGCTTCTCTTCTTCCATTATGCAACAATTCTTTCGTCCCTTCTTACGCGGCATTTATTTGTCCGAATTAGAAGACCAATACTTTGAAGACTTTTTGTTCATATTTTCCATGTTTTCTAAATGCTATGCTTCATTACCAGCCAAAGGAATGGGAAGTATCCCTGCACAGTTGGCTTCGTCCCTGGATCCTCACTCCATTCGTCTGAATACCAAAGTTGACTCATTGCGTGGACGACAACTAGAGTTGAATGGCGATGAACAATTGATGGCTCAGAAAGTTGTCATTGCAACTGACGGTTTGTATATTATCCACTTGAAGATACCATTTTTCATGGAGTTGTTAGGACCTCATGCATCGCAGTTGTTAGGTTCTGCATCCAATATCCCTTCCTATTCTTCTTCCTGTTGTTTATATTTTTCGAGTTCTCTGCCAACCCCAGTTTCATTACCAATCCTCATTTTGAATGGCACAGTTGAAATATCTTCTTCTATTATCAACAATATTTGCTTTCCTAACAAAATCGCACCTTCGTATGCACCTTCCGATCGCAACTTGGTATCTGTGAATCTCCGACTTGATGAGACAGAGTTACCGTTGGATGAATTAGTAACCAAAGCAAAGAATGAACTTGAGAAATGGTTCGACCCTGATGTGGTGCAAGAGTGGCAGTTCCTTCAATCCTATCGAATAGACCATGCGTTACCTAAGCGAACTTCAAGTATTATTTCCGATCCCCCTCCTAACAAGGTAAGAGTATGCTCCATGTACTAGTCATTATTTTCCATTTTGCAAGGTTTCTGAGGATGTTTTCCTTTGTGGGGACTATTGTGATAGCCCTACTCTCAATGGAGCTATGGCATCTGGACGTCGAACTGCTATACAAGTATTGTCTTCTTTGGGAATGAAAGGTTCGATATGAAATGAACCATTGGACAATTCCCAGAAAATATTCCGCAATGAACCAACTTGAAGTTTTTCTTTCCTTTTCTCTATTTAGATATTCACGAAAATGACCAAGTTCACTTCGAGTTGGTACTTACAAGAAACTCTGACGAGTCTATGCGTAGAACAAGAGAAGAATACAAAAAGTAAGCACCAACTTTCTTTAGCTATGTCTCACTTTCATCCATAACCAAGGCACTGTTTCTTATTGATATCGTTCTTGTTGTTATTGACGGGTTGTGACAAACGGAAAGACGTTGTTACCCAGTCTCACTTATTGCCCACCAACCAGTGTATTCCTTGTCCTTTCTATAAGAACAGCAATGAGACTTGTTATTGTTGTTTTCATCCAAACCAAATACGAAAGAACCCAAAAATAACGGCTTTACTAGCAGTTCGCAACGTCGAGTCAACGTTATTCCTTGGGATACGACACTTAACTGAATTCTGTGATAGCATCGTGGTACTGGACGATCACTCCAGCGACAACACTATTCTCGAGTTACAACTGTTATCGCGATATTATCCAATTGAAGCCATTATCTACTTTACTAGCCAATGGAGCAAACGAGACGAACTTGGAGACAGACAAATTCTACTAGAAATGGGAAGACTGCTTCGGAGTACCCATTTCGTGATTATAGACTATGACGAAATATTCGCTGCTGACTGTGTTTCCAATGGACGACTACGAGAACAAATACTTCGACTACCTCGAGGTCATTCGTTGTATATTCCGTGGATTTTTCCATGGAATGGTACTCGATATCACGCAAAACCACTTCATACTGGATTGAACCTTCTCAACCGATCGCTTTCCACTATCTTCGCGGATCATGAAAGCTTGGAATACCCTACCACATCTTCAACTAGAACGTCGACAGAAATGAGCATTCATATTGGTCGCATTCCTAACTTTCGAAACGGTAGCAAAACGACCACATGGTTGGCCAACGAGTGTAAAATATTGGATCTTCGTTTTGTATCTTTACATAACTTGGAGAAAAAATTACTTTGGTATGATGCTTTGGGACGAATATTTAACGTTTCCAGAGATGTAAGAGGCAAAGTGTTTCGAATCAATGATATGCATTTTTGTCTGGAACCTATGTCTCAAGAGTGGATTCGTTATAGTTACTTCGATCCTTCTCTATTTTACGATTCCGACGAATGGCGATGCAAACAACTTCGTAAGTGGAAGCTTGAATATCCCCATTTGTTCTCCAATGAATGTAACGACTGTGAAATTGCCAATCGCAAGCATCCCTATTGTCATCACAAAAACCTTTCTGAACAGTAATCATATGAGAAATGATGACTTTTAGTCGACTCGATGCATTCTTAAATGTTGCCACTGTTATAAAGAAATGTTAGAGCCATAACTTATGGAATATTCTCTTGACCCTACTTTTACAAGTTCATCGTATGACATACTTCCTCCGAATAGGTCCAATGCACTACCGACAGTAAAATCTACTCTGCCTTTGCCAAGTTTCTCAATGAGTTCCTGAAAGCGTAATAAAGACGTTATCCCAATATCCATCAATTTCCGAACAACCATATACCACATCTTCCATATTACGAATGCCTCCAGCATATGTACAAATTTTCGGTGAGTAGTCACTCAATAATGAAACCAAACTAAGCAGCTTATCAGATTGGAAACAACTTGCCAACAACAAAACTTACTCTCGATCAATTCCTTGTTTTTTTCCTTCCATATCAACAGCATGAACCAAAAATTCATCGCAGTAATCGCTTAGAAGATTTAAATTTTGATCATTCAATTGGAACTTTGTCAAAATTTGCCAAAGATTGGTACACACAAAGTAGTGACCGTCGATCTTCCGAGCGCTCAAATCCAGAACCAGTCGCTTCGGATGGACCAACTTGGCAACTTGCTCTAGGCGTTCAAAGTAAAAATGCCCGTCTCGAAATACATAGGAAGTAATAATAACGTGACTCGCTCCTTGCATCAACCAAAATTCAGCATTCTGTGGTGTGATACCTCCACCGACTTGTAGGCCTTGTGGAAACGCCTGAATAGCAGCCTTGGCTGCCTGTACATTCCCATTTCCAAGCATAATGACGTGCCCCCCATATAACTCATCCCTTGCATACCTTCTTGCGTAGGCATCGGGTTCTAGTTCGCTTTCAAAATTGGTGATTAGATTTTTCTTTCCAGCTTGTTGGTCATTTAAAGAGCTTCCTACAATTTGCTTCACTTTGCCTTCATGAATATCGATGCAGGGTCGAAAGCGAGTATTGCGTTTGGGAGAAGCAGAAACGCTGGCAACGTAGTGAAAACTGTGGAAACGTTTTCTCTTACAGTGCCACAAATGTTCTCGATCTAAACTATACTGTAGGCGATTCTGGCGAAGTTTTGTGGAAACATGACCACAAGAGCCAACAAACAACAGTCTGCTCTTCCCAGTAGGAAACATCCTTCTCTATTTCGGAATTGGGGTGATCCAGAGAAGAAAAATGTAAATTTCACATTTTGGCGCTTATTTCTTGTGAGGCATTTTCAAAAACAAAACTTTGAAATGGATTCCTCTGCCTCACCCATAGACGACGATAGCATCATTCAAGAAAGTTTGCTATATGATTCAGAGAAACAGGAAATTTTAGAGCCCGTTGAATACACACAAACACGCTCTAAGTTTCAACACTTGTTTTCATCTTATGCTAGAGCAGGTAGTCCTCTTCTCTTTGGTGAAGACGCAGGGAACTTGAGAATTCTTCAGCTCGACGTCGACTATGAAATCGTTCAAAAGGATACATTTTTAGAAGACTCGAGTTCTGCGGCTGTTCTTCGAATTTATGGTGTCACGGAGGGTGGTAACAGTGTCTTGGCTCGAGTGCACGGTTTTCGTCCGTTTTTCTTCATTATTTGTCCCTCTCAGTTTGACCCAGCGGACCTTCCAGCCATTAAGGAGAGTCTCGAAAAACGTGCACGGGCAGTGTCTTCTATGAAAAACTGTCAAGGCCCTATCATACATGATTTGGAAATATTTGAAGGTCGTTCGCTGTTATATTTTGTTCCGAGCGATCCGCTCATTCGTTTTTTGAAAATTACTGTGGCACTCCCATCATATGTTAGACAGGTTTGTAGATATTTTATCCAAACCTTAATAGCATCACTTATATCACTTAGCTGGCTCAAATTTTAGAAAGGGGTGATATAGATTTCTCTCCATACGAGGAATCGCGCTATTCGACGTTTGAAGCTTCTGTAGATTTCATATTAAGATTCATGATTGAAACAAACATGTATGGCTGTTCGTGGGTAGAAATGCCATCAAACAGATATCATCTCCCGGAAAAACAAACTTCGCATATGCAGTTCGAAATTGATATTCATTACACCCATTTGGTAAGAAATATCTCCTCGATTTAGATTAGTTTTCATTTCATGGTCAGGTATGTCATGCACCTCATGGTGAATGGCTTAAAACAGCACCCATTCGTATACTTTCATTTGATATAGAATGTGCTGGAAGACCCGGAGTCTTTCCAGAGCCGGAACACGACCAAGTAATACAAATTGCTAATTATATGACGGAAACAGGAAAATCAGAACCAATTGCTCGGACAGTTTTAACTTTAGGTTCATGTGCACCTATCGCTGGTGCAAAGGTACTCAGTTTTGATTCTGAAGCAGAATTATTGGAGGCTTGGTAAGGATTAACTTGAATCTTCTGCTGGAATTCATCTGAACTTTACCAAGGGTTTCCTTTCTTTGTGCTACGGACCCTGACATTTTGACAGGATATAATATAGTCAATTTTGATCTTCCATATCTACTTAATCGCGCAAGTGTGTTGCATTTATCCTCTTTTCCATTTCTTGGACGATTGATGGGAGTCATGACGAAAATGCACGACACGAGACTGAGCTCCAGTGCTTTTGGAACACATGAAAGCAAAGCATTCACGATGAATGGGCGAATTATTGTGGATATGTTGCAGGTGCATTCTCGTAGATGTCTCATTTTTTCAATCAATAATGAGTTTTGTCCTTTAGATCCTTGTACGTGACTACAAGCTGCGTTCTTATTCCTTGAATTCTGTATCTTTTGAATTTCTCGGTGAACAGAAGGAGGATGTTCACCATTCGATCATAACTGAATTGTTCCATGGAAATGAAAACACTAGAAGGAGACTGGCAGTATACTGTTTGAAAGTAATGAATATGATGACTTATTTTGCAAATCTCATTCCTATTTTAGGATGCTTATCTTCCACATCGATTAATGGAGAAATTAATGTCTCTCACAAATTATATGGTGAGTTGAGACAAAGTTCACTACTGAACAAGTTAAATTCCCTTAGGAACTGGCACGTGTAGCAGGAATTCCACTGGCATGGCTACTCTCGAGAGGACACATGATCAAAGTTGTCAGTCTGCTTCATAGGAAGGCATTTCCCGAAAGTTTATTGATTCCGGATTTGAAGAATACTAGCCACAATTCTTCAGAGGAAGCAGAAAGGTTAGTTGATGATTGTTTGACTTGTCGACAACGTTTTAATCCTTTTTTCCAGTTATGAAGGCGCAACCGTAATCGAACCAAAACGTGGATTTTACAAGATGCCCATCGCAACATTAGACTTTGCTTCATTATACCCCTCTATTATGATGGCACATAATATTTGTTATTCTACTCTAGTTCGGAAAGTATGAAAATTGGCATTCGCTGTTGTAACCATTTCTTAGTATCAATAGGACCGTGTGAAATACTTGAAGCCTGAAGACTATATCAAATCACCAAGTGGAGACTGCTATGTTCGTCCATCAGTGAAAAAGGGAGTGTTATCCAAAATTTTAGAAGATTTGCTTTCAGCTCGCAAAGTAGCAAAAAGAGAGTTAGAACAGGCGACAGACCCGTTTCTAAGATCTGTCCTAAATGGACGACAGTTGGCTTTGAAGATTTCAGCTAACGCTGTTTATGGATTCACTGGAGCATCTCGTGGAAAGCTTCCATGTACCGAAATTTCAGCTTCCATCACAGCTTTTGGTCGCCGGATGATTGAGACTACCAAGTCCCTGGTTGAGTCCAAATTTCCATCCAGTGTAGTGATTTACGGAGACACAGACTCAGTGATGGTAAAATTTAGAGACGACTTGGTTGGTAAAACTTGGTTATGGATAGGAATCTGTTTCTTACATCGTGTCCACAGACTTTAGAGGAGTCGATGTCTTTAGGTCAACAAGCTGCTGATATCATTTCCCAAAGTTTTCCGAAGCCTATTAAGTTGGAGTTTGAAAAATGTTATTATCCTTATCTTTTGATTCAGAAGAAGAGATATGCTGGGTTACTTTGGACGAAGACGGAAACCTATGATAAGATGGTGCGTATGTTGTCTCTATGCTAAGTCACAGTGAATTCAATTGTGGAGTTATAATATTAGGATTGTAAAGGAATCGAGACTGTGAGACGTGATAATTGCAAGTTAGTAGCTAATGTTGTATCTAAAGTCCTTGAGAAGCTACTTGTCGAACGCGATGTACAAGGCGCTATTGACTTTGTAAAGAAAACCATTTCAGACCTTTTGCAAAACAAGGTGGTTGAAATCAATCGAATTGTAGATACTGGTTGCTAAGGGTATTTTAAATTAGGTTGATATTTCCTTATTGGTAATTTCTAAGGAACTATCCAAGGCAGCTGCCGATTATGATGCCAATCAAGCACACGTCACTTTATATAAGAAGCTTTATCAACGTGATCCAGGTTCCGCACCCTCGTTAGGCGATCGAATTCCTTACGTTACCATAAAAGGACGTAAGGATCAGGTATGTTGAGTCTAATGAAGTTACATTTCCGTTCATGCCTGCTTTCTAGCCTGCACATGAGAGAGCTGAAGATCCTATATACGTTTTGGAGCATAATTTGCCTTTAGACACGGAATACTATCTAAAAAATATGTTGCGAAAGCCACTGGAGCGCATCTTTGAACCCATTATAGGCAAAAATGTTTCGAGTTTGTTTGAAGGTGAACATACCCGTTCTATCACAGTTACTACTCCAAGTACAGGTGGTATTATGCGTTTTACAAAAGTACGTTATTTCTTTTCTTGAATGCTGTTTCATTTCATACCATTGTTCAGGTTTCTGTTACTTGTCTTGGTTGCCGAACTCCTATTCCGCAAACTGAAAGCAAGGAACCGCTTTGTAAATACTGTAAAGGTATATGTCCTTTTCTTTGGATTCATTTTAGTTTATCCATTTCGTGTCTAGCAAATGAAGCTTCTATATATGAGAAAATTCTTTGCAATGTGCGTGAATATGAACGTCAATATGCCATGTTATGGACTCAGTGTCAGAGATGTATGGGTTCCATCTGTCAAGATGTTTTATGTTCCAATAGCGATTGTCCTATCTTCTATAGGCGTCGCAAAGTTCAAAAGGATTTGGAAGATACTTCAAAACAACTTGAACGATTCGAAATTCTTCCTCCTCCATCATGGTAGTAGTAAGGCTGTAATAGGAAATCTTTTAGATTTTGTTGTAGTCACTTTCTCTTGGTTAGTATTTTGGGCCACACCTTATGTCTCACAAGAAAAGAAATAAACCTATTGGTGGGAAGGAGGGTGTAGTTTTTGATCGGCCTGTGCCCAAGTTTCTGCAATCCTACGTGCAGTCACCAACAGAACAAGTCGATGGAGAAGCCAAATGGGAGAGACAAACTGAAGAAGTCAACGTCCAACAAGAAATAGCCAACTTAAGAAAGCAAGGGTTTCATATAGAGCCTGACCCTTGTTATACCGAAAGAACCCTTTCGTCGTCAACTATGGACCAACCAAGCAATGACTCGTGGAAGCAGTCAGAGAGTAAGGAATCACCGAACCCTTCCCCTCTTTTGGATAATAGAAAAGGAGCATCGCCATCTTCACGTGGTAGAAACCAAACAATAGCAAATATTGGCATTAGAAAGCGACAGAATACGACATCTAACAGGGTCACTCAAAAGGAGAACAAAAAGTTATCAACCCATCGTGCAAAAGTTGTGGATAGACAACTCCTTTCTTTTCAAGAACAAGATGAATAATAGTTGTATTTAGAAAACATGGCATAGATGATGAGTTTTTTTGGTTACAAGTTGGTGGTGGGCAAACATGCCTTTGATAGTATTATGTGGTTATCCACTGAGTGGAAAGACAACTTTTGCTCGGCAAGTCTTGAACCACTATCTCTTGTATCTATATTTATGGAATATTTAGTAAACTTGAAAGTATATGTGAACAGAAAAAAGTGGCTTGTTTCTCGAAAAGTGATGGAGACCTTAATGAACCGAGAGATCTCCTTTACAGGTACGTAAGTCGTTTCTTTCGAACAAAGGGAAAGCAAAATGGTGTCTTTAGAGACTCCAAAGCAGAGAAAACGACGAGAGCAAGACTTCGGACCGAAATAGAACGCGTCTTGGACAAAGAATCTTTGGTTATCTGTGACTCGCTAAACTACATCAAAGTTCGTTTTTCGTTGAACGTTTCTCCAACTCATAGAAACTTAGGGTTATCGATATGAGTTGTTTTGTCTAGCACGTTCGTTGAACACACAATATGCTTTGGTATTCTGTATAAGCTCCAGGGAACAAGTGATGCAACGAAATTATCTTCTCAAACAAGAAAACGGAGACTACTATTCCGATGAAGGTAAGTTTTTACAGTTACGCTGTTCTTATTTTCAACAAGTTTAGTTTTACGAGGTTTGATGGAACGGTTCGAACCCCCGTTATCGGAGAATCGTTGGGAGCGGCCTCCTTTTGTAGTTGACGAAAGTAAAGGAGTTGCTGATTCTTCTTTTCGTTGTTGTGCTGATGCTTTTGAAAGATACTGACGTGGATAGGGAATGCGAACAAATCATTTCGTTTTGCAGTAAGTAGTTGTTGTTGTTGTTGAAAGTGGTCGAAAGTGACTTTTCTTTTTAGAAGACGCAAAGGTAGCTTTGCGAGCTGTGTATGTATTGCTAGTTGTAAAGTAATTTTGGTCTCACTCCATTCCAAGTATTGCAACAAAGAAACTGCCTGTAACTGCTAACAATATTTTGGAACAAGCGGAAAAGGTGACTCAACGAATTGAAACACAGATATTTGAAAGTAAGTTGGATAAAAAGATCGGAAATCTTTCTTCATATATTTTTTCAGGATGCGAGCCCTATATTCCTTTACAACTGGCAGAATCTTCGCATGTCTTTCAATCCTCTAGGTAAGCAAAGAGGAGAGGAGTTTCCAACTTCATCTCAATATGATAGCAGAAAAGTGACTTTAGCTGAGTTAAGAAAAATAAGAAGAAGCTTCATGAGAGTGATTCAGAAGAATCTTTCATCTTATCACAGTGAAAGGGAAATAGCCGATAGTTTTGTGGAATATCTAAACACACAGCTACAGCAAGCACGACATTGATTTTTACATAAACGCATATTTCGATAAAACAAAAACGCACACGTCAAAATCCACAAACATTACAATTGCAAATAACTAAATAGCCTATGATGAAACCAAGATACGAGTAATTTGGTCTTGCAAGTGTTCAGGAATACCTTTGCGCTTCCATTTCTTCATCTTCCCAGACGACTGAAGCGTATCCCATGCAGTGACAATCTTATCATACACAATAGTACTGCAGTTTAGGTGCTGTTCCAAGTCGGACATATTTAAACAAGTCTCAAGAGCTTCTTTCAGAGCAATCGACCCGTTGGTACATCCAAATTTTTCAGCATAAAACGCCGAGATATTAACAAGGTGATCGTAGCAAGCAACAGATTCATTGACCAACGACAAATTTCCACAAATACAACCACCAATACGCACGATGTCTTTTCTATAAACTGTTTTACAAGTATTATAAGCTTGACGACCTTCTTCGCCAAGATGCTCCAAAAACATTTGGTGCTTGTGGTGATGCTTTCGTTGAGTAGAAACCTTAATGAGCATATCATCGCCTTCACGCACAGTAGACACTTTTGCTTCATCAAATCTGGCCTCCAACGGGAGCTCCAAGCTTTCCTCCACTGTTACGGGTTGACCTTCTCTCTCCGCGACGGCACGAACCCTCAGAACGCCTTCTTCAACGTACGCTTCAACTGGGGCATTACGGTGAGTTTCAGGGACTTTCCATCTAGCTACTAGCTTGTGGTCCTTCAAGCGCTCTAAGCGGATGGTTCCCTGAGGCTGCTCCTCTGACGACACTTCACCTTTCAAGTTTTCCACTCCTCTCTTATTTCGTTTCCAGACATCATTTATCCCATCCAGAGACTTTCCAAAACGGTCTTTTCCAACATGTCTCCCTTTCAAGTAGTCTCTCCTGGGCGCAAAAGAATTGTCCTCTTTGGTGCCTGTCCTACTATTCAAAACTTCACTCCGAGCTTTCAGTTTTCCACGGTGCGCCTAAAGGGTATTCTTATACAACCAACTACAAAAACTAAACAATCCTACCTCTGAGAGACTTACAAGGATAACTAAAATAGCTAGTGTCAACAGGTATTTGCGCCAGTCACGTGATCCTCTTGACATAACTACAATTTTCAAATGGGCTTCGGAAGAAGAAGTGCACACGTTGTCTTTTAAATGAAAAGTCCCTGGCGATTGGACACCGTTCCAAGTGAACAACATTGGAACCTTCGTGTCTCTTCTGGAAATTCATTTTCTCCGATTACACGTTAGGGCCCAATTTCGATTAGAACGCTGCATTCTAGAAAATGAAACTTGAGTAATAATTTTATTGGACATTATAAAGAACTGTTGTTTGCGTTTGTTATAGGAAGCGTAGTAAAGTTCAGTGAGAAAAAACTCAAATGAAAAGGTCTTTATAAAAGAGTATTTAACGAAAGATTTTCTCTTTTTCTGAAATTAATTACCAAGTTGAAATCTCTGAAGCTATCGTCAGTACGAAACTACTCCTTGGCATGAGAAATAAATTTCTTCCATTGCGTAGCATATTAAAATTCGGCATGCCCGAAATTTAATCACTCAAAGAAAAGCTGAATAAAGAACTTTCACTACTATCCAGACAATAGAATCAGTAACTGGACAAACAACTTTATTTTCATCATCACCAACGCTGCTTTTAAATTCAGAGCAGTTCGTCAATTGATTGTTTGGCGCTGAATAACTATAAAGAGCATTTCTATTGCTTCTTGTACTGACAAAGAAATAAATAATTTGATGAAAAATAATTTTAATTCTTAGTCGTCAAACTATTCCTTTCATAAAATTCCCTTAATAAACAAGATGTACATGCTAATAGAATTTAATTTGAGCACTCTTTTATTGTAGCTTTAATGTTAAATTTTTCTTTTTAGAATTAATTGGCTTTTTAATGTTCAAACTGTTACAGTGTTTTATTGTACTTGATAATGATATTATTTTTTAATCAAATCAAAAGTAGTTGCATTTGTTTTTTTTTCGTTTTTTCATTTCAAGTACTTGCAAAAATTAGAACAAAGAAAACTTTGAAATATCGTCTCACGCTTCTGTTCAGATAATGACCCCCCGCTTAATTGTACTACATCCTTTATTGAACCAGTTTCGCTAGTTTTTATGTTTCTAACAAACACTGTTGTTTCAGAAACTTGTTTTTATATTTCGCAGTCCTGTTGTATCCTATCAAAGAGACGTTTTAGGCTTGTTTGTAGAAGAAACTTGTCGGTTTCGAAGTTTCTTGCTTGTAGTTTCAACCAAAGTCTACTTTTGAGGAAAGGTTTAGAATTGGATGCTTTTTCTCTTTCTCCTCGTAGGTCTTTCTGTTCTTTAAATGCTTCACTAGACGGTGTTACAGAATCAACAGACGAGACCAAGTTTGGTTTTATTGCTCTTTTAGGCAGGACAAACTCAGGGAAGTCGACACTTTTGAACGCTCTAGTTGAAACGAAAGTAGCTATTGTTACTCCGAAGGTGCAGACCACTCGAACCAAAGTAGTTGGAATCCTTACTCAGGGTAATTCGCAACTTGCTTTCATGGTCAGTTTCGATGTCTATTTTTGTAGCGCTAGTATTGATTGAGTTGTTAGGACACTCCAGGAATGTTTACTCCAAAGAAGCGTTTAGAGCGAGCTATGATTGAGGTTGCTAGGAAAGCTCAATATGAAGCAGATTTGATTGTTCTTGTGGTGGATGTTAGCAAAGCTCTACGTTCTGGAGACGATACTTTGGATGAAACGACGTTAGAAATAGCGAAATTATGTAGTCATCGAAAAACAAGTTCAGGTAAAACATTTTTGTTCTTCTGTCATGTATTGTGTAAACTATTTTGGTTAGAATTATTTCTTTGTTTGAACAAAGTGGATCTCGTTTCAGTTCCTCAGTTAAAGCGTGTGGAAACTGTTGTTGTGACAAGTTTCAATTTGTCGTTTCGTGAAATTTTCAAAGTATCGGCACTTCATGGTCAAGGTGTTCGTGAAATGAGGGATGCATTGATACCATTTCTACCTCAAGGTCCTTGGCTATTTGATCCAGACGATATGACCAGCATGTCCATGAGATCTTACGCAGCAGAAATTACTCGAGAGAAACTTATCTTGAAATTGAAGCAAGAAATTCCATATGCTATAGCTGTAGAAACGGTGGATTGGAAAGACTACTCAGATGGCTCGATCAGAATTTTGCAGCACATATTTGTAGAGCGCGAAGTGAGTGATCGTATCATGAGAATGTTCATTGTTGTTGATATGTTTTGCAATGATAGAGCCAAAAAGTTATTATAATAGGCCGTCGTGGTCAAAATTTGAAACAACTGGGAATAGAAACTCGACAAGAACTTGCTCAAATTTTTGGAAAACCTGTACATTTATTTCTTCAAGTGAAAATTCGTAAGGATTGGAGTGAGGATGTCGAGTACTATAAAAATTGGGGTTTGAAGTATCGAGTATGAGAGAAGAGTTCAGTCACTCGTGGAATGAGTTGGGAAATATATAAACGTGTTTTTTAAGAGCTGTTGTGTGTGTCCTGAAAAGGTAAGAAACTATAGCGAAATTTTCATGGGAGACAATCAATCAAACCGAAAAGTCACTCTTGTCGTAAAGACCTCGTGGGTAGTAGTCTCATAAAAAGAAAATTTTATACGCTTCATTTTGATATATATATGTGGTAGGACTGGAAGGAATCCGCCTCCCAACCAACCCTACATACCCCCATCATGGGAGATTTTCTCTTCCAATCGATAATAGTAGAGATGAACAATTGTCAAGGAAAAAAGTGTCAAAAGGAACAATATGATAAACAAAGAGAACAAGTAGCCCATTATTATGGCACTGTATTGAGTTCCAATCGAGACTTGAAGTCTTCAGCTTGTTGTCAAGCACAAGAACCGTCCATTCACAAAGCCATATGTAGTCGGTTGCCCGATGAAATTCTAGAAAGATTTTATGGTTGTGGAAGTCCTATTCCTCCTGCGTTAACCAACGCAATAGTTCTGGACCTCGGATGTGGTACGGGAAGAGACGTGTACGTTTGTAGTGCTTTGGTAGGTGTTGGTGGTAGAGTGATTGGATTGGATATGTTGGATTCCTCTTTGCAAGTAGCAAGAAAGTATCAAACGACTCTATCAAAACAGTTCTTTCCAGATTTGGAGTCGTATTCCAATGTCGAGTTTCTCTGTGGATATATGGAACAGTTGGAAGAAGCTGGAGTGGAAAGGGAGAGTTGTGACTTGGTGATATCCAATTGTGTCATCAATTTAGTGCCTAATAAGGTACGTTGGTTTGTCTTTGGTATTGAATGAGTGAATCGGTTGTATAGGAACAAGTATTTCGACAAGTGTACTATACGTTGAAAGTAGGAGGAGAACTTTATTTTAGTGATATATATACGGATAGGAGAATGAGTGAAGTGGCAAAAACAGATCCGCTTCTTATATGTGAGTGTTTAGGAGGAGCACTATATTTACAAGATTTTAAGTCGATAGTGGAATCCATTGGCTTTTTGGATCCTCGAATGGTAACTTGCAAGAAAGTAGAACATTCACTTTCGAATGAACTCGAGTCCAAAATCAAAAATGTGACATATTATTCTTGTACTTTTCGTATGTTTCGTCTGAATGATGGGTTATTAGAACACAATAGGGAAGATTATGGAGAAGAAGCTGTTTATTTGGGTACAATAACAGAATGTCCAGACGTTTTTGAGTTGGATATGGATTATCGATTTCCTAAAGCTGTCAGTGTTCCAGTTGATCATAATACTGCCAATATTTTAAGATATTCTAGATATGGTAGTCACTTTTGTGTAAGTGAGAAGATGGAACATAGAGGGCCCTTCATTCAAAAGAAAGGGAATTGTTGTTACAACTTAGTTGATTGGCATAAATAAAATATGGTACTTTATCGAAAAGGATTGGTAAATATGTTACAAAAGTCATTGAAGGAGTTTAAAGATGTTGTTCGTGCGGAGGGGATTAAGGAAGACTTTTCCAAAAACGAGTATTTTGTAACCAAAGGAGAGAAGATACGTGCCAATAGACTACAAGCACAGTATAGAAGAAAGGCAAGCAAGACGTGGAATATGACAAATACTTTGTTGGAAAGACAATCAAGAGGTTTCTAGTGGCGCATATAAATATATATATATAGAGAGAGAGAGAGAAAGACAGATATTATGAAAGAAGGAGTATAAAAGTGGAACAAAGGAAAAATAAAGAGTCAAGTTGGTTCAATAAAGAATGGCTTTGGATCCCTATTTCATGAGTTGTTGCGGCCCTTGTGGGTTATTGAAAGGATGAAGTATAAACAAACTGCTCCAAGTGAAAATGTTATTCCACAAGAAGTGAGTGCGAATAAGTTACGTGCTTGTATGGTTTGTGGGTTGGTTAAGACGTTCAACCAGTTTGTTGTCTTTGGTTGTGAAAACTGTCCAAGTTTAATAGACGTTAGAGTGGCAGATAGGGAACGTGTGGCAACCGTCACTACGAGCTTGTTTTCAGGGTAACCAATAGATTGACAATTGACTAAGCTCTTACTCAACTGAATAGATTGGTGTCCGTTACTCGTCCTTTGGATAGTTGGGTGGCAAAGTGGCAACGAGTTTCTCGTCTGGTACCTGGTTGTTATGCAATAGCTGTAAGAGCTGCACTACCTGAAGATATTTTAGAAGAATTGGAAGAGAAAGGACTTCAAGTACCTCGAACGAGAGCCACAGCGGCAGCATATGAATATTCATAACTCAATATACTAAGAAGAACGTGTTTATTGTGTTGACTAGTGTAGCTTCTTAACAAAGTTCAACTATGAACTACCATTGTGTCAAGCGTTCTTTCTTGGATAGTACAGGTTCTTCAGATTGTCCATATGGACTATGTAGTTTTTCTAACAAGTGATATCGTATTCTGCCGTTTGACTCTCCTTCCACAGTAGCAAATAAAGTCAACAAGGAACGATGTCCCTACAAATATATATATATATATAAGGCTCAAGTTATAAAACAACTCTTTCCTACCAAGTAAGTAGCTATAGAATCACGTGCCATATTGGTACACCAGTCACTTGTGAAAAGTCAGCCAACGTAAACCATCTTCAAGTCTACTTACTGTCTACTGATATCTGGATGTCCTGTTCCTACATATTTGGTTTGTAAGTGTTCCAGTTGTGAGTAAAGGTTCTGTTGTGGATGCGTTGCCATAAGAAAAATCAAATCTTCATAGATTGATGAATGGACGATTCCCTTATGAAGCGACAGAATAGCTATCGTTTTCACCTTTCATACTAATTGACTTTTCTAAATCTTGATTGAAAGAAATGAGTGTGCAGCTAGTTACTATATGTTTACTAGCTGTATTAACTATCGTTCAAAGCAAGGCCAAATCAACAACTCAGGTTACTTTATATAGTGACGTGAACTGTTCAACTTCCATTATCTCTTACTACTAAACTTCCAATACAAACTGTTTCGTAATTAACCAACCTCCTTTAGGACCTATAGTCTCTATATTACAGTTCGTTCCTCTAAAAAGCAACCTTCTAGCCTGACTATTCAGCTATGTATCCACGGTTCAACTGGAGCCTCTTGTACTGGAGTAGATATCTGAGTAGTACTTGTAATGAAAAGTGGACACGATTATTAACTCTACCAAATATCCTTATGCTGTGGAGTTTCAGAAAATAAGTATATCGACCATCTTAGATGGATAACCATGGGTTCCTATTTCTTGTGTTTCTTTGTTTCTCTCCATTTCGTTGGTTCGTGATCAATCATCTCCAAGTTTGTTGTTGAAACCCTCAAAAGTTTATTCCTTTTCGGATTGTTCCATATTTTCCGCCATATGAATGCTCGTCTCTGCAGTTTCTTCCACTTCATCTTCTTCATCTATTGGATATTCTTCCATAAATCTCCTCAAATATTTTTCAAAATAGCGCTTCAATTGATAGGAATGATCAGTAGATTCCTTATAATAATTCCTCATTGTCTTCCATATCTCTGGCCATTGTTTGTTTTCTACTACTTTCTTAAATCCTCCTCTTCGCTTCACACCTTCATAAAGTGCATAAAAATCAAAAGGTTTACCTCGAAACATGGGAATGACTTCCAAAGGTTGTGAACAGGACTCCCAAAAAGAACGTAACTTATCCAAAAACTTTTTCTCTTTCTCTGAAACTCGAACAAATGGAGGAGCCGCTGGTCTCGAGTCTCTACGAAAACATCGTTCTCTGCCATTCTTCTTTTTTGTTTTCCATAAAAGTTTCGGAGTCCATTGACTCTGATGCATAGTGGAAACAACTTGAGGGTTCTCTCCAAATACAGGATGATAGTCTCCCATTCCAGTATCATCCATGGCTTCATAGGCATCTCGGTCTAAAGAAGATAAAAGACCTGTCCATTCTAATTGGCGAACAGAATGTATATGTTCTGACCATTGTTCTTGAGAAACTACAGACTGAATGGCTTTCAATACTTCATGAGCCAAACTACCTTTTTTTACTCCACTGGGATGACACATGAAGCATTTGTAATCACTTTCCATCAACTTATCCCATTCGTGTGGGTTCACTCCAATGCAATATTTATGTGACCAAGTCTTACAAACGGAACATTCTACCATATCGCCTGTATCAACTTGCCAACCACATGGACATCGAACGATATCAAAACCTAAAGTAAACATCCCTATATTGGTATCTATAGAGAGATAACCTGATGACCATACTTACGTTGCAGTTCCGTTGGCTTCCTATCCAACTCGGGATAAATAACTTTATTCAACGAGGACTCTTCCCAACAACTGCTGGAATCATCATATTCTAACTCGGATTTTTCTTCAACTGAATGCAAAGCTCCTGTGGCCAGGATGGAAATAACTTGACCCTCTTGATGCAGCGTTTCTTCTTTATCCATAGTAGGTGTCACCAAACGGAATGATTGGTTAGATCTTTGAAAAGTTTTTAGAGAACTGGGATGATGAGTAAAACAACACTTTGCTATTTCATCAACCATAGTTGCATAAGGATTCCACGCGCCCAGTTGCCAATGGACTTGTTCCAGGTTGAGAAGAATATTCCTTCCATCATCTAATATGACTTGATGGAGTTTCTTTTCCATATGATAACTAACTATAGTTCCCCATTTCCAACAAACATTCTCTTTTTGAGAATGGGTTACCAGTTTCAAAGTGTAGCCTAACAATGAAGATGCTATTTCTGATATGGAACCCGTTCTCAACTCGGAAGGTGGTGACTGTTCCAAAGTTTTTCGTTGTCTTTCATAAGGCAACAAAATTTCATGATAGATACGTTGTAGATATCGTGGACAAGTATATGGAGATTGGTAGAGAGCGAATTTCTTTCGAATATCGTTCCATCTCTCATATATAGTAACACACTAGGCAATAGTTGTAAGCTCATCATTATTTTTCATAGATGATATGGACTTACTTCATAACCACCATGAAAGATATACACCTCCACAAAAAAGTCGGGAAGAAACTTCTCTATGGGTACAAAACTTACTTTTTGTGGGATATCCTTGTCCACGGAAGGTGGCCACTGGTTACCTAGTTCCACATAATAGGCAATAATATCATATGTAAGGTTCCTTTCCAAGTTGGGTTTGGTTTGATATATCTGAGAACAATAGATAGCCATGAAGTTTATCTATGAATATTCATACAACATATATATATTCTTTCAAAGGGAACCAATGTTTTGCTGGAGGAAAGATATTCTTGTTGTTCAAAAGACGACAGAGATATATAAAATAGAAAGAGTTGTGTATAAATATTCTAAAACGATAACTTTCTAAATATGTATAATCTTAATACCAGTAATGGACCACTTTGAGTACAATCTTAGAGTGGGCTTATAGTGACACAATGCACTCACTACACTCTCTTCGAATCCAAAAAAAGAAAAAGAAATGATTAGTAAATGGGAGTTTCCACAAAGTAGATAAAATAGTTTCATATAAGATGGACGCTTTTGATGTGAAATAATAAAAGACAGTTGAAAAAACTTTACATTATAAAACAAATATAGTTGAAAGGTACTTTTAGAGTATCAAGTCCATGTAAGCTTTTTATTGGGTATCTATTCTTTTGTATTGCACTTTACAACGACGCCGTCTCTCACGAGTGGTACTTCGTATGGACACTCGTCACGAAGAACTTAGTGTGGCATTGGACAAATCCGTTTCTTTATTTAGTGATTGATTTTTGCATCACGTTTGTTTTCAAAGAATGACAGGAACCAATGAAGCTGAACAACAAGTACAAACCAACAGACATTTGTTGCCTCAGATAGTGAAACCAAAACTATATAAACTGCAGTTAGAACCTGAACTCGAGTTTCCTGAGCAAAATGGCGCCCAAGGAAAGCAAGACTTGAAGTTTCAAGGGAAAGCTAACATTGAACTGGAGATCATTTCTTCCACCAAGTAAGTGCAGTATCTTTTTGTTCACGAAATACTAAAGGTGATGACCGCTAGATGTGTGACCTTGCACGCCTTGGATTTGGAAATTAAAGAGGCAGCTGTGGAGGTAAACAACTCTAAGCTCATCAAGGCGGAAAACATAAGTTATGACAAAGAGCAACAGACTGCAACTATTCTGTTTCCAGAGACTCTTTTACCTACTCAAAAAGTGGCGATTCAGTTGGACTATACCGGTACTCTCAACGACCAAATGGTTGGGTTTTATCGTTCTTCCTATAAAGGTTCGAATGGAGAAACAAGATATATGGCAACCACTCAATTCGAGCCAACGGATGCTCGTAGAGCCTTTCCTTGTTGGGATGAACCTGCTATCAAAGCTGTGTTTGAAATAACGTTGATTGTTCCTGCAGATCGTGACTGCTTGAGTAATATGATTGCAGTTTCTGAGCATATCAATGAATCGGGGAAAAAAGTTGTGCAATTCCAAAGAACACCCATTATGTCTACCTATTTGTTAGCCTTCATAGTGGGGGAGTTTGACCATATTGAAGACAAAACAGAACAAGGCATAATGGTTCGCGTGTATACCTTAAAAGGGTCTTCGGAATTGGGCAGATTTGCATTGCAAGTTGCAGTGAAGACTTTAACTTTTTTTGCAGAATTCTTCGATATTGCTTATCCATTACCTAAAATGGACTTGGTTGCTATTCCAGACTTTGCTGCTGGTGCAATGGAGAACTGGGGATGTGTTACATTTAGAGAGACAGCGTTATTAATTGATCCTGCCAATTCTTCTACAGTTGCTCGTTCTCGAGTTGCTGAAGTTGTTGCCCATGAACTTGCTCACCAATGGTTTGGCAACTTGGTAACTATGGAGTGGTGGACCCATTTGTGGTTGAACGAAGGCTTCGCAACATGGGCAGCAGATTTGGCTGTCGATCATTTATTTCCTAGTTGGGGTACTTGGTTGCAGTTTGTAAGTTCTACATTCTCCGCTGCTCTAAGGTTGGATTCATTAGAGTCCTCACATCCTATAGAAGTAGAAGTAAAGAAAGCAGGAGATGTCAATGAAATATTCGATGCCATATCGTATTGCAAGGGAGCGTCAGTGATTCGAATGCTGGCCAATTATTTGTCGTTGGAATCCTTCCAAAAGGGATTGCAAGTTTATTTGAAAAAGTTTAGCTATAAGAATGCTGCAACAGATGATTTATGGAAGGTTTTAGAAGAGGTTTCTGGCAAACCAGTATTTTCGATGATGAGTCTGTGGACACGGCAAACAGGTTATCCCGTGATCCAAGTGAAACAGAATCAAGATAATCAGTGGCTCTTTGAGCAAACTAGATTTCTATCGAGTGGTTTTACGGAGCAAACCACTGAAAATGCTACTTTATGGATCATACCGATAGGAGCTATCTCTTCTTCGAAGCCAACAGAGACGCGTTATTTCTTATTGAAAGGAAAGAAAGAAGAAATGAACGATGTATTTGGAAAGGAGGAAGATTGGTTCAAATTGAATTCCAATCAGTCTGGTGTTTATCGAGTGAATTATCCACTGTCGTTATGGGAGAAACTAAGAAAGCCTGTACAGGAATGTATACTTTCTTCTACCGATCGGTTAGGTCTCAGTATGGACTCATTTGCGCTTTGTCGTGCAGGAATGATGCCTACCACATCTGCCTTGGATATGATGGCAAGTTTCGAGAATGAAACGGACTACAACTGTTGGGTAGACTTGATTTCGAATTTTGATAGTCTTCATAGTGTTTTTGGAAAGACAGATGAAAGTCGTTATTTGATGGAAAGGTTTTTCTGTCATATCCTTAGAAACATTGCACAACAATTGGGTTGGAATGCTGCAGAAGGTGAAGAGCATTCGGTTAGTTTGCTACGTCCTAAAGTGTTGAGAGCCATGGTGGACTACAAAGATGCGAACACTTTATCTATTGCCAGACAGTTATTTGAACAATATATCCATAACAAAGATAACGTTGTTGCTGATCTCCGTGGAGTAGTTATGGCAGCCGCAGTTTCGAGTGGAGGGCAAAAGGAGTTTGATCAAGTCAAGCATTTGTTTGAAACTGCAACTTTGAATGAAGAAAAGGTTCGATGTCTACAGACTTTAGGAATGACACCTCAAGTTTCTCTTATGAAAGAAGCGTTGGAATGGGGTTGGCAACATGTGCGTTATCAGGACTATATCTATTTGGTTTCTTCTATCGGTAGCAATCCTAAAGGTGCTGAGTTGATTTGGGAATACTTGAAGGAACATTGGAATGCTTTATATGAACGTTATGGAAAGGGAAACTTTATGTTGACTTCCTTTATACGTGCTTGTACAGCTCAGATGACTACACAAATGGAAGCTGATCAAGTAGAAGCTTTTTACCGAACTAAGCACGTGGAGGGATGTGAGAGAACCATTCGACAATGTGTAGAACGTATTCGAGTATCTGCGAAATGGTTTGAAAGAGATGAAAAGGCAACAAAGGAATGGTTACAACGATATGTGAAAGATCACAATTGTTGAGATGTGTTGTTCAAGAGAGTTTATGATTTGTGTTTGTCTTTTGGATAAAAGTGATTGGAATGAACGATGAGAGAGTGTCTCCTATACCTTGTCTACAAACTCGACTTGAACTAGTCCACTTTGGAAAACCACAAGAAGAAGGTGTTCTTCGTCTCCGTCGTGATGCACCAGTTCCAGTTCCTCATGGCTCACAAGTTTTGGTAAAGATGCTATATGCTCCGTTGCATCCGGCAGATATGTTTACCATCGTTGGCTTTTATCCCGGCGTTCGTTATGTTATAGAAAAGCAGGCTGGTTTTGTTCCCGGTTTAGAAGGTTGTGGCGTAGTTGTAGCACAAGGTGAAGACGCCACCATCCCGTTAGGTATGCGAGTAGTGCCTTTGTTAGGAGAAGAGGCGGGTAGTTGGCAACAGTATGTGTGTGTGGAGGGAAGGCAGTGCATCTGTGTTCCAAACGACATCAACGATACAACAGCTGCACAGTTGCTTGTGAATCCTCTCACAGTGGTAGGATTGTTGAAAGAAGTGGAACGCTTGGTTGATCTGTATGAAAACCCGTGGATCTTACAAACTGCTGCCAACTCTACGTTGGGAAGAATGACGATCGCTTTGGCAAAACATCACTCTGTGAAGACGATCAACGTGATTCGGTCGTCTGAAACGATGGAAGAACTCAAGCAGCTGGGTGCTGATGTGGTCATTGTGGAGGAACAAGACGGTCAATGGGATCGCACTGTGTACCAAGTTACAAAAGGAAAAGGTGTTGCAGCAGTGTTGGAAGCAGTTGGTTCGGAAATGGGCTCGTTGGCTTTCAATTGTTTGCAATCCGGTGGTTTGTATTTGGCATATGGAGCACAGAGTGGAAAACCTATAAGAATGAGCAACTCGGATTTGATTTTCAAAGATATTATTTGCAAAGGATTTTGGTTATCGAGATGGTTTCCCAAACAACCTCCTCATGTGGTGGAAGACTTGTTCGACTTGTTTCGAAAACGAGTATTTGAACCTCGTATTCAAACGATATTACCATTGGATCGTTATTTGGAGGCTTTTCGTTTGCAAAGAGAAAAGAACCGACGAGGAAAGATTCTATTTTCTTTGCAAATGGATTGATATCTTGTGAATGTAATGGAAGATGAAAGCAAGTTAGTTGTGTGCATAGAATGTGCTGCTTATTAGAAAGTGAAATGGGTTGTCAATGGAAACTTCATATGGAAGCTTAAGGTAGTTCAGTATCCTGTGCATATATATATATATATATATATAGTTCAATAGCAACGCTGTTCATTTTACACATTGCAGATTTATTTACACACAAGACCACCGTCTCCAAAGAACCCAACATGAATGAATATTATAAACTGGGATAAATGTCACCAAGCTCGATCTATATACACAATACAACTATTCAGAATCCACACCACTCTTATCATCAAGTCGCAATTGGACAGGTTTCGTCTCTAAGTGAAATAACTGTTGACCACAATCTCCACGAACGAGTATAAAATTCATCTTAAGAAAGCCAATAAAGGGCAAAGCGTCTGAAATGGATGGATATTGAAATACACAGAATGATGTATATTCAAATGATTCTCCATCTTGGACTACCGGCTTTCGATCAGCAACCCATTTTTCAGCAAGCATATGCTTTTGACCATCTGAGGTTTCAACAAAACCATTCGAACTCAGCAACTGGATTAATTCCCTACCCGTATTCACAAACCGAATTTGATATTCAAAACAAAGATAATGCTCGGAAAGTGAAGACCTATCCATATTCCATTTGCCTTGTAGCTGAACTTTTAAAATATGATTAAAAGCTTCCGAGTGACTAAATGCTAGACTAGTCATTTTGTTGCCGAGTATTCCGGTCTTGCTGTCCTTGTCAGAATTGATTGACGTTTCTGAAAAACTATCTGCAGAAGAAGCAATAGAAGACGAATTGGAGTAACCAACTACATCTTTAGATGCTGTATCCAAACCAAATGAAGAATTGCCGGGCGACATTTTCAAACTCATCGGATCCTTATTCATTTTATCTCTACTTTCCTTCATATTGTTCATCAGCGGCATTCCTTCTGCATCAATCAAGGCATCTCCAAACATTTCCTGATTATCCCACAGACTTAATACAGCTGGCTCAACAAAAGATTGATCGGAAGACTCCCAATCTGCAGGTTGCTTCTTATTGTCTTCATTTTGCGTGGGAGATAAAACACGGATATCGTCATTGTTTTGAATAGAGGGCGCTACATTCATGTTATTAGACTCATTCACAAGGTAAGTATCAAAACGACTACAGATGCCTGCACGATTTGTCCTTGTTTCTCCTCCCTGAGAAGGAATCCTTTTCTTCAGATTGGGCGGTTCACCAACAAGCTGTAATGCTTCATAAAATATGTTTGCAAAACCTAATTCCCCTTGATGCAACGCTTCATCGATACTTTCCTGCAAAATGACGTGTGCATCTCTCAACCTTAAAAGAGAAGCCTCATCTCTCAACTCAGCTGCTCGTTCAAAGTTATAGACTGAAGCTTCAAACAACTTCTCCATACACAACTGTTCGATACGAAGCCAAAGTTTTAGACGCTGACCACTATCCAAGAAACCAGCTGCTGCCACCACCTTTTCAACCTTTTCCATCCGTCTTGCCCCGTTACAGGCATCAAAAATTCGCTGGACCAGTCTTCTTCTTTCCTTTTCCACTTCAGATATTGAAACACTGGTTTCTTTTTCTTTATGACTTTTGGGATCCGATACATTACAATAGAGAGGATATGCTTTTGAATCTCTCCAGTCACATCTTTTGGAGCACCTCGTTCTTTGGGTTTCCAACTTATCTTGCCTGGTTTTCTTCTGAACAAGATTCATTTTGTTGACATTTAGAAAGCTTCCAAATACTTGTGTCGAAGCAAAACGAGCGGAAACATTGTAGCAACGACTAGTGGAGAGACTACCCTGTATGACACAGGAATAGTAAGCAAAGTAAGCACACCCCTTTGACCTCCGTTTGGGACTCCATTCCAAGCAAGGTAGTCTGTGTCCTTCGATGAAACTTGTCATTGGGGACACAAACCGATATACACAAAAGTGTGTTTATTCAAAAACACAGAAACAAAAGAGATTCAACAAGGGATAGGAGAATACTATGAAGAGAAATTCAATCCCCCAAAATGTGAGCCGTTAGACAACTGTTGTCATCCAACTTCAAACGCTGTCGAAAGACAAGCAAGAACCGACACTAGAAAGTATTTGGAAAAAGAAATGATCGAGTATTTGAATAGTCATTTTGAAAGTTTCCAGAAAAAAAATGCAACCCATTTGGCGCCTTTTCTTTGCGTCATTGAAAGGGCTTATTCTTCAAAAGAGTTTTTGTTGACGGGTATTTATTTCTTGACTTTTCAACAAATAGCACTTGCTGCGGAAGCAATACGGGGCCACATGTCTGCACACTCTTTGGCAACTGGACCTGCTACAGCAGAGCCTTTCATCTCACCCTTGGGATTCACGATTACACCCGCGTTATCTACATCAAATCAGTGTCAGACAATTCTATCACAAATTAGGCAAGTTTAACTTGAAAAATCAGTCCCGAAAGATGTATTATCTTCCAAGGTCACAGTATTGACCAATCAAGAAATATCAAAGGTTTCATCACCAACTTTTGTATGTCATAACTAATGTCGACAACTTACCTTCAAAATACAAGATAACTCCATCCTTCCTTCTCCAGGGCCTTCTCTGACGAATCACCACAGCGGGTGTTACTTTTTTTCTCAACTCCGGCTTACCCTTCTTAACTGTTGCCAACACCATATCGCCCACAGAGGCTGCAGGAAGTCGGTTTAAACGTGATTTGACTCCCTTTACAGAAATTATGTAAAGGTTCTTGGCTCCTGTGTTGTCCGCACAGTTGATGAGAGCCCCGACAGGTAAGCCTACAGAAGTACGGAATTTGCTTCCTGTTGAACCTTTTCTACCTAAACTATTTTTCAACGATCAACTTTTATATATTCGAATACACACAAAATTACCTCTTTTGGACATGAAGAATCACCAACTCGTCGTCGACGGATGAATGAAAAACCCAAAAGTAATTTTTGGATATTTAACAAGTTGGATGAGGTGCGTTGGTTGTTGATAAAAGGTTGTGTCCTTCATACCATAAGAACAACGCATACACAACAGCTCGTGAATATTATCAATAGGATATTTTCAGCCATTTTTATTTTTCATATCTTGACATAAAACAGCGCTGTGGTCCGAACCAAGTGTAACGTATAAGACTGCACCTGCAGGTAAAGAGGTCACTTGGACAGGAGAAGTTCTGTACGAGGCAATAGATTCCAGTTCTCCGCCTCTTCCTAACTGACCATCCCTTCCTCTTCCCCAAGTATAGAGCACTCCATCTTTAGTAACTGCAGCTGTATGACCACCACCACAAGCTACCTGCACTATTTCAAAATTGCGAAGATTGTCTACTGGCTTGGCTAGAGAACAGTCCGCTTTTTCGCCGTGTCCCAACTGTCCTTCTCTACCTAAACCCCAAGTATAAACAAGACCATCACGCCCAAGAGCACAAACATGATAGTCACCAGCTGATATAGCAACTACATCAGATAAGCCAGTTCCTGAAAGTGATCTTGGAGTTTGTACAAATCTCTCTCCATGAGAACGCCCTAATCCAAGTTGTCCGTAGTCATCTGCTCCACACGAATACAAACCGCTTTCACATACAAAAATGGTAAAGTCTCTTCCACAAGCAACATCCACAACTAGAAATATCATTGAATAGTTGAGCAAGTAATTCTCTTAGTCGATACCTTTTTCCGTCAAAGATTGCACTTTCTTGGGTTGATACTGACTGTTCTTTTCTCCATGTCCAAGTTCACCTTCATATCCATTTCCCCAAGTCCACACTTCTCCTTTCTCTGTTACGGCAGCTGTATGACTACGACCACAAGAAACAGATATTACTTTTTCTTTCTCCAAATCGCCTTTTATCAATCGAGGAATAAACACATGTTCTGTTCCACCCGATCCTGCAGAAGCCGCACGACCCCAACAATATAGATGGCCATCCTTGTCAATAGCAGCCATATGATTACCACCTATAGAAACTTTAACGATATTCTTTCCTTTCAAAGCTTCCACAAGGCGAGGCAAATTTTCGTTGGAGTCATCATTATGACCCAATTTTCCATATTCACCACTTCCCCAACTAGGTAGCATATTTGAGCACATCCTATTCCATCTCTTTCTAACAACTTACGTATAAACGTCACCATCGAGTGAAATGCTATACACAGTGAGTAAAACAAGTTAAAGGAAAGTAACATCCTTTCCTTACGCTGCAGTACACGAATCACCAGCTGCAACATAAACAATTCGTTTTCCAGAAAGTGCTTCTACTGGAAATGGTCTATCAGCTGGTCTCTCATGGCCCTGACCAAGTTGTCCGATGAGGTTTAAACCAAAAGTTGTTAATAGAGTCCCATTTTCGAGAGCAGCTTTCTTCATCCTATTCTTTCTTTCTTCTAGTAATTGCTCCCAAGATGATTTCAACTGCATTTCTACACACAAAGTAGAACTAGTGAAGAGAGCAAAACAACCCGAAACTATGAGAAACTTGAACAGTCTGTGAGAAGAATCTCTCTGAGGCATAAACTTTGTTATACCCAACAGTGGTATAGTTTTCCACTGAAATAATATTCGATGACAAGAAGAAAGTGTTGATCCTTGTCTGAAAGGTCCCCATTCTGCTGTTGTTCTGTAAACAGAGTTGACAAGTTTTGTGAAGCGTTGACCAACGACAGTCCAAACAGAATGCATTGTGGATGATCGAGGAATTTTGAAGACTTGGAAAGAATGGACTTTGTACAAGCCGAAGAAATAGATGGAGCTCGTTGGTCGTGGCATATTTGGCCGTCAAGTAAGATCGAAGCTCAACGTTGTGTCGTGCCTTTTGGTTGTTTATATACACCGTTGAAGGACATACCCAATCTTCCCGTCTTACCTTATCCTCCCGTCAAGTGCAAGTGTGGTTGCGTACTTAATCCATATTGTAGTGTTGACTTCCACGCAAAGTTGTGGGTTTGTCCTTTTTGTTTGCAGCGTAATCCTTTGCCTCCTCAATATGCAGAAATATCGGAGACGAGACTACCTGGAGAACTCATCCCCAATTTTACTACTATCGAGTATGTCCTATCTCGCCCACCGGCACCGCCACCAGTTTTTCTATTTGTCATCGATACTTGCATCAATGAAGATGAACTTCAGGTTCTCAAGGAATACCTTCTAAAGGCGTTACAACTATTGCCACCAGAAGCTATCGTAGGACTCGTTACTTTTGGTCAAAACGTGCACGTTCACGAACTAGGATATCAAGATTGCCCCAAGTCTTATGTCCTTAAAGGTTCAAAAGACTATACTCCGGTACAAATTAAGGAACTTCTTGGATTGGCGGTTTCTCCTACTCGTCTGTCAGGAACGTCTTCTTCAGTCAACCGTCCACAAGGTGCTGCTCGGTTTTTACAACCCGTCTCTGAATGTGAATTCATTTTTACGGATATTATCGAGGACCTTGGAAGGGATAATTGGCCAGTTCCAGCAGATCAGAGACCTAAACGATGTACAGGGACCGCACTATCGATTGCCGTGGGATTGTTGGAAGCTTCTTATGCTGATTACGGTGCAAGAATTCAACTCTTTGTAGGAGGACCTGCAGTGGAAGGACCAGGAAAGATTGTACAAGCAGAGTTGGGTGATACAGTTCGTTCTCATATGGATATTGATAAGGACAATGCTCCTTTCTACTCAAAGGCTTTGAAACATTACGAGTCAGTTACCTTACGAGCAGTCAATGCAGGCCATACTATTGATGTTTATGGTTGTTCTTTGGATCAAGTTGGTTTGTTTGAGATGAAGTCTTGTGTAGAAAGGACAGGTGGTTTTTTTGTTCAGGCAGAATCTTTTCATCATCTTATGTTTAAGAGAAGCTTTGAAGCGTTTTTCAGAGGCACTCAAGCAGAAAATAACAAGTCTGGAGAAGAACAGAGTAAAAAAATGGGTCTTCGTTCAGGCTTTCAAGGCAGTTTGGAAGTTTTGACTTCTCGTGAGTTGAAAGTTTCTGGTGCCATTGGTCCAATGACTTCACTTAAGAAGCAATCCAATTGTGTTAGTCGAGATGTTGAGATTGGAATGGGTGGAACTTGTGCATGGAAGATGTGTGCTGTCGATCCTGGTGTAACAGTAGCAGTATATTTTGAAATTGTTCATCCACATGGAACACCTATTTCAGAAAATCAATTTCGTTATGTTCAGTTTGTTACTCAATATCAACATATTTCTGGTCAATACCGAATGAGAGTGTCTACGATGGCTGGAAGATGGACAGACCCTACCAATCTGGTGGATATTGCTAGTGGCTTTGATCAAGAAGCAGCAGCAGTTCTTATGGCGAGAATGGCAGTTTATAAGACGGAGAATGAAGAAGCATTTGATATTCTTCGCTGGCTTGATCGTATGTTGATTCGTTTGTGTTCCAAGTTTGCAGAATATCAAAAGGAAGCTCCTGAAACGTTTCGTCTTTCTCCGCAGTTTTCACTTTATCCACAATTTATGTACAACTTGCGCCGTTCACAGTTTTTGCAAGTATTCAATAGTAGTCCTGATGAAACTGCGTATTATCGTTCTTATTTGAATCGAGAAAATACATTGAATGGCTTGTTGATGATTCAACCGAGTTTAATTGCATTTACATTGGAGAGTCCTCCAAGTCCCGTTTTGTTGGATGTTGCTAGTATTGCACCTGATCGTATTTTACTTCTCGACACGTTCTTCTATGTGATTATTTATTATGGTGCTACTGTAGCCCATTGGAAGAAGGCAGGATATCATTTGGATCCACAATACGCACATTTGAAGACCTTTTTGGAAGCTCCTAAAATAGAAGCACATGCTATTGCAGATGAGCGATTTCCTTATCCTCGATATATTGAAGCAGATCAGGGTTCAAGTCAAGGTCGATTTTTGTTAGCCAAATTGAATCCCTCAGTGACACATAATTCGAGTCCGAATGACTTGTCCATGGCATCTGACCTTATTTTCACTGATGATGTTAGTTTGCAAGTGTTTATGGAACATTTAAAGAAGCTTGCAGTTTCCAATCAATAAAGAAAACTTACGGTCGATATTCTTCGCGATTTGTTGATCCTAGTTGCTATAGATTGGAGGATGATGGAAGAAGAAGAATTTTCATGAATTGTGTGATGATGCAACAACGATCCTCCTGGATATATCGTACGTGGTGGAAACAAGCGAGTAAAATATTTTATCCCAAAAGGAACCTCTTCAAAGATAGAATAGTAGGACAGACAGAATCTGCCAACCAAGGAGGAGAGGAGTCCTTAAGTTGTACTCTTTCTGAAGTGGGTGAACAGCCTCTCAAGATAGACGATAGTTGTATCAAGGTAAGAACGAGAGATAAAAGTAGTACATTGTTTATATATATATATATATATATTGGTATAGCGTTTGAAGTTTGTTGGTAACCAGAGAGGAGGAAAACCGGTTGCTTTAAGAGTAGCAGTGGATAGTGGAGGTTGTTCAGGGTTTCAGTATGCTTTTGAGTTGACAGAGGAAAAGGCAGCAGAGAATGAAACTATTATTGAGAAAGATGGAGCTAAAATATATGTTGACGATATTTCTCTGCCGTTTTTGAAGGGAAGTACGGTTGCTTTTGTTGAGGAACTGATGAGTAGTTCTTTCCGAGTGTTGAATAATCCTAGTTCGGAAGGAGGATGTAGTTGTGGAACTTCGTTTTCTCCCAAGATGTAATATATATATATATATATATATATTATATGTATGTATGTTTGTGAGAGAATGAGTTGTTGGATGAAGAAGAAGGAGACTATCATGCAATACATTGCGTTAAAAGAATAGGAAGACTCATAGAAATGTCTACAAGAAATCATTACCAAGTGAGAATGGATCGTTGATAAAAGACCAAGTTGAACAAATGTTTCTAGTTGACAAGATGTATTGTTGTTGTTCCAAGCACTGACTCAGTTGCTTCGTTATCTCAACCTATTGACCATAAGAATACCCATGTCTTTGAACAAACAGTGGCTCGCACAGCGCAAGTCACTGCTTGAGGCTTTTCGAAAGCTTAGCGACGCAAGGTCATCAACCCAGTGGCAAATTATATCTTCCCATATTGAAGACCAGTTGAAGGAAGAAGATAACGAAAAGACTCTTCTCATCTACAAGGAAGTTGTACGCTTGTGCCAAAGTCCACAAAACTCCTTCATAGGGCTCAAGTTATTGGACCAATGGCTACCGTGCTCTAGGCTGTTGCGAGAATGGATATTGGAACCACTGGAGCCTTGTTTGATACAACTTGTAGAATCAGGTTCAACAAAAGTCTGCCAGTTTCTTTCACTTTGGGATGAATACTATGGAGTTCAATTCCCAAGTTTGCATACATATGTCCGTCGTTTTGTGAAGAAAAAGGGAGGAACAATGACAAGTGAGCCTAGTTGCCCAAGTCCAGCTACTTATGTTCCTTGTGGTTGGAAAGAGGATGCCTTGTCGGTTATGAAACAGTTGCGAGAGTGTTTGGCTTTGATAGTTCCTAGGATGGAAGATTATGCGGTAGAAACAGCTACTCAAGGTCACCAGACTTGGACAACTTTGCAAGAGCCAAAAGATGATATCACTATTCAGTTGGTGACTGACATTTCACTACTTGAAACTGAGGAGAACAGAATTGTGTTTGATTCTTGTCGTGAGTTTTTGGGACAGTTGGAGAAGATATACAGTCGTGCCAAACAAGTGGATAAACTTAGGGATGATTGGATGTGTCAAATAGAATCACTTTTACAGCATTGTTATCAACTTGGTCTAAGAAGCCAAAATAATCGTTCGTTATATTATTCTTATGATAAGACAAGTGAAGATGAGGATACCAACGACATAGTGTGGGAGACAGTGGATGCGGAAGAAGTTGAGGATCAGGTCAAACTATGGGAACCTGACAGTTGTTGTGCTCCTCATGATGATGACAAAGGGAAACAACAAACGGATAAGCAAGAGTCGATGGTTTGTAATGAAGACATACTGCAACAATTAGAATCAACTATGCCCTATCCAAAACGCAAAGAAAGGAAGCAACTTCATTCACAGTCATCTTGTTCCCATGAAACTTCTTTACGGGAGAAACCCAATCGAATTCGTACGAAGAAGGAGACAAGTAAACATCGCATTGCCAAGCAACTGAAACGATCAGCTTCAAAAGTATCCAAGACTTGGAATCAACTGCAAGAACGAGAAGACTTGGAAAGGTATCATCAAACTTTTGCAAATAGTGTAACTGTAGGAAGAATAGATTGAATATTTAATATAACACATTGCAAAAATGATACACTTCATCTTGGTCCAATACTCCAACCTCTGTATGACAAACGGCACAGACGACTGGAAGATATTTGTTTTGTAAGTCACTTACTTTACCTGCCTCTTTCAGTTGTTGATATTCCCGGTCACCTTCTGCACCACGAACACGAACTTTGAGCCTTTGGTCTGTTCTGACTCGACAATTCCGTACAAATATTGCTCTAAATTGGTTTTCATACTCTTCATGTTGTTGACACTGCACACAAAGCAAAGTGAAGCAACAAGGGCAAGATAACTGGAACTCATCGTCGTCCAAGTCTTTCCATTCTTCATCTCTGAGGTTTCTTTTGTCGGTTATTCCTCCTCTCTGTCGTCGAAATAGTCCACCGTGAAACAAGTTTTCCTTCACCCACCTCTCGTCTTCAGAGTCTGCATGCTCATCGTACAATGGGTCTCCGTGTTGAGACATAAAACGACTTTCAATGTCTTCATCCGAAGTGTCCGTAAGACTATCTTCATCTACGGTATTATTATTATTCATCCAAAATGCTCACAATTCCTATTGCGCACAAGAACAAATTTTATTTTCCAAACATTTTCTCTAATCGACTCTTTGCTTCCAAACATTGCTCTCGAGATGCAAATGCACTCAATCTTAGAAATGATTCTCCACCAGAACCAAAACCTACATATATATATATATATTCCTATAAGCACACAATCCATGGAAATAATATACAAATTACCTGAACCTGGAACGGTGACTATTTGTGCCCTTTCAAGCAACTCTTCAAAAATATCCCAAGAGCTACGTCCAGGAAACTGAACCCAAACATAAGGAGAGTTCTCTCCACCAAATACTTTCAATCCCAAGTCTCGCATAGCACTCGATAATATGTGAGCATTTTCCAAGTAATAGTCAGTCAGTCGTCTAACTTCTTGCATTCCCTTGTCATCTAATACAGCCAAACCACCAGCCTGAGCAAGACTAGATGCACCATTGAAACAAGTGGTAAATATGCGACGAAAGTCTTTGTGGACAAAACTTCCATCGGCAAATTGCAAACTTTTTGGACATACCACCCAACCCAAACGAACACCAGTAAAACCTGCATACTTGCTAAAAGAATTGCATTCCAAAGCAACTTCATTCGCACCCTCAATTTCAAAAATAGACTGCGGAATATTCTCATCTCTTATGAAAGGAGCATAAGCAGCATCGTAGACAATGATGGAACCGTTATTCTTTGCATATTGCACCAACTTTTCCAACTGTTCTCTTGTTGCAGCAGCACCAGTAGGATTATTAGGTGAACAAAAGAAAATGATATCTGCACGTGGCACTTTATCCAGTTGAGGAAAGAAATTATTCTCCGGTAGACAAGTCATGTAACGAATATTTTCATAGAGTGAGCCATTCTTTGTACCAGTCTGACCTACAATCACCGCACTATCCACATACACTGGATAAGAAGGATCCTGAACGGCAATATCCACTCCTGGACCAAACATCATTTGGAGACGACCAATATCACACTTGGCACCGTCACTTACAAAAACTTCGTCGATATCCACTTTCCCACCATACAGACGTTCAGATATTTTCTTCCGAAGCTCTGGATCTCCTAAATCGGGTCCATAACCTGAGTAACCTTCAGGTGTGGCTAAAGCGAGAGCTCTTTCGGCCATCTTTTGTGCCACATGGGCTGGAATGGGTTGTGTAGTATCACCGATACCTAAACTTATGATATTGGCAGTGGGATGTTTCTCTAAATAGGCATTTCTTCGTCTTGCTATTTCGGGAAACAAATAACCTGCTTCCAACTTTGCCAAATTAGGGTTTCTAGGTACTCTAGTCATTTGTTTGGATGCTGTTGGAGTAGAAGCTACAAGCAACGGTGAAGACCGAGAGAATCTCTTCTTTACTTGACAACGGTTGTTTTTGGGTTGAATAACAGAGTTGTTCAACTTGGGAATGAAGGTGCTATGAAAACACCATATAGAAGAAGAAGAATGGATCATGAAACCAAAATGACAAAAAGATACTTTGGGAATCAAAGATATATAAAGTTGTATTTTTTTACAACATGAAATATGTGCATCTTGGAATGTATAACTAGTCGTCAGTCTGTTGGTAAATCATGGTGATAGGAAAATGACCACGCAAGGTAATATCGAGAAGCGAAGCCCTGCAGACTTTTTGAAACAAGTTGTTGGAAAACCAGTGGTGGTAAAACTCAACTCTGGAGTGGAATATAAAGGAGTACTTGCTTGTCTAGATGGATATATGAATATTGCGATGGAACAAACGGAAGAGCACGTCGGTACACAGTTGAAAAATAAGTACGGAGATACGTTCATTCGGGGTAATAACGGTAAGTAACAAAGTTTCCGTAAGAGGTAACAAGTTGAAACGAGTATAAAGTACTCTATATTGCGGCGCAAAAGAAAGGCAAACAAAGAAAAGTTGGGTGAAAAGAAAGAGGTACTCGGGAAATGCTACTTGCCTTGATCGTCACCCTTTGATTTTGAACCAAGGACAAGAATAAAAAGGAAGTTTTCTGTTACACGAAAGATTACAAGTTGGAAGAAGTCTCAGAAACTTTCTCTTGCTCCAATAGACGTGGCACTTTACAAGAAGGCTCTACAAGTTCAGGGTCCTGAGTGCCAGATTCTGGAAAATGAAGTTGAAGCAAGATACAGTTGGAATCAGTCTCCTGTTCTTGCAACATCTCATCCTCCCCTTGTTCTACATCTTTCACGATGAACGTAACTGTTTCCGTATAGGTTGTTCCGTGTCCTTTCACCGTAAGAAGTAACACATACTTTCCAGGAACGTCCGCCTTGAAATGAGTCTCTGGAGTCCTACCTACGCATAAAGTTATGTAACCAGTTTTAAAAAAGTTTCGAATTTTCATACTATACAACAAATCGGCGTTGGTTAGAAGACTCTTTTCTGGTTTGGAAACCAAAGACCAACGACAAACGAGTCTCCCTGGTTGACTTCGGTCGTCACGTACTCCTCTTTCAGAGGAAGCCTTTGATTTCCTTTTAGGAAGTTGTTGTTGTCTACCACCTTGTGTAAGAGTGTTGGACTCTTCACCTGTTGCTTGTTCTGTTTCCGAAGGAGAACTGTCCGCCAAATGTTGTAGCGAAGGTTTGTCTTCCCAGTCCGTTGAAAACTGATTAAGATGTTCTGAAGTAGGTGAACAGCCACCACTTGGAGATAATAACTGTTCCACTTCCATGGCTACTTTGTGTTGAGAAACTTTGCTCACACAAAATCAAAAACTAAAGAATTCTTTATAAGAGGCGGGATTCTTTCATGAACAATACCCACAACAAAGGAATAAGCAACAATGTGCGATACAACAGTCTAGTAAAAATAGAAAACTTGGTCACATGTTCACTAGAAAAATAGAGTGATGAAGAAATATACTTCAAGACAACATATCCATAAAACAGTGCTACCCAAAACCAAGCACTAGGAACGCTTTGACGAAAGCCCTTGCAAGAAAAAATGGATAAAACAAATATAAAACAGAATAAACTTCTGGCAAACATATTGGCAATATTTGCAATGAGTAGTCCTACTATGCCAATTCGTTGTGACAAAAAATATGCTAGTCCCAAGTAACACAAAGAAATAAACCAACTATAATATGTATAATTTGCAATGGCTCTCCTATCACCAACCTATAGAAATTATCAACAATAACAACAAATAGACTGCGCACTTACAGATGTATAAAAAGCTTCAAGTAGGCCATTCAATCCCATAGCAAAGATATAATAACTGTAGCATTCCAATAAGAAAACAGATGACTTCCATTGATTCCCAAAAAAGAGAGCAATACAGTCTGGAATGAAAAAGGGACCCAATATACAAAGACTTGAACATAATACTATTTCAAATCGCAATAAAGTACATAAGAAATGCTTCCATTCATTCAATACACGAGCTCTCTTCGATCTTTCCAAGTAATCCGAAGCATAACGAGAAAACACAATATGAGCCTGCTCTTCTAATGGACGAAACAAGAAGCGAAGTATCAATGAACCTAGATTGGCAGAAAATTTATAGTTTCCTCGACCTTTTATATCATTCAATAAAATAAGAATGATATTTTCACCATCTCCAAGAAGAAACTTTGGACAAGCTCGAAGAACAGAGTAAAAGGTAATCCATAAATGAGACTCTATTCCTGCAGGTATCTTCAAAACTTCATTGAAATGACAAGGAAGAAAACTATTATTGTCTGAAAGCAACCACAAGAAACATATATTCAACATACAACTATAAGCTATATGGCTCAATGGAACTGCGAACCCATATGGCATACGAAAATGCAGAAGCAAAATTAGACAAGTTGTACAACAAATGAGACTAGTGCCTTCTGCCAAAGAACGTTCCTTATATTGATCTCGCTGTGTCAACTGTACCCAGTGGATATCTGAAAGTGCTTCTAAGCATAGAGCAACAAGTTCTAGAGCCCAAGGCCAAGGAGAAAAACCAGAAAGACGCCAAAATATGACACAAGATAAGAAGCCAATCAAACAAGTAAAATAAAAACCACATGATAAGTACCAGTTCAACAGAACCTGTTGATTAGTTGTGAAACGTAGACTTGTTGGTCGAAAGCCTTCTCTCCAAGGCATGAGAGATAACGAGGAGAACAACGCTAACTGAACATCTGAAAACGCCACTTGTTCAGGAAGTAGGTTTCTAATAGTCCATAGCCTTAGTGAAAAGGAAACTATTCTGGTAATCAACTGAGTTCCAACCAATAGGGGAATTGTCTTCAAAGCTTGAAAAGAGATTCGTTCAGAAGTTTTCGTTGACATGAGAAAACTAATCCGTGGTGGGTCCACGATAATACTTGTTTGCTTCCTCCAACAGCCCTGAATCCAGCGAGTCTCTCACTTGTGTTGTGTTAAGAGTGGGACTTTTTGAACCACCTCTTGTATGAAAAGGACCAGGAAATAAGGTATCAATTACAATATTTATGTCGCTCTTTATACTTTCCCTAAGAGATACGATTGTCTTTAGAATTCCATTCCACATCGCCATCCAATTAGAAAAATTTGCAAGTTGCAGTGCACTAGTAGTACAACTATCACATGTTTGTTGACTTGAACGTCATACAAAGTGATGACGAAGCCAAGAATCAAACCCTCATCCAACGTCTGCAACAACTTGGATATGATAGTTTTGCCTTTAACAAGTAAAGTTATCATAAAGCCAATTGATTGAGTATTCACTTTGGTTAGATATGTTCGTGGTCGTGTTAAACGTGAGAAAGCCCCGAAAATAACAAAACTGGACATTCCTCAAGGAGAAGTGGACTATTCAGTTAGTAGATAATCATAAATATCTTTCTATTTCTAAGGATGGTCTTAATAGTTATTTCGTCCAGGCTGTTCACAAAGTCGACAACTGCAACAGTTGACTAGAGTCACTTTTATCATAGATCAACAAGATGACGTAAGTTTTCCCAAATTTTGCTTTTTGTGTATGAAGAGGTATAGATACATATGCTGAACTCATCGAATCCGTTGTTACGAGACTATGATATTATTGCGGTTCAACCGGCAACTGAAAAATTGTTACAACAGTGCCTTCAGTTTGATATTGACATGGTTACTATGGCTTTGAATGAACGGTTGCCATTTTATTTAAAAGTACCTCAAGTGAATGTAATGAAGTCCAAGGTTAGCCTATATTTATCTTTTTTACCGAGAATAACTTTTGCAATAGAATATCAAGTTTGAAATCTGCTATTCTCATCTTTTGGAGCCTAGCAATATCCGTCAAACAGCTATTGCTAATATTTGTTCATTGATGAAGACACTGAAACCAGAGTTGATAATTATGTCTAGTGGAACAGAGGATCCTATGGTTCGATATCGCTTTTTGAATTGTCTTTTTGGTATCATAACTGTTTTTTAGAAATTGAGAGGTCCTTATGACGCAATGCACATGGCTTTCTTCTGGGATATGATGGAACATCATGCCAGACGAGCGATATCAGAAATTCCAATGAGTACGATAAGAAATGCCAATTGGAGACGCAATACATTTAAAGGAGCTGTTGAGATTGTATCGTTGGAAGGTTCTTCAAAACATACTACTTGGCAGTTTAAAAAGTTGGAGGAATGGAAAGCCAACACTCCAAATGATGACAATACGGATATGTCCGTTATGGGAAAGAAACGTCCATTGGAGACGAGTGCAAACGGGACCAATTCTTCCAAAAATAACAACAAGAAAACCAAACAAAAATAACTATGCAAATTGCATAACATAGTTTACTTTTCAACACAAAAATACGCGCAGATAGAAAACCAAAGATTGCCAAACGAATGACATACGAAAAACTGGACCAATCGTCAGGCAATAGAAACTCAGTTTTGAGCTGAGGGTTTCTCCGGTTTTCTAGCTAAGAAGAAAAACATTGGAATATAAATACCAAGTTCGCCAGCATGAACCAAATCCTGGGCAGCTTTTATCAACATTCTGCTAACTTCAGCCGAACCTTTTGGAACTATGCCTAATTTCTCAAGGGTGGTGACTGTTATATGTGTGAAATAATGTCCTACTCGAGTATGACGAAAACCTTTCACGGAAAAACCTGCCTTTAGAGGATAATACCAAGGAAGCTCAGAATATTTAGACGCATCGTAATATTCAAGAACTTCGAAGCCCGCTTCTTTTAAACTTCCGACAACCTGGTCGAAAGTAGCCGTGTCAGGAAGACCATTTCCGACTTCTACAGCAAACTTTGCTTCGCGATGTTCTTTGTTTTGAGGATCATATTTGTCTGTTACACACCATTCATACCCAGCAAAGCAACAACCAGGTTTTATGACTCTGTACGCCTCGGAGTACACCTTTGTCTTTTCCATTGTATGACAAGTTGCTTCAATAGTATAAGCTCCATCAAAGGTCTCGTCTTCAAAAGGAAGATTAAGAAAGTCTCCGTGAACAATGTTGCAACTATCTTCTAAATTTAATTGTGTGTTCAACTCATTACCTCGTTCTACTTGATATTTGCTGATGGTCACACCAGTCACTTTGCAACGGGCGAAACGAGCGATATTCCGTAACGGACCACCAATTCCACAACCCAAGTCAACCAAATGTTGGCCACCTGAAATAAACATATGTGAATCTAGTTATGGTGAAAATATATACAAAGGCTCACGTTCCACTCCAATTCTATAGGGTAACATATATTCATAGCGTTGTAACGAGGCTTCAAAAGGTTCTCCTTTCTGAATGACAGCAAAATGGAAACTTTGTGCCCAACCCCACTCATAAAAATCAGAAACTAAGTTGTAAAAGTCGGAAACCGCGTCTTTGCCCTTTTCGGACTCCCACAAAGCTCTGTCTTGTTCCGACTCCGAACCATGAGAATACATTTTGTTGTATTCATTTATTACTGTGACAGCTTTCTTGTCTTCACCCAACTTTTTCTCAAACTTTAATACTTGAGGAATATAGTCACTCCAGGAAGACATGTTGTGAAAGGCGCACAAAACAACCTTAAAAACCAAATCAAAACAAAATAATCAAAATTCTCGTCGAAGAGTCGTTTTCTGCTTTCTGCTGGAACACTCCGATGCAGGCGAGGACACCAACAGGTATTGAAACTCCTTCTTCAGGTCTCGCGAGTCCTTCTTTTGGAAGTGGTGTATTAACCCCTTCCTATCAACAAAAACCTAGATTAGGTCATCCTGGTTCTTTTTCTAGACTGAGAGACTTAGACGAAGAACAACGTGACCCAAAGAAGAAACTTTTGTTTGAGTTATTGAAGGTTTATTCGCCAAACGATATAAGATCAATTCAGGAATCAATCGTTAAACATGCAGAGTACTCGTTGGCTCGTAACCGCTATAGTATTGACGACTTTGTTGCCTGCGAAGCGGCTGCTTTGGCACTACGAGATCGATTGCTGGAAAGTTGGAACGACACGCAACAATATTACATGAAAAAAGACGTAAAAAGAGTTTATTATTTGTCTTTGGAGTTTCTGATGGGAAGATCTTTGAAGAATGCCCTTACCAATGCTAACTTGGAGGAACTATTTGCTGCTTCCTTAAAGGAACTCGGATTTGACATTGAAAAGCTTTATGAACAAGAATATGATGCTGCGTTAGGAAATGGTGGCCTTGGTCGTCTTGCTGCGTGTTTTCTGGATTCTATGGCCACTCTCAATGTTCCTGGTTGGGGTTATGGTATTCGTTATGAATACGGAATGTTTCGACAGAAAGTTATTGGTGGTGAACAAATAGAAGTTCCTGATTATTGGTTAAGTCGAGGTAATCCTTGGGAAATTGAAAGATTAGATGTCTGTTATCCTGTTCGCTTCTATGGTAGTTTTGAAAGACTAGCTGATGGTCGAGCACTTTGGACAGGAGGGGAAGTTATTCAGGCTATTGCCTTCGATGTTCCTGTTCCAGGGTACGATACTTATAATACGAATAATTTGAGATTATGGAAGGCATTACCGTTCAAGGTTGGTTGATTTGTATTATCAGTCACTCTTTGTTGACAAGGTTGAAAAGGAATTCGATTTGGATGCTTTTAACCGAGCTGACTACTATAAAGCTATTGAGGCAGAAGAGAGGGCTACAGCAATCAGTGCAGTTTTATATCCCTCTGATGGAACGCTAGCCGGGAAAGAGTTGAGACTGAAGCAAGAATACTTTTTTGTTTCTGCAACACTGCAGGATGCTATCAGAAGGTTCAAAAAGATACCTCGGAGTATAAAAGAACTTCCCTCCAAAGTTTGTTTTCAATTGAATGACACACATCCAGTGATAGCCATAGCAGAAATGATGAGAATTCTTATTGATCACGAAGGTCTCAAATTCTTAGAAGCTTTGGAAGTAACGAGATCCTGTTTTGCCTATACTAACCATACAGTAATGCCCGAAGCGCTAGAGAAATGGAGTGTTCCTCTTTTTGAGTCATTACTTCCAAGACACTTGGCAATAATTTACGATATCAATTTCAACTTTTTGGAACAAGTACGAAAGAAGTATCCTGGAGATGATGGAAAGCTCGCAAGGCTTAGTATCATTGAAGAAGGTTCGGTTAAGATGGTTCGTATGGCACATTTAGGAATCGTTGGCTCATTTGCAGTAAATGGCGTGGCTGAACTTCACACACAATTATTAAAAACGCAAGTTTTTCCGGAATTCTATGAACTATGGCCACATAAGTTTCAAAATAAGACAAATGGTATAACTCCTCGAAGATGGTTACTGGAATGTAATCCAGCTTTGGCAGAAGTTATTTCGCGATGGTTAGAGTCGGATAGTTGGGTGAAGTACCTATCGGAGTTGCGTGGAATTCTAGAGCATGCAGATAATCCAGAGTTTCAGAGAGAATGGTCAGAAGCACGCTTAGAAAATAAAAGACGATTAGCAGCATTCATTCATCAAGTGACTGGAATACAAGTAGAAGCCGGTGCTATGTTTGATGTTCACGTGAAACGAATTCACGAGTATAAAAGGCAGTTGTTGAATATTTTATCATTGGTTCATCGATATCAATATATATTATCGCTTGATGAAGCAAGTCGCAAACAAATGGTTCCAAGGGTTGTAATATTTGCTGGAAAGGCAGCACCTGGTTACAAGATGGCAAAGAATATTATTCGATTGATCAATGACATCGGAAGAGTTGTTAACAATGACGGTAGAATTGGTAATCTCTTAAAGATTGTATTCCTTCCCAATTATAACGTTTCTCTGGCAGAACGTATCGTAGCAGCTGCAGATATAAGTCAACATATTTCAACTGCAGGTACAGAAGCTTCTGGTACTTCCAATATGAAGTTTTCATTGAATGGTTGTCTTATTGTTGGAACCCTTGATGGAGCCAACATTGAGATTCGTGAAGAAGTCGGTGAAGAGAATATCTTTATATTTGGATTGAATGCTGAGCAAGTGGTTGAGGAACGGAAGAAGCTTGACCCATCTTATCCTTTGAATGACAAACTTACAAAAGTATTAGAACTTATTGAATCTGGAGCATTAGTCGATCCTGGGAAACATCAAGAAGTGTTGGACTCACTACGTGGAGGAAGAGACTGGTATCTTGTTAGTGCAGACTTTGAATCTTATTTGCAAATGCAGCAGCAAGTGGATGAAGTATTTCGAGATCATCCAGAGACTTGGCTCAAGATGTCAATCCACTGTACTGCTGGAAGTGGCAAATTCTCTTCTGATCGAACAATATCTGAATACACAAGAGATATTTGGCGAGTGGAACCTTGTCCTTGTCCGGAACCCGTCTGTCCTGACAGTCACGGTATTGTAGTATGATGATATCATATGGCCAATAAAATTTTTCATTAGCAGTGATTCACTCTTTCATATGGGAGCGAATACTTCTGCACTGTTATCTGAAGAAATAGAAGAAATAGCAAAAGAGTCTCATCGTACGTTTCTATTACATCTATTTTGTGTTTTAGTGAAAGTAACTTTCTCCTAGTAACAAGCAAGGAAATAAAGCGTCTATACAAGCGCTTCCAGAAACTCGATAGAAACAGTTCTGGAACTATTGAGGTACCTATCGCTTCCAATTTTACTAATGGAAAACTTAACAGTCAGTCACATAGAGTGAAGAACTTTATATGATTCCGGAACTTGCAATGAATCCTTTGGTTCCACGCATCGTTTCCATGTTTGATGGAGTGAACTTCCGCCAATTTGTCTCACTTTTGAGTATTTTTAGTGCCACTTCGCCAAAACAAGAGAAGATTGACTTTGCTTTTCGAATATACGATGTGGAAAATGACGGTATCATATCTGTGAACGACCTTGTCGAACTGCTACAAATGATGGTTGGTAATAACTTGGACCAATCAACTTTGGAAGAGGTTTGAGTGCTTTGCTCCTCGTGAAAACATTACTTTCTTATTTGTAAAACAGATTGCAAGGGCTACTATTCAAGCCTCTGATAGCAACCATGATGATAAGGTCAGCAAGGAAGAGTTTACTTCAGTAAGAGCTCTTGTCGGTTAGCTTCTTATATGTGTCATTTTCAACGTTGTATTTTAGTTGATTGAGAAAACCGATATTGAACAGAGTATGACGATTCACTTTTAAAAATATTTCAATTCTTCAAAAATACTTTGAATACAAAGTAGGGTGAGTAACAATCGAGTATTATTTTTTGTTAAGATTAGACAAAAGGTCCCTATTCCTTCGTAAATATAACAATATATTTCCCTCATCCTACCAAAAAAAGTTTTCGTCTTATGCAACTAACAAGGAATATTCTGATTAGTATCAACAGTTTCATAAAGCTTAAGCCATTGATTATAATCATCTTCAAGTCCCTTTTCAACTCCGTTTTCTTCTTCTTGATCCGACTGACATGTTTCATTTGTAAGAGACTTGTCCAGGCTTGAACTTGGAGAAAGATCAGTCCGTTCAGAAACTGGTGCTTGGAAATGAAGGTTGGCAAGAATTGCCTTGCGAAACTCTCTTTCATAATTATCATCACCTACTCCAGATGATATATCTAAATAGGCATCTGTACTCTGAGACCATTCGGTCGTTGCAGAATCCTTTGTTGAACTATACTGCCTTTCAACTTCAGAAAGAACTCCATTCAAGTGGCTAGAGTTGGATTGGGCTGTTTGAGAGATTGCGAAATTCTGATCGGTAAAGTCTCCGTATCCTTTGGTGTTAAATAGGTCAGCAGGGGGCTGCCTGTAGTGAATCGGGATCAATTGTCCATCTTCACCTACTTGCCATAGTTTAACTTCTGATGAATCTTCTATTTCCTGTTTCTTTGAAAGATCCTTCCATAATTTTTGAGATTCTGAACTCAGACTTTTCAATTCTTCTGTAGTAACTCCCTTTTCATCCATATCATTATAATCTTCGACGTTCTGTATCTTATTCCAGTTACTTGCGCTAGCATGAGAAAACCGTTGCACCGAGAATGCATTTATAATATCGCTTTCTAAAATTATATCATCCATACTCATATCTAGCGCAACTCTGGAGGCAATCTTCCCACTTATCGGTGCTAACAAAATGCCGTTTCGATGATGCCCTGCACAAACCGAAACATTTTCAAACCACAATTTACCAAAGATAGGTAATAAATCCGGTGTTGTTGGCCGATAACCAGTCCATGTGTCTCTCAAAGGTAACTGAGATAAAGAAGGAATCAGCTTAAATGTCTCTTCCAAAACTGTATATATTCCACCTGCACTTGTTTTGAAATCAACCAAGCAGTTATCTTCAACTGTTGCGCCAAGAACAATTTCTCCATTCTTCCGTGGAACAATATATCCTCCCTCACCATAAATGACTCGTTGGAGTGGTACCAGACCATTTTCATTACACAAAGAAATCATCTGTCCTTTTTGTGGATGAACTGGAAGTGGTATGAGTTTACGCAACCAACAGCCATTTGCTACTACGTATCTCTCCCCTGCAATTACGTCTCCTGTCGAAAGTTGAAGCTTGGAAAGCATATTGTTGGAATAAATCATGTTAGCCACGAAACTATAAATAAACTGAACACCGATTCTCTTGCATGCAACTGTCAAAGATTCATACAACTTCTTGTTATTGATGTGGCAATCTTCTGGGAACCACCAACCTCCCACAACTTCTTCACTAAGAAGCGGTTCAAATAAGAGCAACTCTTTCTTTGATAGCCATTGGTGATGACCTCCTTGAATAGGTGGTTTCCACGTGGAAACAGCGTCATCTCCAAAGGATGGGCAAATGAAGCCACTACTGCTAAAATCTGTGCTCATACCACTAGTACGCTCAACTTCCTAGAAAAAGGTCGTCAAATATTGCAATCTTAGTTAGAGATGCACTAACCTCTACAAAGGCGGGATACAGGCTACGACTTGAAACACATAACTTCAAAAGTGCACTTTGCTCCAACCTTTCTCCTTGAGGTGCCAACATTCCAGCAGCTGCAACAGTCGCTGAGGCGTTTCCGTCTCCAACAACGACAGTAATCTTTGCACCTAGTTTGGCTGCTTCCCAAGCAATACTGAGACCTATTAGTCCACCACCTATCACGATGAGGTCCGAAGAATGTTTCGTTGACGTCTGAATATGACGGCAACTGTTTAAAGAATAGAAGACATTTCTTCTTCTAAAAATACAATTTCTTGTGGAACGGTATCTGAACCTATAACAGTTTCTACTGGAAACTGAGTCTGGCTTGTATTCTGATAGAGTACTGCTCCATTGCACGCCAAAGCTATTCACAAATGCCATTTCTCCCATGTTTACTAGCTCTGGAACACAGAATAATTTATCGAAACCCTTCTTCCAAGAACCTCCAAAGCTACCACCCAACACGTTTCGTACTGACAAACTTTTGCAGAAGTTCCTTCTTTCAGTACTACCCAAGAATATTCAAAAAGATATTTTTGGGCACCTGGATTATGTCGGTGGCCAGGTTGCTTCAACTCTGTTGGATTGGGCTGCAGATTGTGAAGCCAACGAGCCTTTTCACGTTCCTTTTGATGCTTGGGGAAAGAGAGTAGACAGACTGGTACTATCGCAGAGCTGGAGCAAGCTTGAAGGTTTTGCAGCAGAAAATGGCCTTGTGAGTATTGCATATGAGAGAAAGTTTGGTTGTTACTCGAGAGTATACCAAATGGCTTTGCTGTATTTGTTTGCTCCAAGTTCAGCTTTCGTATCTTGTCCACTTGCAATGACTGATGGGGTTGCACGTGCTTTGGAGATACACGGAGACAAGGATCTAAAGGAGAGAGTTCTGCCTCATCTTATATCACGAAATCCTGGAGAGTTTTGGACCGCAGGTCAATGGATGACAGAGAAAACGGGTGGTTCTGATGTCAGTCAAACTTCTACTGTGGCCATTCCCGATATTGCTGAAGAGTCTGAGTTTGGCGCCACACATAGTCTTTACGGTGTCAAATGGTTCGCGTCTGCGATTGACTCGAATATTGCTCTCACTCTTGCAAAAACGCAGGGTAAAGAAGACTTAGACACAAGAGAACTATCTCTTTTCTATGTAGAATTCCGAAAGAATAAGAATGACTGTCTACAAAAAATTGAGATACTCCGCCTGAAGGATAAACTTGGTACCAGAGCTTTGCCCACTGCTGAAATCAAATTGAATGGAACGCCCGCCAGATTAATTGGAAGAGAAGGAAGAGGAGTAAGTAACATTTCAGTAGTTTTAAATATCACCCGTATTTATAATGCCGTGTGTTGTGTGGCGCATATGAGACGGAGTCTTGACCTTTTAGAAGATTATCTTAAAAAGAGGAGGTCGTTTGGGAATGTCATCTTTCATCATCCGTTGCAATATCGAGTTTTAAGGAATCTAGAAATCACGTACCAACGTTCATTCCTGTTGACGTTCTTTGCAGCATTTTTGTTGGGTAAAGAAGAAAATGGTGAAGCTTCGGGAGAGGAGTGTATGCTTCTAAGGATGATCACACCGCTCGTTAAACTTTATACCGCAAAGCAAGTCATTGTTGTTTCAAGTGAAGTTGTGGAATCTTTTGGCGGAGCTGGTTATATTGAAAATACGGGGATACCTCGTTTACTTCGTGATGCTCAAGTTTACGCCATTTGGGAAGGGACGACGAACATAATGTGTTTAGACATATTGAGAGTGTTTGCGAAGTATTCGTCATCAAGAAGTGTCTTATTGCGAAACTTGTCTGAAAATGGCTCAAAGTTATCCCTTGGCGAAACATGGAAGAAGAAGTATAATGAATTAGAGTACCTGTTGGAATCCCAAGATATAACAAGTTCTTCAATGCAAAGCAAAGGTAGAAGAATAGCTTTTTTGATGGCATTTTTATGGTCAGAAATCTTGCTTGCAAAGTATCATATGGATGATGGAAATTCTATCGGAAAAATGTAGCGAGACTGAACCCTAGCACAGACACATACTATTTCGAGATTCGAACAATATGAGTAGGAACTGAGTACACTAATATTGAGATTCTACAACAGTGCTTTTAAAATAGTAACTTTTGTTATAGATGAAACACACAACTCCGGACATTACGCACACCTGCATTAAAAAATGAGGAATTTTGGCGCCATTTTCTCGTTTCCAATTCATCCATATTTATCCCCGTATTTTGTCATTATAAGTAATTGAAACATGAAGGAGTGGATGAGGTTGTTATTTCTACTAACAGTAGTGCCAATTGTTTCTTCAATTCACGAGAGACAGAGAGAGGCGTTGCCTTCATCAAGGATGGCTCCTACTCTGATGAAAATTAGTAATGGAGAAAATTTACAACAGTATCATACCTCTCTTGGAAGAGTTCCCGAAGAACCCATTCCTAGTACTTCATATAGAGAACCTGCGTTTGTATCGGAAATCGAGTTCATGGGACCTTTTCATAGACAAGAATACAATGAAGAAATGGATGACGGTATTGAAGCGTTCGTTACCTCGGTTGCAAACGATGAAGATGCAATCGATGCATGTGTTTTAGCAAGAAGTATCCAGTCGCATTTTGGCACGTCAAGAGATATGATAGCAATCGTGTTAGGATCCAAGGGTGATAGTGGTGTAAGATGGTACCCTGGGGACAAGGAGAAGAACTGGAAAACTTTGAAAGGTTGCGGATGGGACGTTCTGAAATTCTCGTTACCTTCCAATCAGTATATTATTGAAACGAGACGCCTCGAATGGCTTCGAATACATTCTTGGGCATTGGCTGAATACAAGGCAGTAGTTTACGTGGAACCTAATTCTTTAGTAATTTCTCCATCAGTGGAAGAAATGTTTAGATGTGGCTGTTTTTGTGCTTCTATCTATAAGGTAGCAAGGTGGTTCTTTCTCATGGCATTTCATTGATCTGAAAAAGGGAGATTATTTTGAACCTGACGTTATGGGACTTAAACCAGATGCTTCTGTTTACCAGCATATGTTATCAACATTAGAAGCAAATACACTTGGAAAGAAGCCCCAACTTGTGGCTTGGTTCAACACCTATTTTAAGGATCTCTTAATGAAGCCTTATTTTCCTTTGAAAGGTAAGGTTTTGAACATGGTTTCAAGAATTTGATATTGGAACTGCTGTAGTCCCTGCAGAAACGGTTCGATGCTTCAGCTGTGAGGTAAAATATTTTAGCATTTGTATGCGCAGACTTCCTGTGGGTTATAACGCAGATCCTGTCTCACATGGAATCTTTCTCAACAGTCGACTCTTGCGTTATAAAGTTTCAAGGTAGCAACATTCATTTGAATTTCTTATCCTTTAATGCCGGAGTTAGTTTGAAACCCTACAAATGGTGGTCAGCCATCTTCCTTTCTCCTCATTCCAGAAAAATATATCTTCACTACAAGAGACAAGTAAGTAACGTTCATGGGATAGCTACACAAAGGATATGACCGTAGCTCAGATCAAGAACATCAAAGATATCAATCGTTCCTTCCATGTAATTTGTTTATTTCGCGTTTCTCTTGTTGCTAGTATTCTGCTCATTGTCAGGAAAAAGTGGAAATGTACTGTTTCGAAGGGGTCATATGTCAGATGGAACTCCACTTTATTTGCGCTCTTTCTATCTTATCTTCTTGGTCCTTTAACTTTATTTGCATGTATTACAACTAGTTGGCTATTGGTTCCGCGTTATTGTGAATATATAACAGGTTGGTGGAAAATTTGATACTCACAGTGGGTAACTCATATGAAGTAGGAACACTATGCTTCGACGCTCTGTTCACTATACAATATTTCTCCTTGATCGACTTTGTTATTCATATTTATACTTCAGCTTCTTATCGTAATTCTCAAGAAGAAACTATAGATGACACTGAACATTGCTTGAAAATCTCAGTGCCATGGATGCAGCGTGAAGAGAACTTGTTTCGTCTTTGGTAAGTTTGTTAGTTAAAAAAGATGCAGAACTGATGTCTTCAAGGCTATATAAGCTCAAAATACTGTTCATAGCAACTTTCTGTATTGTTCCTCATATCTTTATTCGATTCACAAGGAATATCAAAGCTCTTATCACAATGTTCGTGGCTTATTTGCTGTTTCTTTCATTTCTGTCGCAGCTTCTTCTCTTCTTGAATTGCAGGCAATCGCTCTATCGCAAGCTGTTGATAATATATTATAACTACGAAAAGGAGACCTTTTTGGATCCTGAAGAGGCAACATCCTCCTATGGCCATACGATAGTTACAAAGAAAACGTCGGCAATACTTGAAAATCCACGGTACTCCTTGAATCATTTGAACCGATGGAAAAAATTTTAGCAGCTTTGAATAGTTGACATGTCTTCGGTTGGCAATGTTAGTAGCATAACAAGTAATTATCTTGATTCAGTTAAAACACTTCGAGCTGATAAAGAAGTTATCTATTGCCCACTTTTAGTTTCGAGAGTGCAATTCAACTTTTGAAGTAACATAACCAGGTTGCAGAGCTCCAAAATATTCGCAGTGCATTCTTCCTTGACAATATTTCGTGATATTCTTTTTTGGCTACGAATGATACATTGATCTGTTCAACACAAAATTGATTGGCAAACCAAGAAGCTTCTCTCGAAAGCTGTCAACCAGTATCTAACAACGAAAGGACATCTAATCGCCAAGGACTAGGCAATTCTCATTCCAACATCAACTGTCGAATAATAAGTGAATTTAGGCCCATTGAATTTTTCGTTGGCCTTCAAATATTGAAAGAGAGACGGACTTATGGAGACGCCGACATCTTTAGATCTCACAAGCAGTGCAAGCTACGAAAGCTTCGTTAGTAGAAAGGATGGGAAATACAAGGAAAGCGTTGACTTTGCTTTACCCTTGAAGAGTGACATAGATTACATCAGAAGTTCCCTTTTGAATATCATAGGTTCTCGTTGTGGGCACGAAACGTATGAGGCTATAGAGAAGATTCGAGAGCTTTCTTACATATATGATACTCAACAGCAAGATACCAACTTTGTAGACTTATGCCGGTATATTGAGTCCTTACCAGAAAACAAAATGTTGATGGTTTGTAAATTTCTTGGTTGTTTTGCCGCTTTATAAGCTCCTTGTAGGCAACTTCTTTTTTTTCAAATATGTGTAACATTGTCAACTATGCTGATTACGTTCACCGACTTCGAAGAAGGAGAGCGTTTGAAAGGGGGGACTCTGAAATGTTTCAAAGATATTCTTGCGATGAAATCTTTCAAGAGTTACTAAATCACGGTTTTACACCAGAAGAAATTCACAGCTATATTTGTCAGATCCAATGTGAAATGGTACTCACTGCGCACCCGACGCAAGCTGTAAGGCGAAGTTTATTATCAAAGTTATCAAAGCTAGCAACTTGTTTGCTCGAACGAGATCGAACCGACTTGACTCCGGCAGAACGAGAAAGGTTGGAGCAAATTTTGGAGTGTGCCTTATCTGCATTATGGTATATTTTTGTAGATTCGTTTTGGTTGATTGAAAACTCTGCTTTATTAGGCGTACTGATGAAGTAAGAAGAACGAAGCCGAAGCCTGAAGATGAAGCCAGAAGCGCTTTACAAGTAGTTGAAGATACTATTTGGCAAGCAGTTCCAAGATATATTCGCTCTATTGATCGCTCTTTAGCGAAAATTGGAGCTCCCCCGTTGCCTTTGGACACCGTTCCATTTTTGTTTGGTTCTTGGGCCGGAGGTGATAGAGATGGTAAGGAGAGTGGAGAGAAGGTATTCTGTGTGAGGAGATAATCCATTTCTTGCTAGGAAATCCATTCGTTACAGCTGATGTAACCAGAAGAGTCTGTCTGTTGAATCGATTAAGAGCTCTCAATCTGTACCTGCAAGAAGTAGAAGATCTCCTGTTTGATTTGTCGTTGCATTATGCGTCAGATGAGCTGCATGAATACAACAAAAGGCTACCCCTAACAAACTCCGAATACTTGGAAAAGGTAAATGAAATTCACCAATTTCCATTATATCATACATTAGGAAATATTGTATAGGAAAGACTGAAATATAAAGAATTTTGGAATCATGTTCCTCCAGCGGAACCATATCGATTGTTATTGGCATATATTCGAGATCGTTTGACGGCAACAAAAGTGTATACGGAAAACATATTAAGTGACAGACCGACAGCAGAGCCTGTAGGTTGAGTAATAATGTTTGACCGCATTTGGAGGAATAATTGTTGTATATTAGGACCCACAAGCACCTATATACACTCATATAGATGAATTACTCGAACCTCTATACGTCATGTATCGTTCATTGCACGACACAGGAGACGGCGTCATAGCAGAAGACCATTTGAAGGACTTTATTCGACAGGCCAAATGTTTTGGTTTGGAATTGGTTCGATTGGACATTCGGTAAGTTGATTTGTATATTGAAAGAGAAGTATGTGAATGCTATTGGGAAAGACAAGAAGCAGATAGACATACGAAAGCTATGGCGGCAATAACAGGATACATCGGAATGGGAGACTATTCTCAATGGGATGAAGAGACGAGGTTGTCGTTTTTGAATGAAGTTCTTTCCAGTCGTCGACCTCTGATTCCTCGTCGTTTTCCCTGCGATGAGAATGTGAGGGACTGTAGTGAGCCGTTTTTGGAAGTTAGTCTCAAATGCTTTGTTTAGGTGCAAGAAGTATTGGACACATTTCAAGTTTGCGCTGACTTGGGTGCTTCCAGTCTTGGTGCTTATATCATTTCGATGTGTATGGCATCTTCTGATGTTTTACTTGTAAGTAATCATATTTTATAATAGTCAGAATTCAAACTTTTGAGCTCAGGTGGAAGTGTTCCAACGGGAGTTCTGCATGAGTCGCCCGACACAACGGGTTGTTCCTTTACTGGAGACCATCCATGCTTTGCAAAATGCGACAAAGATGATGGAAACTTTGTTCTCGAATACTTGGTATCGACAACACCTTGAGGTAAGTTTTTATTTCTTTTTCTCATTATACAATACTGAAAGACTTTGCTCAGGAGTCCTTTGGGAATATTCAGGAAATTATGGTTGGATATAGTGACTCTGGAAAGGATGGCGGTAGGCTAACCAGCGCCTGGGAACTTTACAAGGCTCAAGAAAGTCTCACCAGAGTTGCCGAAAAATATGGAGTGACTCTGAGATTCTTTCATGGTAAGAAATGTTAAGTTTACAAGTTTTTTACTGAAATATGCCAGGTCGTGGTGGAACGGTTGGTCGTGGTGGAGGACCACAGCATCTTGCTATACTTTCGCAACCACCTGGGACAATCAATAAATATTTCAGAGTAACAATTCAAGGAGAGGTTATTCAGCAAGATTTTGATTTACCTGGTTTAGCTGATCGGACGTTAGAATGTTATTTGACTGCTATTCTTAAAGCTGAAATGATGCCATATTCACAAGTCAAGTCAGAATGGAGAGAACTTATGGATGCCATGAGTCAGATATCCTACAAAACATATCGCAGTGTTGTATATGAAAAGCCAGACTTTGTAAAATACTTTCGTTATGCCACTCCAGAACAAGAAATTGGACGTTTGAATATCGGTTCACGTCCTCAAAAGCGTAAGGTGAGATAGAGATCCTATTTTTTTTAAAAGCGGCTCAGTTGTTGTGTTCAAAGGATGGTGGAGTGGAAACTTTACGTGCCATTCCATGGATATTTGCGTGGAACCAGACCAGACTCCATTTGCCTGTTTGGTTGGGAACTGGTGCGGCGATTGATTATGCGAAGAAAACGAATAAATTAGAAACTCTTCAGTCGATGTACAAGGTAATAAAACGCCGAAACATACTAGTCATGCATCTAATTTTTTTTGGAAAGGAATGGCCTTTTGTTCACTCCTATTTTGACTTGATGACTATGGTTCTTGCCAAAGCAGATAGTCGAATATCAGCAAAGTATGATACGGAGCTAGTTCCTAAAGAGTTACAGTCGTTTGGAAGTTCGTTGAGAAAACTTTTAGCTGAAACCATCGATATGGTATTGTATGTGACTGGTGAGAAGCGTTTGTTAGACAATGACATTGTGAGAAAGTCGTTTGAAACCCTTTCCATGTTGTAACTTAGTAATCATTCTTAGGTTATGCAACGAGCAATGGATAGTCGTCGTCAGTGGTTGACTCCTATGCATATCGTGCAAGTAGAAATCCTCAAGAGACTTCGTGCTGGTACGGAAACTCAGACAATTGTGGATACTTTGGTTATCTCAATGAAAGCCATTGCGGCGGGGATGCAAAACACTGGTTAAGATTGCATCTGTTACGCAATCAACTTTCCTAAAAGATTTGTTTGCTTGTATTTGCATGGAATGAAAATTTGTCAAGTTTTAAGTAGTTCTTTCAATAACTACACAAGTTGCTCCACCACCACCATTACATATCGCTGCAACTCCTATACTTCCACTGGTCTGCTGCAATACAGAAGTAAGTGTCACTAAGATACGAGCACCAGAAGCGCCAATGGGATGACCGAGTGAAACTGCACCTCCATAAATGTTGACATGTTCCGGATTCAAATCTAAAAGCTTACAGTTTGCAACTGCAACGACAGAAAATGCCTCGTTGATTTCCCAAAAGTCAACATCTTTTGTGGCAAGTTTTGCTCTTTCAAGAGCTATTTTTACGGCCTTGGATAACTTTTATATTCTTCAAAAAAGAGATGAATATATGAGATTTACCTTGGCAGGAGTGGTTGGAAAACGAATAGGAGCTTGTTCTCCATCTGCATAACTCATTATCTTTGCAACCGGCTTCAGGCCATATTCTCGAACTGCCTGACCACTTGCTAGTACTAATGCAGCCGCTCCATCACTCAGCTTGCTCGAATTTCCAGCAGTGACAGTTCCATTTTGTTTCTTAAAGACTGTTTTCAATTCTCCTAGACGATCAACTTCTTTGAATCTTTTCACTTCTTCATCTGCATCAAAAACGGTGCCATCACTTAACGTTATAGGAACAATTTCATTTTTAAAGGAACCTAACTGAGTGGCTTTTGCAGCTGAATGTAACAAAATCATGAATAAGATAAATGATTCGTGACAATGATACTAGGCAAACCTCTAGAATACGATTTTGTAGCATAGTTATCTTGCTCCGCTCGTGATATTTGAAGTTCTTCAGCGCAGTGTTCACCACACATTCCTAAGTTGCTCTTAACAATTCAAAACTCGACATGAAAAAATCTTTTCTACCCATATGAAAGTCTTCATAAGGATCCCATAATCCATCATGAATCATACCGTCAACTGCTTTGACATCTCCCATTCGAGCTCCAAAACGCTAAATATCTTCTTTGTCAGATTATACAAGATGAGTACAAACGACAATACCAATCTATCAATATAATAAGGACTTTTGGTCATACTTTCCATTCCTCCAACGACTACAATGTTTGCTAGTCCCAACTGAATAGACTGAACGCCGAACACAGTTGATTTCAAACCAGACGAGCACACCTACAGTTCGTTAGGCTACTACTATGCTCCAGAAACAAACGATTGACCAACCTTATTTACTGTAGTACAAGGTATTGTATCTGCTAGACCTGCTGCCATACATGCTTGTTTGGCTGGCTAAGAAAAACAAATTGACAGTAATAAAACAAATGAACAGTCTTTTACGTACTGCTTGTCCAACCCCAGCGGATAATACGTTACCAAAATATATCTCGTCAATCTTACTCTATAAACAAGCAACCGAAAAGAGGCAATTAATAGCGAACAATCATCATACTGTATTTTTGCAACCAGTACCTTGTCTATTCCTGATACTTCCACTGCTCTTCGAATAGCCAAACCTCCTACCTCTCCTGTCAGATACAATCTAGGCTTTTCAACCAAAAACAATTTACCAAGTTGAGGAGCCGTATATTCTTTGAGAGCTCCACCATATGATCCTATTCATTCCAACCTTATAAAAGACAAGAGACCTTCCAACGACGGACGGTACAAACCTATAGCAGTTCGAGCAACAGAGACAATATATGCAGTTCTCTGAGATTCCGAGCTAGAACACCAATTTCGTTTCCACAAGGGCGTGATAGTAATTAAACCTTGTAGTATAAGGTAAGTTATAGAACAGAGCGTTAATCATGTGTACCAACGTGAAAGAATGCGCAGACTACCACCGCTAGCGTTCATTCCGTAGAAATGAATCGGCCCTCAGTGAGGAGGAGAAGGGCCAAGTGAGCATAGTCTATTCCGTTTCTTGTTCTGATAGAATGAAATAGGAGACTCAAGTATTTCTTCTCGAATGTTCTGTTTCATTTTTATTTTCTATATAAAGAATACTGAATTCTTTTCAAAGATGCTGATTGAACATATTAGATTAGAGTTTTCTCAAATAGAGGAGGAAAGATGATATGGTTATTTTTGTATATGGCATTTGTATGTAACGTTAATGGTCACTTATTCAATGGCTTTTAGCGTATGAGCCAAATGCCAGAGAAACTTTCACTGTGCTTGACTCATTCTACTTTATTTATGTAGTTTTCTGAGCACGCAGCAGTGGTACAAGAATACTTTTTCTTGGTTACAAAGGAACTCGTCGCCGCCGTGCTGAACAAGTTGCTCGTTGTCTATCGGGGTGAGTGATATTTCTCTACTTACTGTCTGGTGCTTTTGGCTTTTTTTGAATACTTCAACGAGCGTATTTGGCTGGAAGACAAACTCTGTCCTTAGAAGACTTTTGATAAAGTATTCCTACTTGATTGTTTTCTACAACAAACTCTTTATTAAAGAACCTGTAGTAACCTCAACAAGGCACTTTGGAAAGCTTTTCTGTATGTAAGCCAACTTTCACATAGTTCACAGGCTATTCGGGAGAAAACTCGTCTTGGTTTTTAATAGGCGCATATCGTTCAACTCGAACAAGTAAAACTTTTGCAGTTATTGAATATTTTTCTGTAGATCATTTGATAAAGAGTCACAATGTTTTTCAAGCTTTCAAAATAGCCATGTGAAACTATGCTTTAAACACAGGACATCCAGAGAAAAGAAACTCTATGGAGTTTAGTCGCTCCACTCTTACACTCATTCAAAACTCTTTTCATTTTCTGAATCGTTGGCTAAATGGAACGTTTGCAGCGCCTTTTTACACAAACTCAGGTACCTTTGCGGGTAATATTATTAGAGCAAAACAGTTGACAGGTTTTTATATAGAGTGGACCGCAACCCGATGCTCCCACGAACGACACCGCTGAAACGATATATATTTCTTCACTAGCCTTGTTAAAGATGCTTAAGCATGGTGAGTAAAAACTTGACTCGCTCTTTCCTTTGAGTTGAATAGTTTTTAGGAAGAGCAGGGGTTCCTATGGAAGTCATGGGCCTCATGCTGGGAGACTTTGTTGATGACTATACGGTAAAGGTGGTAGACGTATTTGCTATGCCTCAAAGTGGTACAGGTGTCAGCGTTGAAGCGGTGGACCCTGTTTTTCAGGTAATAATACATTTTTCATTCTCCACTTTGTGTTGTTCTTATTTCCTGACAGACAAAAATGTTGGATATGTTGAAACAAACTGGTCGACCAGAAATGGTTGTTGGATGGTATCATTCTCATCCTGGTTTTGGCTGTTGGCTTTCAGGTGTAGATATCAACACACAACAAAGCTTTGAGGCACTGAATAGCCGTGCAGTTGCTGTGGTTGTCGACCCTATTCAGTCTGTGAAAGGAAAGGTCGTTATTGACGCCTTTCGATTAATCAATCCACAAACCATGCTTTTGGGTCAGGAGCCGCGACAGACTACTTCTAATGTTGGATACTTGAACAAACCTTCCATACAGGCGTTAATTCATGGCTTGAATAGGCACTACTATTCGTTGGCTGTTGCTTATCGTAAGAATGAGTTGGAGGAACAAATGTTGCTCAACCTACACAAGAAGCACTGGAGCACCGGTTTGGAAGTTACAGATTTTGAGGAGCGAGCTGAGAAAAACGAAAGGGCGGTTCAATCCATGTTAGAGTTGGCAAAGAGTTATAGCAAAATGTTGGAAGAAGAACGCCAGTTGACGAAGGAACAAGCAGCTATTGCACATGTTGGTAAGGTTGATGCCAAAAAGCGCTTAGAACAAGACGTGACAGAGCTGATGAGTGAGAACATCGACCAGTGCTTAAGTTCCATGTTAGATTCTGTGGTTTTCCAACAAGCTTAGAGAAACACTGTGAAACTCCTTTGATTAGTGGAGCTTTCTAGTTTTCCTTTTTATTTTCAATTTCTGCGTAAATAAAACTATGTTGGATAATAGCAATATTAAGGACTGTTTTCAGAGTCTTCTTGATTGTTCCTAATCACGTTGTCCCCACATTCCAACACTCTTTTGCGCTTTTCTTCACAAAGAGTTGGTTCCTGTCTGTTTTCCTTGATACATCTTTCATATTGTCGAATTTCCAAAAAACAGCCCTCTCGCACCAAGTCCATGAACTGCATACTATTGTATGCAGACTGTAAATAAGTACTTCACAAAACAAAGGTTACACTCACTTTTCAGAAGTACACTTGGCAAATTCTGCTTTCTGGGGCCTACAAACTTCCTCCCAATTCTCTCTATTTTCTGCCACACAGTGTTGAAAGTTTCTAAACTCAGTTCCACACTTTTCACTCACTGCGTTCAACGCTGCCTCCATTGTAATATCGACCAAAAAGAATTCAAGTACGAAGTTATAATATTATTCTATTCCAGTAGTGTATATTATGATATCCAATGATTCTCTGCTTTACAAGTATTCTTCGACTGCTGCCAATAAAAAGAATGGAAGTGAAAAAGGAACTGGGAAAATTGGTTTAAGTGGTTCGCGTGAAAACTTACTTGACCAGTCATGAGTCCCATGTTACGGCTTCATATCTTTTTAACCCAGGTAAAGTCAACAACATATGTTGCCAAGATTCCTTTACGTTGTATGGCTTCTATCTCTTCTTCTTCTTCTTCTTCTTCTTCTTCTTCTTCATCAGTACCTCCTGCCATATTTGCCAGAGGAAGTGGAGGACGCTCTTCGTTTAGTGGTGTCATAGCAACAGTCTTTGGAAGTACTGGTTTTCTTGGAAGATATGTCGTCAATCAACTTGGAAGAGTTGGATCACAAGTTATTGCAACTTGGAGAGGAGATGAATTGGATGCTAGACACCTCAAGCCTATGGGAGACCTCGGTCAAATAATACCGTTTGAAATAGAACTAAGACACCACGAGTCCTTAAGGAAATCAATGGAAAACTCCAACGTTGTGATCAACTTGTTGGGAAAAAACTATCCCACAAGATATTATTCTTTATATGACGTTCATGTTACTGCGTCCAGAACGATAGCACAAATTGCCAAAGAAGTTGGCGTAGAACACTTTATTCATGTCTCTTCGATTGGCGCGGATAAGAACTCAAAATCAGAATTTCTGAGAACAAAGGCACTCGGAGAAGAAGCTGTGAGAGATATTTTTCCTTCGGCTACAATAATAAGACCCTGTGATATATTTGGGGACGAAGATAACTTTATCAATCGAGCTTGCATAATAGTCAAAACATTTCCTTTCATTCCACTAGTAAATGAAGGTAGATGCAAAGTACAACCTGTTTGGTGTAATGATATTGCGATGGTCATAAGAAGAGCTTCTCAGGATCCTGAAATGTTTCTTGGGAAGACTTTTGAGCTTGGAGGTACAAAAGTCTATACTATAAGGGAGTTTTACGAATGGATTCTGAGAGAGACCAAGTTGCCAAATACATTTCAAGATTTACCACAGAGAGTGGCGGAGTTGATGTTATTCTTTGCTGAAAAGAGAATACCGATCCTTAAGTAAGCTTATTTAGTTTCATGTTGTTGTTGTATTTTTCATGTTGGTTTAGTCCCGATCCCAAATATACTAGAGACCATCTTATTCGAGAGACTTCAGATATGATAGTTACATGTAAAAATGGGGAGCTTACTTTTGCCGATGTTGATACAGTTCCTCATGAGTTTGACAGTGATATTGCTAAAGAAGTAACGAAACTTTATCGTCGTGCAGGTGATGCTTCCGAATTGTACTACCGATAATGGTAAAGGGTTTCGAATGATTCTTTGGCAAGTTTCATAGCATGCTTATAACGTAATCAATGTGCATTTTAAAATCTTTTCAATAAAATGGTATCACTTGCTGTTTCAAAGTTAGTTGGAGAAATGGAAACCATTTCCAACGAATTACGAGGAAAAATGTTGAATTTGCCACGTCATGGATTGAATCTGAGACGTGTCGTGAATCAAGTTGGGTATTGAATCCAGTGGACGAGTGGTCCATCTCAAAGAGAGAATAAGAGAAAAACGTGTTTTGTCGATTTCTCAACAAAGTTGTGGACTCCAACAGATGCCAACTGTTTACCACTTGTTCAGACTTCATTGGCCAAAAAAATTCTCTGAACCTATAAAAAGAAAACAAACAATCCCATCTCTTGCAGGATGACTGCTTTGGAACTATTTCACAGAATGAAGAAAACATTTACAGTTGTCAAAGGATTGTTCCTTGTCTGGTGTATATCTACAGTTATCTCTACATGTATAGCTCAAGAACCTCCTGAACTTCAAGGTATCACTGCAAGACACAATTATTTCAGACATATTTTCCAAGCACCTTCTATTGAATGGGATGATTCAGTAGCAAGTGCTGCTCAAACCTTCACCGACTCTGCTGCAGTTCTTGCTGCATGTCCTGGACAGGGTGGCACGTTCCAACATAATACAGATGGAGGAAAATACGGTCAAAATTTCGCTGGCTCTAGCTTTACCTATCCCAATCAAACGATTGGTGAAACAGCAGTTGACTTGTGGATGTTGGAAGAGAAGCAATACAATTTCCAAGACCCTGGTTTCTCCGATAGCACGGGTCACTTTACTCAAGTGGTCTGGATTGCATCCACAAAACTAGGATGTGGTTACCGGAAATGTCCTACTTATAATGGCTTAACTCTGCAGTTTGTGATATGCAATTACTTACCTCCTGGAAATGTCATCGGAGAATTCGCTCAAAATGTAAAGCCGCCAATCACAAACAACATTGACTTTACTTCTTTACCTTCAGCAACAGTATCCCCAGTTACTACTTCTACAGTTAGCCCATCTACAACACCATCAACAACTCCAACTATCCCAACAGTGTCTCCTACTGCTGTTCCTTCTACAACTGCAGTTCCTTCCACAACTACAGTTCCTGTTTCGACTATTGTTCCATTTACTTCAGGGCCAACTTTGTCAAGATGCAACTGTACATGTGAGATATCTTAAATTGGAAACTTCTGAGTATATTCTTCTTCTGTTTTGCATTTCTTTGATTAAACTGAGTATTTTGAGTTTTACAATTTTTAGATATTCATGTTGCTTGTCAAATGAATATGATTCTATTGCATTGAAAACAATGCGGTCTCTTGAAAAACAACGAACTAGTTTTATTTTGTTACAAACCTAAACACAGCCAAAAAGTTTCTCTACGAGTGCCGGGAATCGAACCCGGGGCCGTAGCGTGGGAAGCTACGATGTTACCACTACACCACACCCGTCCACGACACTGCGGGGTCTTAACATTATTTTACCTAGTTACCAGCAAAGAGCATTACGACCTATCCTTTCTTTCATGTTATCTATTTTAGATTGTGCTATATAAAATATTTCCTCTCAATATCGTTGAATACAATCTAATTGTGACAAAAATTGCTACTAAAGAGACACGGAGTGTCCAATTTGTCTATGGGAAGCGCGCAGATGTTCCTATCTACAAGAGTGAAACTGCTGTCCTCAAGGGACAAGTCATTATGGGTGTGAAAAAGTTGGTGTCAGGTGGCTATGACCATACTGTTAGACTATGGGACCCTTCTACTGGTGTCAATGAGAGAACTTTCGAGTTTAATGACTCCCAGGTTAACCGTTTAAGGTTTTCAAAGGATGGAAGGCTCCTGGCAGTTTGTGGAAACCCTAGGGTCGCGTTTTTCGATCTCAGATCAGACGCAGAAGCTCCCGTGCATACGCTAGACTTGCACAGAAGCAATGTAACGGATCTTGTATTCCGAGATGCTGGTCCTCACGCTGTGACTTGCTCTGAAGATTGTTTCGTGTACTCGTGGGATTTGAGGGTCTCCAACCCTGTGGCAAGTTTGAAGAATGATTCGGGTGTAACAAGTGTTGGATATGGTAGGAATACTGGTCAAGTTGCCACAACAGACTATGGGCGTTTCATGAAGATATGGGATATTGAACAACAGAAGGTCGTTGGGAAGATGAGCACCGTCACTGATAATGCTATGTTTCTGAATCTTAGTTACTGTTCTAAGACTGGACTGATGTGTACAACAGGCTCCGCAGGTTATGCGTATATATGTCGAATTACTGGGGCATTTACTCCTGGAGACGATATTAACAAATCAAGTGTTGTGACGAATGAAGGTGCAAAACTCGATAAGGCGAAACTAGATTTGAAGTATTCAAATGGGTTACGAAGAAAGAAACGGCATCAATGGGAAAAACATTTGTATAATGTTCCTGAAGAAGCTCGAGGTTACTTTGAGAAGGTTGCAAAGTTTAAGTGCTCCAATCGTTATGTTCTTCGTTGTTGTTTTAGTGATGATGGTCTTCTTGTTGCTACAGTTGCGGATAATGGTATGTTAGAGATATGGGGAGACGAAAACAATCCAGACGTGTATACAGAAGACCGTTGGTACGTTAATAGGCAGATTGGAAGACACCAAAAGTGGGCATGGGATTGCCGTTTCACGAAAGACGCAAAACATATTTTTTCATGTTCTTCAGATAAGAGAATTTGTTTATGGGATGCGAACAACGGAGACATATTGAGAGAATATAAAGGTCACCAAAAGGCGGTAACAAGCATTGATGTTTTCTCAACATGATACCTCTTAACAATGAAACAAAGTAGCATCGGATATTTTATTCTGAATGAATTTCTTTATTTGATAATTTTCATATAATAAATTGTTTTTTCACATGAGCCCATTGGTTGTGGATTAGAGTTTCCATAGTTCTGCAAATCCAAATCCCTCAAAGTTGCTGTCAATTGACTCTGTAGTGTTCGTGTCCAAAAATGCAGCCTTTGTACAAAAATTCTGCCTATGAAGCTCAAGCCAAACAGTTGTCGAAACAACAGCAACTTCAACGAAATCAACAGAGGAATAGCGCTCAATTCGAAGCGTTGCCAGACAAACAGAGAGAAGGTGGTATGGAGAAGCGTTACTCTGGAGGTGACATAAAGAGAACGGAAACTCAAGAACAGTCGAAGCTTTACCATGAAAAACTTCTAGCTGAGAAGAACAGTGACGTTGGATCAACTATTAGTTTTGAAGAAGAGGAAGAACTCAATGAAGAGGACATTCATCTGATGGAAGTAGGGATTTTTGTGACCTTTTTTTACGATATACTCATCGGTTGCACCTTAGGATGCCTCCGACCGCACATTATTTCAAGCTCTAGGAGATTTGTTTTGCATCATAAAGGAAACAGAACACTTGGAAAGAGCTTGGAGAAACGCAAGCATCAAGGCAGATGACTATACTCGGGAATGTACGAGTCTTATCAACCGCTACAAGACAACTTGCAGTTCACTCAAAGGACGGCTTTCGAATCCCAATCAGTACGTTTATTGAAAATTCGTTTTGGTCCTTATCTCTCGATAGTTTCATAGAGGATTACGAGATAGAAGCTCCTGCCGCGAGGCAGATCGCGCTGATTCAAGCCGGAGTACCGGCAAAAGTAGAACACAGGGAACGTTTTGGTAACCAATCAGATATTCTTTATGTAACGAGAGCTACTAGAACTTTTATTACAGCACGAAATGTCCTTGAAATGAAGCTTTTATCGAAGGATGAGATATATCCATATATTTCCGAACTCATTGAGTAGGTTGCCACAATAATATTTGTGATCCTCATACTGATTCTATTCCGTAGTGCACTCGATAAGGTGGAAAGACTACGAAGTGGATTCGAGGGAAAGGGAAGATTGAAGGAATGGCTAAGGATTCTGGGCCGCATGAAAGCAAGTGATTCGTTGTCAACTGAAGAAGCGAGGCAACTTGCGTTTGATCTGGAATCAGCATTTACAGAATTTGAGAGAATTTTAGAAGCACATTCTTAATATTCAAACAAAAAATGGAGACGGATAAATTTGGATATATGAGAACAGAGTTCTTTTGTAGAAAGTCATTTTTCGTTTATATATAACTATAAATACTTGTCTAGTTCTGCCTTGTAATATGTGTGTGTGTGTGTGTGTGCGCGCGCGTTGCATGAGTTGCTGCTTTGAAATAGTTTGCCAAGCTGTACTTATGAAAGGGTTATAAAACACACTTGACGATATTGCTTTCCAAAAAACAGACGAATTGCCAATATCTCCTGTAGGATATTTTCAACTACATCTCTATATGACAATATTTCACATGCGGCTGTGTCACAAGTCATAGTTTGAATGAAACAACGTGATATAGGCAAGTGTGACTATAGAACTAGCACGAGTTCGAAGCCGCATTTTGTTAGGGTTGAATACAATCTTCCAACCAATCAGAAAGGAAGCAATTGAATGGAAAAAAGACCATATTTAAGAAAAATGGCGTTCTTTCTTTTGTGCATATTTGAAGTGAGATTTGTATAGACTCGAAAATCAATGAAAAGAAGAATTCATTCTCAGAAAGCAACTATGTAGCGAAAAGAACAGAAAACGAACAATCCAAAAGTTTCTCGCTCTCAACATAATACCACAAAAGACACTGGCTAAACAAGTAATTTGCTTAAATTAACCAGTTGAACCTCATAGAGCATCACTGAGAAATTCAATAGGCTCTTCTGAGGGAACTTCAAGATCTTCTGGGTTGATAAAATCTTCTTCAGTAGCATACAAAACTTGTTGGAATGCCTTTGCAACATCTGAATGACTCTCCTCAAATTGCTGACAAAGAATTTCGATATCGCGAAGCTTGTTGAAATAAAAGTCTCTTTCCTTTTCTAGGATATCAGCAGTCAATCTCAGTTCTTCAAGTTCCTGAGATAGCCTCTCCACCTCTGCCCTAGCGACTCCCGTATCTTCAACATGGACGCCATTCTTTTGCTCTCCATTTTTGGCAGTGCCGGAAACTTTGGAACGAATTGGGCCTTGTTTATTCTCCATGGATGATGTTTGTTTCTTCTCAGAGGCAGCATTTTCTTTAGTTGTTGATATTTGCTTTTTCTTCGAGACAGTAGCCGGCTCTTGACTATCAGATGAAGCGGATTTTGCTCTTTGACGTCCACCTCTAGCTGCGTTGTAGATTTCAATAGCTCGATTTCTCCTTCCGACGGCATCATATTCAGAACCGTCATAGTGACGATCGAAATAACATTTCACCCATTGAGTGAATTCCAAGTTGTCCTGATATTTTGCTTTCACAAGCTTATCTACATCTATACGTTTCTCAATATTGCATCTATCGAAAGCAGTCTGCAATATTTTATAGTTTTGGATAAATTCGTAGTCCATTTTGGCGCCAAAGTTGACTTTCTGCAAAGGTACTTTTCCCGGAAATAAGGCATCAAAAACCTGACAGTGTGCACAACCACTTGCAAATTCTTCAATTTTTGTATAGTTTAGACTCAAAAAATTATTTATCCAAGATAAGAGCTCTGCTCTTCCTACAAAGTAGGCACCTTCCATCATTCCTGCTTCATTTTAGTAGAAAGTTGTAAAGGCGACAGAAATTTGCATACCTATAGACTCCGACATTTCACTTATCTCTATAAACAATACGATATATATGCGTGTATAAAGAAAGGTTGACAGACTCCACCAAAAGAAACTGAAAATAAGTCTTGCGTGTAACACGCTTTGCTGTCTTTTTGAATTTTCTGAAATTGGACAAATTTCCCACACGAAATTATCGTTTGTGTGTGAAAAAATGGAGCCCATGACGGCCTATCAGTTGAGGCCTAAGACTGTCGCAAAACACTGTAACGAACACGACTGTTGGGTAATTGTCAATGGAAAAGTTTATGACGTAACTTTGTTTTTGGACAAACATCCTGGTGGTAAGGACATTTTATTGAGCTACGCAGGAAAAGATGCCACTGCTGCACTAGAGGGTGCTGGAGGTCACGAGCATAGCAAGTATGCTTTCAAATTGCTAGAAGAATATTATTTAGGAAGGGTTGTGAGCCAAGAAGAAAATCTAATTGACCAGGAAAAAAGACTAGCTGAAGCTGACACCAAGGAATCCGTTTCAAAACTGGCACTTAATGTTGACAACCTTGTTGACTTTCAGAAGCCTCTGTTGCCTCAAGTAGGCATGCTTGGGGAGTTATACGATGTTTGGGTACATTCTTTTCCAACGACCGACCATACGGTTGCACTTTTTCCGAATCCTTTGCTTGAAAAATTGACACGCTGCAAGTGGTATGTTCCTCTTGTATTCTGGATACCCATTATATGTTATTATTTATGGTATCTTATTTCTCGTGGTGATTGCAGTTTGGAAGCTTTTGGCTTTTTCTCGGTTTTGGGCTATTTCTCATGGCTTTTATTTGAATATGTTTTGCATCGATATGTTTTTCATATGAAGACCACGTCATATTATGCAAACATTTTTCATTTTTTGTTACATGGTCACCATCACATCACTCCGTTAGATTCCGAGAGAGTCGTATTCCCACCTGCGCCTGCAGTTCTGATTGCATCACCATTCTGGTTGGGAATGCCTAAACTCCTAGGCATAGTTAAGGGATATTCTTGGCTCTTTGGTTTTGCTGTTGGATATCTTTGTTATGATATGACACATTTTTGGATCCATCAAGGTGCCCCAAAGTTGTCCTTTCTCAAGTCTCAGAAGAGGCGTCACGTCATTCATCATTATCGTGAGCCTCAGATGAACTTTGGTATTTCCAATCCTTTCTACGATATCGTTTTCGGAACGCTTGTTAAAGAAGGCAAAACAAGTCCGGTGAACTGTACCGACTGATTGAAGTTTATCGTTTCATTGGAGGCCGTACTTATCTGGATTTGTATATCATCGTGAATATATTACGGAGTCATTAGAAATCGTATACTGCGCATTCTCTGTACAGTTTAGCCGTATGATTGTAATGATCTCGCCATTTTGTTATGGCAGTGATTTGGTTAGCATCATTTTCTATTGTTTGTGCTTTTGTGTATTTTGATTAGTAAAACTCTATCTTTGTAGCATGGGTTGAATTAGTTTACGTGAAGAAAGCGTTTCTTGAGCTTGCTGTTCACCTGACTTTGAGAACGCTAAAGTTACAAATATATTATTTTGACCATCTTTTGTTGGGCACTTTCTTAGCCAAGTTATAACAGAATCTCATTTCTGGCTAAGCTCTGTATATTTCTTTTCTCAGTATCTTCTTTACCATGTGCTTCCACCTTTGCTTTGAAATAGACCGAGGTTTTCTAGATAGTAACAGAATGATTCTCAATCAGTTGTTTTCAAAAGCATCCGATCTCAGCATTGTTCTACTATTGTCGTTACTGATTGCCGTGTCAAGTACGAGAGATGCCTAGGAACGGTTCTCTTTCCAAGCGAAAAACAAATTCCTCTCAGGGACCACTACGACACTTGTTTTGGTCTTTGTCGCGTTCTAGAATTGGTGCAGGAGCAGGTCTTTGTGCAGGAGTTGGTGTAGGGAATTGTGCGACGATCGGCGGTCTTTTCTTTCCACCGGTTTTCCATGTTGGCGTTAGTGCTGGCACTGGAATTTGCTTAGGATATGGTGTAGGTGTAGGTTTTGACTTTAGTCTGGGTTCCTTGTTCAGTTGGCTCGATTCACTACTCCGCTAGTTGACGTTAAGAGAGTTCCGTGAACGATGCTTTGTTCCTACTACAGGAGTTATTGAAATATTTTAGTTGCGGAATATACAAATTTCTTAGATACAATAGGAGGAAGGCCTACTTGTGGTTTCTCTTTCTCTCGTTTTGTCAAAATATGACTAGTGGATGGCACTCGTTCAATCTGTTTCGCTTTTTAGTACTATTTTCGTAAAGAGAAAATTCGATAAAACAATATAGTGAGAAGTTGTATTCTTACCCACGTTGGTTGTTTTCAACTTGACTATTTGAAGCTTTATCTGCCAAGCCGTACGTCCCAACTAGTTTCTGGATATTGAAAATATGTTTTTTTTTCAATTTATATTCAACACAGAGAAATACAGTGTATTCTCATTCGAATTATTTTAAGACCACTATATTGTAAATATGGACTTTTAGTTTTGAACACTGAAGGCTGTCCAGAAATGTGAGAGTAGTCCAATTGATTGTGAAGTGATGATGTTTCGACGATTATTATTACCGTCTGCCAAGACTTACACTCTTTGGAAACACTCTTCAAAGAGTCATGAAACCAACTTGAAAACTGCTGTATATCATTTGAGCTCATTTGTATCCAGCAATTCGAAGAAAGCCTTAAACAACGAAAGCAACCTTGACTCCTTTTTTGTTGGAACTTGGAAACGTTATAGCTTTTATTTTCAGAAACAAAGAGACTTTAATTGTGTGCAGCCAGATTTATTTTCTGAAAATAGAAAATTTGTTTATGGCAGATTGGAAAGTATGCGCCATTTTTCAGAACAGATAGGCTCTGATAAGCCTTCAAGATTTGCTACTGGAAGTTCATTAGGAAGCTCAAGTTCTGCGGCAGATTCCAAGATTGACTGGAGAGTCAGAGTAAGAAGAGCTCAGAGAAAAAGATTGTATTATCTCGTAGGAGGCATGGCAGTCTTCGCGACACTTGTATATTCGGCCTTGTTTGCTTTTGAGGATCGTTTAATGTATTTTCTTACTCCAACACAGACTTTGGCAAAAGTAGCAACACTTCGACCAGAGAGTCGTTTTCGTTTAGGTGGTGTGGTCGTAAATGGTTCTTTTATGTTGAATGAAAAGGAAAAGTTCGCAGAGTTCGTTGTGACTGACTTGGAGAATGAAATTCCTGTTCTCTTCAAGGGCGATACTTTTCCGGACCTCTTTGGAGAAGGCAAGTCAGTGGTTGCAGAAGGGTATCTTCGAGACGGAATATTTTATGCAGATAAAATTCTGGCAAAGCATGACGAATATTATATTCCAAAAAGTGTACAAGAGTCTATAAATCGAAATCCTGTGAGTGTCTATGGTGCACTAAAGAGTGCCAATGTTGGTTCGAGAAACTACTGAAATAAAGAAGCTTGAAACTGTACAACACTCTATTATATTTGTAATAAACATTCACTAGAATTCTCAATTTGACAAGTCATCAAAGAAAGAAGATATCGTTTCATTGCCAAAGGTTGCCTTACGTCTCTTGCCTAAGAATGACTTGCGCTTTTTGTCTTTGACACTAGTATCGATTGTCTCTTTCATAATATCTGTTGAGCTGTCTTGTTCATATAAACAGGAAGCGTCGAAGCATCTAACAAATGACTCGTATGAACTGCAAATCAATGTCTTGGAAACCGGTTCTAGAATAAGTTTCTCTATTGGCAACTCAAATGGTACTCCAACGACTCCAATTATTTGGTTGGGATGTATATTAACCAACCGAAGTAAGCCGTCATCTGAACCCGTCAAGAGTGTATCGTTATCTACACTACACATATCTCCTATCGCCTCAGGGTGACCTTTACAGTTATCAAGCAACTTATCCCATAATCTCCATTCGAACATTATCAGATCGCCCTCTAAAGTTCCACCAACTACAACAGAACCATTCTTTATCAAACCCAAGCACGTTATCTCGTCTCGAACACTTTCTGTTACGATTGGCGTTGATGAGCTACGAAGTTCGAAAACGCTTATAGTTCCTTCACCACCAGACGATAAAACTGTGTTCACGTCCAAAGTATCTTTTGGTTCTCTAACTATAATATCTGTTACACTGTCACCGTGCCCACGATAGGAATAAACTGGTTTCTTCGTTTGTCGGTTGTCCCACAGCCTTACTCTTCCACTATCATAACCGACAACCAACTACGGATAATCAGTTAGTTAATAGTTGTATGATGAAAAGAAGAACATGCCATGTTTCTCAAGGCTTTCAGAACGACTGCGTCATCCTTACTATTATTGACTGTCCATTGACTTACTGTTCGACCAGAACTTTTGTCTACTTGAAAAATGGTTCCAGAACTTGAACCAACATACAGAGCGTCGTCTTCTGTAGACCCATCCACGGACAAAAGGTCTTCATAACCCGTCACTGAAGACGAGGTAACTCGCAAAGGATCACTTGAAACTTTTACCTCGCTAGATTCCCCTGGAACAAGTGAGGGCAGACACAAGTTATCTTCTTCTACGTGTACACAAAAAAGGTTTCTTTCACACGATATATAAAACACTGTCTTCTTGGAAAAGTCATAATACAAGTCCACACTAGGAAGCTCTAAAGGAATGGTTGCCATTCAGAACAAAATTTTGAGCATTCTTCAATCAATAACAGGAAATATCATAGGCAGTTAGAAGCCTTGGAAGGCAAAACTTATCTATGCAACAACTTACAATAGCCACTTTTTATAGGCTACATTCAATAAAAAAACATCTGCTAAGAAAATTAAGAGGAGTTATCGAGACACTGGATGGCTAATTAGAGAAACAATTGACATGTTACACATATCGTGACAATCTTTTATTCATACAGCAAATAGTTCTACAAAATCATTCTTGAAGAATATAATGATTTTCAGGAAATCCAAGTCGCAGCTATTCATTCATTCATTCATTCATTGAAAAAGGATTTTAGATCATTTGGAATTCGGGATCATTTTGGCGCGATGAAGTCTCAATCAACCTTATTATCGTTTTTTGAAACGAAACCCAAAAGTATTTATGAAGAAGATAATAATAAGCTTCATGATGCTATCAAGAGAACAAGAGATTCAAATGATAAAACGCATACTGAGATAGTGAAAAAGTAAGTTATTGTGACGTCGATGTAGGTTTGTGTTGAATCTTTCGTCAGAGGTGCACGACTGCAAGCTCCCTTTGTTCCGATAGAAGAAGCAACAGTTGAAAAGCAAGCTGCTGTATCTGTTGAACGAGAGTTTTTTGGACACAAGTTAGACCTGAAGCAAAGACAAGAGAAAAGGAGAAGCTTGGGTCAGTCTGTCGAAGAACCTGCAAATCAGAAGACAGGGGAGGAAAAGTGGTCAGAAACGAACCGCTGGGCTACAGATATTCGTGATGAGCAGCATCGTTTGCCTACTGATGTAGATTATGATCCTTCTACTCTGTATATTCCTCCGGAAGCATTTCGACAGCTTTCACCTTTCCAGAAACAGTTTTGGGAGTTGAAAAGGAAACACTATGGTACGCTCCAGTTTTTTGATAGCCACAAAGCTCAAAAAACGCTAGATATTGTACTATTTTTCAAAAAGGGAAAGTTTTATGAGCTTTACGACTGTGATGCCGATATAGGACATAGCGTGCTCGGACTTAACTATACTGCAGGGGGACGTGTCGAAATGCGTTGTGTAGGTGTTCCAGAAACGAGTTTCGCGAGATATGCTTCAAAGCTTGTAGATAATGGGTATAAGGTTTGGACGATGAAACCTACTTCTCGCTTTTTGTTTACATCATGGAAAGGTTGGAAGGGTTGAGCAGGTTGAAACAACAACTGCAGCAGCACAGCGAAGACGTTCTTCCGATTCGGTTGATTCCAAAATTGCCGTTTGTCAACGTTCACTTGTTAGAATTATGACTAAGGGCTCGTTGACTGTCGATGAGCTTAACGGTGACCCTTCTTCCCATTTTCTACTTTGCATTCATCAGTGCATAAGGTCGGAGAAGGTATCCGATGAACAAATTCTTGTCGTCTTCCTAAGAATTAGTTTTATTAGATTGGATTCTTTTATTTGGATGTTTCTGCGGGATACAGTACTGTTGGAGAAATGAAACATGATGCAGGACTGGCGGATCTGGAAGCTATTTTACTTTCAGTGCAACCTGTAGAAATAATCGCAATCAATTGTCAACAAAAAGGACCTCTTTCAGAACTCTTAAAGTAGGTCATCCTCATACGGATTGGTTCAGAAATAAGTATATCGTTTTTAGGTACTTCACGAGTACTACAAACTGCTTACTGGTCCATCAACATTCTTCTTATGGTTATTCTCAGAGAGGAGCAAATTTCCCGTAAGATACAGTTATTTCTTTTCTCATTGTACCTATTTGCAATATATTCAAGGACACAGCTTGAGGAGTTTCTTTTACGACATTCCACAGCTTCAATAGCATTGTTTGGATGTCTTGAATATTTAAAAAGTTTGTATATATCGGTGGAAGTTCTGCGTTTTGATTCTACGGTGATATGGGATAAATGCTGTACCAATGAGCATATTTCAAAGAACCTTTCAAATGAAGTAAATTGGGAAGACCGTTGCTTAGGAAATTTAAGTCTAATAGGTTCTACTATTTTTAACCTTGAAATTGTTACCTCACGGTATTTTCAAATTCCCTGATTTTCATTGTCTCTTTTTCTAACAGAATTGAAAAGGCCGAACAAAATAGGAGGTCATACTCTGCTGTCATTCATCGATCACACAGCGACTGCGGGTGGAAAGCGGCTAATCAAACAATGGATATGTACACCTCTAATATGCAGGTCACAAATTGAGCGACGATTGGATTCGATCGAGATAATTTTGAGGAAAGATTCTAAAAGCAATATTTTAGATCAAGTACGGAAACAATTGAGTCAGTTTCCAGATATTGAACGACAAATAGTCAAGTAAGAAATCTATTCTTGTCGAACAGAAACATGTTTCACTGATGATTCTCGCCAGAATTCAAAATATGGCATATTGTAGTCACCAGATTGTGATGTTTGACGATTCTGAAAAACGAAAAGTCCTGGAATTTTTAAAGTTTCTTAAATGTCTTGATCATGCCGTTGAGTTTTTGAAGAAACAGTTACCAGTCATATTGTTTCCTGAATTTGACTCTTTTATTTCATTTATACAAAATTTTGATAATAATCTTCTTCATAAGTGTCGTAACGTTCTGGATGATCTATTCAATGGTTTGTGCTGTTTCCGTGTTTTAGTTGATATAGTCATTATTGTGTAGAGTTTCCTGATCTGGACAGGACCGAAAATGGTGAAATGAATTTCTCAGAAGATTCGACATTCAAGAACGAAATTGAAGGCATAGAGTTGCGTTTACAACGTATTTTGGAGGATTTTCGAGAGCAGATGAATATAGACATACAGGTTCGTCTGGTTTGCTTTTGTTTTGAAGTTTCGTTACAGTTGTAGTGGTTTCATCGGTTTCGAGAAGCATATCAACTGGAGTTCTCACAGTCAGCTCTGGAAAAGACAAATATTCCGGATGACTTTGTTCTTATGTCGCAGACATCTGTAAGCTGCTTTGGTACTTTTAAAAAGAATTCCTTAACCAGTTTTAGGACAAGAAACGTTTCTGGACTCCCGAAATCAAACAGCTAGTGAAGAAGAGAAATGAGTTACTTGAGGTAAATCAATGAAATGTCTTAGTTTCTTGAAGTTGGAGGTGAAAGTTTATCATTTTAGGCACACACTATTTCTGAGTCTTCCAAGTTTAAGAAAATTCTTCAAAAGTTTGATGACTCTGCTATACTTTGGAGAGATTTGGCCAAAATAATTTCGGAACTGGATGCATTGTTTTCACTGGCTCGAACATCTCGCTCTTCAACAGGTATGATGTGCAGACCTGAGATTATTGATTCAGACATACCACGTAAGTGATAACATGCATTTGAGAGTATTATTGTTGACGGCACTGTGTTAGGTCTTGTGGTTGAAGAATTACGACATCCCTGCCTAGCTGATATGGGAGATCTTTATGCCTCTGGTTCTTGTCGAACTTTTATTCCAGTTTCTTTGAATTTGGGAGGAGTCGAAGGAACTTCCTTTGTAATAAGAGTAATACAATTTTTTGTCTTTATTGTGGTCTACTGAGTATGCTGAAGGGCCCTAATATGGGAGGTAAATCTACGCTTTTGAGGGAAATTTGTCTTGGTGTTATTCTAGCACAATGTGGCTGTTATGTTCCTGCAAAGAAATTTCAATTTACTCTATTTGATAAGATATTCACCCGAATGGGAGCGTCTGATGCTATTGGCCGTGGTCAAAGTACCTTTTTATTAGAAGTTCAGGAGGCTGCCGCAATCCTAAACACCGCAACGAAATCATCTCTTGTAGGAAATATTTTGAGAAGCTGATATTATTGTATATTTAATTTGATATTTTTAGGTTGTTATCGATGAACTTGGCCGAGGAACCTCTACCTATGATGGCTATGCTATCGCTAAAGCGGTTTTAAACGACATTTCGACTCGCATAGGTTGTCTTTGCTTTTTTTCTACTCATTATCATAATCTCATTCATGAAAAATTGCCAAGTAATATTCGATTCTTTGAAATGCAGGCAGAGGTAGTTTTTATTCCACTGTGCATTCGGAAAATTTTTAATTGATTAGGTTGATGAGGAAAAGAAGGACGTAACATTTCTTTACACTTTGAAGCAAACTTCAACAAGTTTCGTGTCGAGCAGAGGGGTTTATTGTGCAAAGATGGCCAAGTAAGTATTCTTTCGAACAGAAAATAGGAGCTTCTCAATCATTTGGTTAAGTCTTCCTGGGGAGATTTTGATACGTGCGGAAGACCCAAAGGTCAGGGCCTTGTTGAATGGAATGGATCAATCTTATGATGAAATGGAGGCGGAATTTCTTAAAGTATTTCACTCATAAACCAACAGTTTGGGATTGAATTCAGAGACGTGGCGGGCAGTGTTGTTGAACAGAGGAAAAGGATGGAAATAAATCGTCAGTCCTAACAAGGTTTTCGAGTCTTTTATCAACTAGGTTTCAATCATTGTAACACGAGGTTAATCACAGCTCTATTTTCGATACCAAATTTGTTTTGTAAATTTAATGACCATCCGTGCTTGTTTTTTTGACTTTTGCTCGAAACTCACGAATGCTTGTTTGATCTTGAACCCCAAACCACCATTCTGTGCTGGAAACTGTGACTTACAATGGATGACTTTTCTAGGAAGAATCTATACGAAAAATTTCATAGCATTCAAATAGAAATGGTTCAATTCTTTGCCTTGTTCTTGTATTAGTGAAACCATAGTGACCATCTTACTTTGAGACTCTGATTTCCCAGTAATTGATAGTTTGTTTATTTTCCAACTGCTTCGATTTCACGGATCTTAGAAAATCTTCAGAGTTACAGAGAGAATTTCGACAGACTTTATGACTAGTTCTTTGCTTTGACTTATTGTGCTTTACTTTGGTGAAAGGAAAACTATTGAATGTTCAAGATGTTAAGAATCATATATTATCTATTAACGAGTGCTCGAGCATGCTATAAAGTTTTTATAGATCTTCAAGAAAGGCTTTGTAAAAAGAAACTTATGATTCGATGGCATTTTCTGTGTATATAGCATGCTGCAGAATAATTTGCTTAAGCGAAAACCAAACGTGATCTTGTTTTGGTATCTCTTCACAACACGTAACTGTCGATTTGATTATTCGCGCATCGAATTACGAAATTTCCACGGAGGTGGCTGAGTCAAAATCGGAACTTGTGGCAGTTTGATAACTTACTGTTCAACAGCTGTCTGTCACACCAGACCCTGCAAGTCGACACCATTAGTTTTCACACTACAGATATACAGTGTTTGTAAGCCACCTTTGCTTGTCAAACGTCACTCGGTACGAGTGGGAAAGCTTTAAGTTACTGTATACCCGTATGCCTCTTCTTCCCTCTGTGGAAGGTAACTCAGGAGTCTTATCAAGTATGTTCCGTTTCAACAGAACTCTTGCAAGGGCTGTTGTGGAGTTGCACGAGATTGTATTACGTGGTGAATCTCCATTATCACCGTTGGAAAGAGAAATATTGGGAACCTTTGTCTCTGCTGTCAATAGATGTGATTATTCCACAAAGGTTCACTGCTCCATTATAAAGGAAATGGGAGCCTCCGATGAGCTCTGTACTGCGATAGGTTCCTATCTTGCTGACAACGTCGATGAATTGCCGGTCGACCCCAAGTTGAAACCTTTGCTGCATTATATAAGGAAACTTACATTGAGACCCGAGTCTCTTAGTATAGCGGATGCAAATGCAGTATATGCTGCAGGATGGGAAGAACGTGCATTGTATGATGCTATAGTAGTTTGTTCATTGTATAACTTGATGAATCGACTAGTGTTGGGACTTGGACTGGATCCTCCTACCTCGTTAGACCCGGAGAACATTCGGACTATTTGTTATTTAGGTTATCGAATCATCTTGGAGAATTTATAATAACTTCAAAAGAGTTGAAAGTACTAGAATTACACAGAAATATTGATAGTTTTGCACTTTGTTTTGTATTATAGGATTTGTTTCTTGATAAACGTGAGGGTAGGATAGAATAGCCATTATTTCGAATTGTAAAGCACTTGGGAGCAGGCACTTACGTGTGGAGAGTTTCTCGAGTTATAGGGTATCATATGAACAGTTCTCAGAGTAATATAAATGTAAAAGGACCTAACAACACGTCAACTGTAGCAGGTGAAGGAAACCAGGAACGTTTTAACACCGGTCCTTATGCTCGTGGGTTTCCAGGTTTTATGGGAAAGCCACTATCCTCGTTACCTCCGCAAGGGAATCAGTTTGTACAGACAGTGTCCAGAACGGATAGCAACTTTGCTCAAGGGAAGGACTTTTCGACGTCAGATAAGTTCAATGAAAGTGTTGCCGGTAGAGCGTTTACTGCTCCAAAGCAGAGTGGATTGGGTACGCAAACAAATACTACAACTGTAGAAAGCAAGCAACACTATCCATACGGCAACTCTTTATACGGAAAACAAGTTTCATCGCAGCATAATTATCCCGGAGAGCTTCCAACTTCAACGGGTCAAGTTCCAAACAGAGCTCAAGTTGAGAAAGGCAACTTTCCGACGGTAAAACCAGTTCCTCCTACTTCTTCTATTTGGAACCAATCTACTAGCAACAGTAACTTTCCAACTGATGAAAGGTCTACTGTCGGTAATCTTTATAACAAACCTCAGTCAAATTATTCAACGGTTCCTTCTTCAGCAGCAACAGGCAACATGGCTGCAACATCACACTTACCAAGTTCGATGAGATATCCAGATACATCAGGATTGAACCGTCCTCAGTTATATGAAAACAAAAATGTAAACGGATCCGTCCCTACTAGTCCGCAAGCAGCTTCGCTACCACGACCTGGTCAAGTGAATAGTTCAACGACCAACTTGGGACAGCAAGGTTCTCAAACTAAACTTAACCCTGCAATGATGCCCAGACCTTCGAATATTGAAAAGCCATGTGGTTCCTCAAGAGATGTTTACAAAACTTTGAAGAGTTCATCGGATACTTCTTCAGATAATAGTGTTCGAACTCCTCCTAGTTTGGTTCCTTCCTTTATTGCAGATTTTATTAGCGTTGATACTGGAGTTGCTTCACCGCGTTTCGCAAGAGTCACATTGTCTTGCTTGCCTACTGAAAAGTCCGTTTTATCCCAGGTCAACCTACCACTTGCTGCAGTTTTTCAGCCTTTTAGTGTTCCTGTGGAAGGAGAACAAGAGCCGCGACTGGTAGATTTGGGTTCATATGGTCCACTACGTTGTCTGCGTTGTCAAGGGTATGCTAACCCTGGTTTTCGATTCACAGATGGTGGAAGAAAGTTCCGCTGTAACTTATGTGGATTTATTAACGATGTTCCTTCTGAGCATTTTGCACAAATAGACCCTCGCACGGGTATTAGAATGGAGGATATAAACCGTCGACCTGAGTTTTATTTTGGTTCTGTCGAATATGTAGCCACAAAAGACTACTGTGATCAAGAACCGGTTCCGGCAACATTTTTGTTTGTTTTAGATGTTTCAGCCTCTTCCATTTATTCTGGACTACTGGCCGTAGCATTGGATTCCATCAAGAAGAGTCTTGAAGTCTGTAATTTCTCGTTACTAAGCTGTTGCTTATTTACAAGTTTTTGTAGGTCATCCCTGGTGGCGATAAGGCTCGCGTCAGTATCATGACTTTCGATCGATATTTATATTTTTATAGTCCCAAGTTATCAAGTGGACATACCTCAGTCTTGACAGTACCTGATATTCATGAACCATTTTCTCCACTTTGTAGTCAACTGCTCATAACGTTGACACCAGAGGGCAAAGAACTGCTTCATGTATGTTGATATTTTTACAGGTTGATGAAGTATCTTTAACTAAAACTGATGTTAGATGATTTTGTCGTCCATAGCAACACAGTTTGCCCCAAAAGGAATTTCAGAAGATGTCTCTTATGGTAAGCGTCCTGATGGAAGTATTAACTTTGGAACATATTCTTCAGAAGCTGCTCTGGCATCGGCAGTATCTGCAGCAAAGACTGCTCTTGAGGGGAACGGTGGAGGCAAGATAGTCTTGATTTCAGCTAGTTTATCCAATGCAGGATTGGGTAAGTTAGAAGCAAGAGGCGGTGGTGCAAATTCTGGAGGTGAAGAACGTGAAAAACTGCTATTGAAACCTGCCAATCCACTCTATGAAAAACTCGGTGTCGAATTGTCAGAGTCTAAAATTTCCTTAGATCTGTTTGTTGCACCAACGGGAGCTTATGTTGACGTTGCAACTATCGGAAAGCTTGCCTCCAATTCAGGTGGTCGAGTCTTTCATTTTCCATTCTTCCAAACTAATAAGGATGGGCGAAATTTTGAAAATTGTCTTATTCGAGCAGTGAAGAGTGTTTGTGCCTTTAACTCTGTCTTGAGGATTCGTTGTAGTCCAGGATTGGGTACTGGAGCTCATTATGGACATTTTCAACCACAGCGCTCTTTGGATATTGTGATTCCAGTGATGGATTGGAATTCGACAATCTCAGTTGAACTTGAATATGATGATAAACTACCAGAAGTTAATGATGGTGCAGTCACTGGAGCACCTTGTATTCAATGTGCAGTATTATTTACGAACAGTAGTGGAGAACGTCGCATTCGAGTTCACACTTTGCTTTTAGGCTCATCTTCGCAGCTTGTTAGCATATTTAGATATGCCGACTGTGATGCACTAGTAACTCATCTCGTGAAGAGGATGGCAAGAATGGTCTTGGAAGACCATATGCTCATGTCAAAAGTGAGGGAATATCTCACGGAGCGTTGTATAGAGTCGCTTTATACGTATCGAAAATTTTGTACTGTTTCTGCTTCAAGTGGTCAGTTGATACTTCCCGAAGCTTTGAAGTTGCTTCCCTTGTTTTCTTTGGGCATTTTAAAGAGTACTGCATTTTCTTTGAACTCAAGTATATCACCCGATGAACGAGCTGTTGCATTGTTTCATGTTTCATATTTAGGAATGGCAGAAAGTGTTGCCTATGTATATCCTAGATTGTTTAATCTTAGTTCTTTACCTGATGCAGCAGGTATGCCATTGGCGTTGCCAAGAAATCTGCCAAAGGATTATATAGGAGTGGATGGGAATGTGATCAATGAAGAGCCTGTTGCGTTACCTCCAACAGTTGGCTTATCAAGCGAAGTGCTTTCTCCAGATGTTGTTCTCTTATTGGAAAATGGCATCGAACTGTTTGTCTGGATAGGAGAAAATATCAGCCCCGAAATATGCAAAGAAATGTTCGGTGTGGATCATATTCCTATGATTGAAGAATTCTATGATAGTCTTCATTCCACCCAAAAGATGCCGAATTCTTTGCGACAGAGATGTCTTTCTATTTTTACACGAATTTTAAGACAAAGACCCTTAATTGAAAAGATCCGTATATTTGGAGCCAAGGTATGAAGAATCGTTGTTTTAGACATTTGTTTGTTTATAATTTTGTGTAGGACCAAGGAGTAAATGCTTTTACTGACAGACTTGTTGAAGATCGAACAAGTTATTCGATGAGTTACGTAGAATTTCTCTGTTATGTTCATCGTGAGATTCAGAAAAAGTTAGTTTGAACTATCATAAAGTCTTACAAATGGTTCGCCTTTATACCTTTTCTTGCAGAGTGAAAACTGCTTATATAGAGGAGTGTAGGGAAACCATTTGTTATTTGATTAACGTATGCTATGGAGAATTCTGACATAATTCTTATGCAGGTTTCATCGGGCTATAATGCTTGAAGAAGTGCAGAACTATTCCATGGCCAATCATTTCTAACGATTCAATTGGAAGAAAAAGCTGAGAGTAGCAACGATTGGTCGAAATGGACTTGGACTGTCCATTTGCATCATCGCATTCCACGTAATTGCGATTGTTCTTTGCCAAAACATTTTTCCTTGTTGATATTGTTTCAATAAAGCACCTCCAGTGCTCCTGAAGTAATACTTGCTGTATGTCTCAATACTCTTCCCAGGTCAATAACATAGAAGAGGGTTTTCAAATTCTAGTCAGAGCTACCGAAATAGCTTCAGAGTTTCTCAAATTGGCTCAGGAAGATAGACGTCTGAAGTTGAATTTTCTATTATCTGCTGAAGCTTCTTGCACTCAAGCACATTCGAAGAAGACCACTTGTCCTTTGTCAACCTTTGATAGCGCTGAAATAACAGCAGGAAATGGTTTTTATGGGAGGGCCGATTCTGTTCCAGTTCAAGAGCTGGAAAATAGCGTTTTCGAGTGCTGTACTCGTGTTTACAACTCGAACCAACCAGATATACAAACGAAGAAAGACTATTCTATGCATCATTACTGTGAACCGGTCAACACCAATAGCTTTAAGCAAGTGAAAGTTGAAAGGAACAGACTGTTACCCTTACAGACTACCACTACCACGTATTGTGCAAGTGGTATGAACAGCAGTGGTTGTAATAGCAGCTTAGAATATAGGACAGGAAAGAAAGCAGTGCATTGTTTTTCAGAGCTATCCTCAGCAAATAGTTTTATGTCTCTCGATGGAAGCTCGAGACAGACTATATCGCGTCGAGGTAGGAGAAGAAACAATCCATCACTATCCGAAGAACAACGTAGAAAGCTAAGGACACTAAAAAATCGCGAGGTATTTCACAAATTATTATTTTATAGAAGAAACGCTCATTTGCTTCATTAGGCTGCAGAAAAAGCACGTATTCGTAAAAGGGAGAGGGAACGTCTTCTTGAAGAACATTTGAATAGAGTTTTGAATGAAAACAGACGACTTGAAAAAGAACTTTTATGGCTAAAAGAAGTTCGAGCTTCTTCTTGTCTATAGGATCAAGATATGGAGTGTACAAAGGCTTAATTTAGATACATGAATTGATTAGGTAAAAATGTTTTGTGTGAACAAATGATTGGAAGTGTTATCAATTTGGATCCATTTGTATAAAGTTCTCTTTTCTTTGTACTAAAATCTTCAAATAGTCTGTCAATCAAGTTCATTACCATGTCGTCAGGAAGATTCTTGTCCAGGCTTCACATGTTTTTCATCCAATACAAAAATGTGAAGAAACTGAAAGATATTGGAACAAGACAAATTCAATAGTAACGACTTGGAACTGTGTGCAATTCTTATTTTGCAGTGGATACTTTCTCAACCAGTACTTTCTTAGTCAACAAGCTATTGGCAAATCTTGAAGTCATCCTCCACTCATAAAAGATTGGGAGTTATCAGTGATTATTCAACTCCAAGGACAAACTAGAAACACTCAAGCTTTACCACGTTCAACTGGTTTCGGTTTGACTCCTGCTCTTAGTTTCTTCAGGTTTTGATAGGCGATTCGAACAAGTTCTTCAACATTGGCTACCCATTTTTCTTCTTTCCCCAGTTTGAAAGCATCTCTGACGAACTATTATTGTAAGCTATTGAACACAATAAATAGCAAAACTTACGTGTTTATCTGCTTCTAGTACGAGCCTTGACTTTTCTACCTGTTCAAGCGACCTCAGAATGTCTCTAAGCATAACAGTGAGACTACTAACTACACAAAAGTTTGGGACCTTCTTAACTTGTAAAGTCTTAAGATGATAGTTCTATTCACGCTCTTGAATTCCTCGTTCACTTTCGCCAAGGAAAAGGGTCGCCTACGAGACAATGCTGCTACTGTAGTCGCTCCTCCTGCCAAACAAACGCTTAGTCCAAATACTACAAAAATATTTTGGTAATATGGGTCCTTCTCCATAATTATCCCAACTCTAACCACCTCGTAAAATTCTGTGTACTCAAAACTTCACTCTGTGTAAAGTAATCAATTTTTACTGATTGCAACGAGACACACAAATAATGACTTTAGGTGCGAAACTAAAACGAAAATCTTTGCCTTTTTATATTCATCAAGAAAGAATATATATACGTGAAATAGTTGAAGAGTTAATCCCACGGAACGAAAGAAAGCCGGTTTGGTTGCAACCAACAACAACTTTTGTCGCTTCCTATCTCCACGTTTCTTGTATATCATAAGACGCACTTTTTCTTTCCCTCTTGACTATCATTCATAGAGTTTTACAAGATATTCAGCAGTTTGTCTTTGAAAGTATGATAGTTCATGTCAACTAAAAGCAAACACAGAAACAAGTATACAGAAAACCGAGATGCTATGAGATTGTACAAGTTCCGCAGAATATTTTTTCAATATATAGAATTGTCGCTTTATTCAAAATGTTTCAATGCAGTCAATATTTTTCAAAGACAAGTTTCTCAAGTCAGAAGTTGGATATTTGAGTTGGAATGAATGCCATCAGTACGAATTCCTTGTCGTCCTCCTTGGCTCCACAGCTAAACGCAGACGTTCCTGACACTTGTAAAGAATGCGGTAGTGACGACTTGGTTGAAGGTACATGAAGTACTTTCCATTCCTTTTGCTGAAGCAAACGTTGTTATCATAGACCATGCGCAAGGCGACGTGATATGTAGGAACTGTGGTCTCGTCGCTGCTGAAAGAATCGTGGATTTAGGCTCGGAATGGAGAAACTTTGAAAATGATGATAGTGGTACAGACCCAAGTCGTGTGGGAGGTTTGTACATTTGCACGTCATCAAAACCAGTTCACCACTTCTTCTATTAGGGCCGAACAACCCCCTTCTTGAGTCGGGTCCAAGTACTGTCATCGGAGGAGGAGCTGTTTCGGACTCTAGAAGCTTAAATGCTCGGTTGAATCGAGCTCAAAATAGGCACAACACCTCCAAAAGTGATCGCGTTTTACTTGATGCGTTTTCTTTGATAAGTCAATACGCAGAACGTTCTTACCTTTCACAGAGAGTAGTCGACAGAGCACAGGAGTTGTTCAAACTATATTTCGACCATCTCACTCTGAACCCACAAGGTGGTAGAACCCGCTATTTGAAAGAGCACGAAACTGTTTCAGTCGTCGCGGCTTCACTTCACTGGGCTTCCCAAATCGAAGGCGTTCCCAGAACTTTTAAGGAAATGAGTAGTTTAACACAAGTACCTAAGAAGACGCTCAGTGACACGTATCTTAAAATGAAACAAAGTCTCAAACTCAATCAACTGAATAAGAGCACCGAAGACTTTATTGGACGCTTTTGTTTTTATCTTCGATTACCTCATTTTTTCATTTCCAAAGCGCTTCAGATTGTGCAGGTGTGTCGAGATGTTGATGGAGTCTATGGAAGGAGTTATGTGACTATAGCTGCTGCCGCAATTTACACAGCTTGTGAGAAGTTTGGTGATGAAGAGTTGAAAAAAATGGTTCGTTTGCAGTTGCCGAAAGTATCTGGTGTGGAAATTGTGACTATTGTAAATACATTCAAAATAATGAAGCCGCATTCAGATAAGATTTTGGAAAGTCGACAAAGCAATGTGCATTGAACAAGGGCAACGTTGAAGGGACTAGAATAGAGATATCTTATTTTCTGTTCCAGTAGGTTTTATTTTGAAATATCCATTAAATGGTGTTCTTTTAAAGTGAGCGTAGTGCGAGGTACAAACATAACTCGTTGAAAATGATACAACTGATTTCTAATGCGAACTTTAGTCACGCCCCACAGGATTTCATTCCACTGTAGATTCTCTTCAATATAAGTAACATGTGATGCTGGTAAAGGAACACCTAAAGCAAAAATGGCCTCGTAGTCTAGTTTTTGAGGATTTTTAACTTGGCTAAAGCAAAACCTTAGTATATGAGAATTCAACGCTAATTCATATCGGTCAGAAATTGTTTCCAAATAAACAACCTCATTCTTGAGTCTTTGACTAAACCAACTTTGGGAGTCTAAGTCTTTGTCTAAAAACAAAGATAGCGAGTAACACAAGCACAACTCGTTTGAAAGATTGATGGTATAATACTTGCAGAACATTTCCTCCAAGGAAGTCATGTTTGACTTTTCAGAGGAATACGATCGAAAAGATATTGGCCAATGCGGCAACTCTAAGACTCTGTCTCGAGTATTTTCTATTCTTAACAAGTTGATGAAATTAAAATCATTCAGAGGCAAAGATTGAAGTTGCAAAACAGTACCTCCAGCTAAGACTACAGCTACGCAAAGAATTGTGTAGAAATAACCACTTTCTTGTGTACACTCTCTTGACTGATAACAAAATCTACGACTAGAAGGAAAATAGGTTTCGGAATGATACTTCGTGACTTGAATCAAAACAGCCAACTCAACAAAGGTATTTGGTGACGCATATCCAAGACATGCATATCCTGAGTGCATAACAGCAGCAACAAGATCAGAATCTTCGCTATAATAGGCATCACCCCAAATGTTGCGACTCTTCACTGAAGGATTATATAATGTAAGATGTTCTGCTGCTATTCGGATCTCTACTAAAATACTTTCTTGTTCGTCAGAACTCAATAAGGAATCTAATGGAAGACAACGTCCTGGTTCATACCAAAAGCGAGGAATGGAAGAGTCTCCTAGTTTGTAAAATGAACGACTCAACAAAGCTTTCTCAGACCCATCCTCCATCATTTCTTCTTGTTTTACCATTTTCAAACAACTTTGAGGTTCTAATTTATCTTGTTCAGTGGTCATGTGTTCTTGATCAAACCGCTCTTCAAAACGAAGCTTGACGTATGGACCTTCGTAACTGCTCATGGGAATAGGATTCGCAGGATTTTTCTTGGAATAATTAGGAATCTTGCAGTTTCCAACAACACCAAGAGTAGGCTGGATGGTTTCCGAAGTAAAAGATATTTCAGGAAGAGTATTCTTCACAGCTTCTACTTGTTGGGCTGCTTCCTTTTGTGAAAAGTTGAAACTATCGGGGTGGCCTAATACAAAAATGAAAAAGAGAAGTGAAAAATAAAATTTCAGATACTTTTCGGGCTTTGAGTAGCTTCCTTAGGATTCTGTGCTTCTTCCATTGAGCTTGTAAAGTCTGCAAAAGCGGTAGGATTCATAACTAAACTGCGGTCACTAGAAAATCCTGAGACTCGGTCATCCATTGCTGTACACTTGTTTGTGTCTAAAAATAAGGAATAAAAGGAATCATAAAATATCGAATGGCTTCGTCTTCGTATCTTTATCTATGCAACACTATTTCAATGTGAGAGTTGTTTCTCCGGACCCCAAAAAACAAACTGGTTTGTTTCAAGGAAAAGATTATCCAATGGATGATTTCAAAAACGGAAGGTAACCCTTTCAGATATTTCATTCCAACCTTATCTTCGTCAAGTTGATGCTTCTGTTTTTCCTACTGTACGAAATATTCTTATTGAAATTGTTTATTATAGACCAAGTTGTTAGTGACTCTCATTGGCAGCATTTCAACCCATTTTCAAAACGGTAAAGTTTCCCTCAAGGCTTCCCTTGGGACTCTATCACTTCTTTTACAGTAAGTGCTCTGAGTCTTTTCAAAAACTCCAATTTGGTATGAGGAGTTCTTGAAAAGCATATTCAAATAAATGTGGTGGTTGAGAACTTTCACAGCAACTTCTAGCAATGGAGGATGCGGGGAACTTACAGTTTTACAACTCCCTTCCAATATCAACTACGGTCTTTCTCTAGATTCGCCTAACCTCCAAAAAACTTTGCATGTTAGCTCAATCTCTCCGTTATAATCATGGAAAATATTCATGTGAAGCAGACCAGTGAAAGCTCTTGTATCCTTAACGGTACTTCATCTAGCAAGAAAATATAGTCAAGTACTTGATAACTTCTGATATCAACTTGCATCCCAAAACAAAACAAAGGTTCCTCTTAAGAATATAACAAAGGTTATTATCGAGACTCGTCTAGTCTCAAGGATTTCCTACTACGTTTCAAACTATTTGTTGAAGTTTGCCATTCATTTGCTTGGGTTTTATCTCTCGATAGAGAAGAATCTGAGCTAAGAACTTCGTCTCTCGTACTGACCTGCACTCTATCTCCTCTTGTGTAGTTGGAGGAAGAAGAAATTCTTGAATGCATAGGATTTGTATCACTTTGAAAGTTTGCACCGTTCTCAAACGAGAGCTTAACATCTGTTTTCCAATTACGCGATTGTTCTGATTGTTTTCGCATCAATTTTGTTAAAATAGTAGGTCTCATACTGAAGCCCGAGGAGCTCATTGTTGTTCCCGCTTTGGGAAGAGTCAATGACTTTGCATTTAACAACTGAGACCTCTGCTCCCCAGACCACGATCCCATATTATTTAAGGGTCGTTTTAGGCTCTTTCCATACATTTCCGATTTTTGAGGTTTCTGACTTTGCCTAAAAGAACGAAATGTTCCTTGGGCAGATAGAATAGAACCGGAGCCTGAATAGTTGACTCGCGAAAACATTGAAGATCTCCTGATAAATGGCTGCTGTGAGCGAACATCGGTAGTTTTGAATCCTGGTTTCCATTCTTCGTTTGTAATTTTTGGAGAAGGAATAACCTCAGGTAATATTGTTGTGGCAACTCCCTCTTCAATCATGGACTTTTCAAGTTTTGCATAAGAAGGATGTGGCTCTACTAGAGTACAAACTTCGGCACTCGACACTCGACCTCCATGATTTTGTTTCCAATTTTTCTGTACAGCAGAAACAAGCAATGATAAATGCCGCTTCAACAAATGCGAATCAGTCGATGCATTTTGGAACGAATCAGATGATTCTCTGCTATCGTTCGAGAAACTTTCAAATCTAGCCTTGCATTCGTACTCCGTTCTCGGTCTCTTAAGTCTACAAAGGCTAAAGGTAGTCCATTTTAGCCAATATCGACATATTAGGTAGTTCTCATAACATGACTTTACAGTTCTCAACAGTTCTCGGTCTTCATCCGATGTCCATAACAGGAATTTGTCCTCTGAACCATCAAAGAATGTTCGACGTGGTGCTCGAGCTCTATTCCTTTCGTGACTCCGCAACTGTTTGTTAGTCACTGGCGACATCGTTCCTGTTCTGTTCATACTGCCTCCTTCCCAAGAATCGGCACCTTTATTAATATAGGAGCTTTGACCATTTTGTTCCAAAAACTTTGGTTCTAACGTATTTGCTTTTTGAAGACGAGTAGCATCGGAGGTTCTACTCAATCGAGAATACGCGTACGGAAAGAAAGCAGCATCTTCTGCAGATTCTATTCCTATTGCAGCTGTTTTGTCTACAACAGTCGACATTGTCATTTCTTCCTTTCCACCATCATGCAGTGGCAAATATATTTTCAAACAAGTGCCTGAATTCTCAATAGCTCTCGAATAACTCGATCTACTGTCCTCATCCATCATTCTGGTGTAAAACAACTCGGTTGGCGAGTCTTCTCGTAATGGATCTACAACTAAAAACTTTCTTGAGTTGAATAAATTGATAAGAGTAGAAAGTTTCTCAGGAGCAAAAATTTCAGTTCTGATTCTGTCAAGAATATTAAGGGAATAACACTGTATTCCTGAAATGCTCCGATTATTCTCATATTCAAATACTATATCAATGTCTTCCAACACATCGTCTACCGCATCCACTGAAAAAATAGAATTCACTCGCTCTATCTCCCCACTTTCAATAATTGAGCTGAAATATTCTTCAAGTCTATCCCTTTGACCAGATGTGGCAGCAAACGAGTTTTCCTCGAAATTTTTTGCGCTTTCTAAACAATACAAAGAATCACAAGTATTAACAAAGCATGCCACTAAACAAAACCTGTGATCATATTACCTGTCAAGCACCTATTTGACGTAACCCGCGATTCGATGTTATCATAACCAGGATCCGAGATTAGCTCTGAGATAAGTTGAAGCAATTTCGGGTTTTTTATAGAAGTAACTGACGAAAAACCTTTGAAAAGATTTTGATAAATGTCTTTCTTCATCATTCTTTCTTCGACAGTTTCACTCGAAACCAAATGTAAAACATGAATAGGTCTTTCTTGTGATAGATTATATACAGTATGCTCAACCTGAGAATCCTTCTCCAGGTCCAAGCAATGTTCAAAATAGATAAGCGTATCTACACCCGAAAACTTTTGCCAGGAAACATTTGAATCAACAGTCATTATACAGCACAAAAGTTCGGAGTTTTGACTAAAATTAGCCGCCACTGCATAACGCTGCTTTCTAGAAATGGTTGAATCGAGACGTGCATAAGTGAATTTGTTCAGGAGCATGAAATATTCAAGAACATCTAAAACCGACAGAGTATTGCAAACGACAACACACCTACGTGCCAGTTTCATAAGGTTTTCCAGTAACAAACGCAAGCACGTCAATTTTCCACTGTTGGACTCCATATGGAAGGACATTCGGTATCTTGAACAGCTATCGTGTTGAGCAGTGTTTTGCATATAAAGTTTCAAAGATTCCAATCTATTTTCGTAATCTGTACGAGGGTGGTTGATGACTGGAGTCTTAGCAACTGCTCTCGTTACACCAAAGTCCATTATACTCAGAGTTCTGGAAAACTTTCGAGTCTCTACTGCATGAAGTAGCTCGGGATAAAAGGAAACTGTTTCAAACATGTTTCTGTTTGTACATTCTATAATGTTAAAGAAAGCTGATGAAACAAGACTTTTCATGTATCTATATGCTGGTTTCAGCAATAGTTCTGTTGGCACATCCAATGTCTGCAAATATGAAATTTTACGACTCAAGCTGAATTCTGGGTCTTCTTCGGTCAAGGACTCTCTTTGCGAAGATGATTCGTTATTTACCAAAAAACGAAAGGACTGTTGCCATTCTTCTTCGCCCGAAAGTAAGTATGATGATGTCGAAGGCTGTATCGAATTTTCGCAATTATTCTCCTTGTTCCCATTTGAATATAGCTCGGAGTGCAACAAAGAAAGCGATTTACGAATTAGAAAGAAGCTACTTTCATAGGAAAACATCTTCATATCGCATATTTCAAAAATGTCTTTTGGAATATGAAACTGGATGTTCGGTAACGAGAAAGGTGACGATGAAAAAGTTGGTTCTATAAACTCTAAAAAGACATTCACAACAAACATAATACTTTAGGAGAACTTAAAATACCTGCGGAGTTACAGATTCTTTTCAAGGCATTCACCATAAAAAGCAAATCACTAAATGAATACTGGTTAGGATAATCTGACAGTCTCTTCTTCGAAATGACTTCATTATAAATTCTTCTTTGTTTTTTGCTCAACGAGCAAGTCACAATTTCCTCAATCCTTTTGGGAAAATTAGCCAACAACTGTTCCTTCTTCCTACGTAATGTGAAAGGTTTCATTGCCCTTTCTAACTTGTTCATAATAGGTTTCAGACGGCTGCCAGAAAGTCGCTCTGTAAATGAAACGTCAATGTTTCGCAACTCTTGAGGCAAAATTTTCGGAACTAAAAGCCGTAAGAATCTCCACAAATCACTAAACAAGCAGATGTCGTAATGTCCCGTTAGTAACATGCGAAACTCTGACTGGAAATTTTCCAACAACTTGAATTCCTCATTTCTGAGATTTCGTAAATTATGTGCATCTTTCAGAATCAAACAGTGCCATCTTCTCCGAAACAAAGCATCTGCTATATCTTTAAGATATTCATAAGGGCACAAAAACATTAGAAACTTTCCAGAACTGGCAGAAAATGAGTCTCTTTGAGTCAAGCTACTCTCTTGCTTGTCTAGCACAACGATCTCAATTTTGGAAAGCCAACGTTTACATTCCTTGTCCAAACGCTCCATTTCTGCCCTTGAAGCAATCATTAGGAAAGGGTCCATGTTCACTCTTTCATTTGCAAGCCTTATAAAACGTCATAAACAAATAAAATACTTTTAGCAGCACCTACCAAGTGAGGAAAGCTATCACACTAACTGTCTTTCCACAATTTCGATCATCAGCCAATAAAACATTCCATTTGCGCAAGTAACACGAGGCCAGCCACTGTACTGCTTTGAACTGAAATTCCTTCAATGTGCCATTGAAATAAGGAATGCGTTCTATGCAACTCGAAGACGAAAAATTCTCATCTCCAAACATATTTGTAAGTTTGTCTAAAAATGAAAAAACACTTTTTTCAAAGAACCCAAAGTCAACAAAGCAGTTCCTTTGAAATCCAGCGACATTGTTATTTAAAGTAAAAGAATTTTCCTTCTCGTCAATACGTTCATCAAATTTAACTCCACTATAAGTATCTTGCCCTTCAGGCTTGTTAACATTTCCGGTATTCATCAAATATTCCTCAGGATCAACATATGAAGACATGTTATTAACAGAGTCAAAGAGCGCCGTTATTTCCTCGTCTCTTTGTTCTTCTGTAGATACAAGACATTCACACAAGGTTGTCCCTGCTTCCGCTGAAGTCATTTCAGACGTCTTCTTGTCTCCCTCTAAATCGAAATTCTCCTCATTTGAGTTCGGAATCTCATTTCTTGAATCATCCAACACTAAAAGACTCTCATAAAGTTGTTGTTCTGCTACACTGTCTGTGTTTCTGTTTCGTTTCATGCTTGCCCCAAGATACAAGTTTCTTGACGACTTCCAAAACTTGACAACGAGACTGGCAAGTGAATTTGCTCTGAATCTTCTTTCCGTTTCATTACACAATGTGCTTACATTTCTACAGGCTAAATCATCAGCAATTCGTTTAGCCAAACAAATTTTGTGCTTTCTCTCCTCTCTAAAGTCGACTGCAAGCCAAACAACTTCATCTAATAAATAGTCCCATAAGACCTTTGCCCTTGGAGGTTCAGGTTGTTTGGGAAGCCTTGTCATAGCTAATGTAGTGTTCTTCTTCACAATTTCGCAAGCGGCTTTTAGAATATTCTCTTCGTATGAGAGTCTGTGCGGTGGGTCCGATTGACCATAAACATAACTCGCTGGAAGAGCCGGCGCACTTGAAAAAGAAACTGGAAACTGTTTTGACGCAATTTGATAATTACCGAAAGAGAGTAAATCTACTTCGCTTCTTTGTAATTGATCAAAATCAGGAAGCTTCTTTTTTGCTTCCCGCATTGTTTTCGCCCTCAGCAATGCTGCTGTAGAAGCCGACACTTGTCGTTCAATAACCAAAAGCTGCCTTTTGTGTTCGTCTCTTGAGGCTACTGCTCTTCTGCGGATGTCTTTGAGTTTCTCCAAAACTCGATGTCTCGCGCGCTCCAACTCAATGTTCTGAACTTGTCTCTCTAGTAACTTTTGACCATCCGCCCTATCTTTTTCAGTCGTCGATACTTTGCAATCAGGGTGTTTGACATTCCGAATCCTAAGCGTGGGTGATGAATTGGTTGAACGGCTACCGGTGCTTTCAAACTCTACATTAGCAATTTCTTGTTCCGAGACAGAATACGACTTTCGTTTTCTGCGAAGCTTTTCTTCTATAAATTCAAATATTGTTTCTAAAAACGTCTTGCAAACTAAGTTCACCAACCTCTCAAACTCGAAACCTCGTCCATCAATGCCAAAACGACTGCAAGGTTAAACCCAACATGCTGTACTCATCAAGAAAATCAAAAACTTTATAGAGATTTCGAAAATGCAAGCAAAATTCGGCATGAAGCTTTGAGTTGAACGCCAAAGCAAATACTACTCCAAAGAACAACGTTCAGATGACAACAAATGACCAGTAAAGAGAATAAAGTCTGAACTTTACTGAGTGTAGAATTTTTACTCGTTTTCCTCGTTTAGCTTGGTAGCTTCAGGCAAGGAATGTAGACTTGAGACTTCACGACTTGTAGATAAGAGTGCCTTTATTTGCTAGGCCCTGTACAAATCGCATAGCGTTAAGTTTGTCTGTAGAAAAGTTTTAAAACAAGAAGAGTTTACGCACAAGGTTGGCGTTTGGACAAGACGTTGTCGTGACACCGTCGCACGTTATCATTCAAGTCTTACACTACAAGACCACCCCGTAGCGTATCGAAAATGAAAGTGAGTTCTTTTAATAATATTTCTGAGAAAAATTTCTGGGATTAGCAAAATATAGCTGAATTGTTTGTTAGGATAGTGTCTTCGAATCCGCAGCAGAAGAACAAGTACGAATCCCACTTACTTGTGAGTCATTCGTTTTTCCGATCGAATTCCTTGTCAAAAAGCATAGAAGCCTTTTTGAAGTGTCTGTGATTTACAGAGTGTCGAATATAGCTTTATTATCAACGTTGCACGGAGGTCGCTTCCAAGTGTTTTCCTGAAGGTTCCAATCAGGTTTTTCTTTTTAAAATCCAAACCAAACTTCTTATGTTAGTGGAATAGAAGAATATTCCTTCTTTCAACGGTACCAGGAATTGTTCTCAAGCTCAAAAAAATGTAAAGTTCTCGTTCGAAAAGACAAAAAAATTTGCATAATTTTGGTATTGAGGTTTCATTCAAGTGTTCTATATCAAAATGAAGTTGAGTTGGCGAATAAATGCAATGAGGAAACGCTTTAATGAGCTTTCGGAAGACTATAAAATGAAATGAATTGTTCTTTATCAATCTTACCTTGCCAATTGCTATGGAATCTGCCAGAGTCTTTGTCGGGCTCAAACCACCAGAGGCTGTCTCCCAGTTGATCGTGAGATATCAAAAGAACCTTCAAGAAGCTATTCTTGATAGAGGTTCAAGTATAAACTTATTGGGAGGAAAGCAGTCAAGTTTCGTTCGCTGGACTGCTCAAGATTCACTTCACCTCACGCTTCATTTTATCGGTTCTGTTTCTCGGGAAGTTCTAGATTCCTTACGATGGAAGTTTCGTGAGAAGGTTTATCAAATAAAGCCTTTCAAAGTTACTCTTGGTTCGATGGGATTTTTGCCAAAGAACAGGAAGAATATGCGAGTCGTTTACTTGAGTGTGCTGGATCCCGAGAAAAACTTAGATTCCTTAGCTGCTAGAATACGTTCCTGTGTATTAGAACAATTTGGACTCGCCAACGAGTCAGCAGTGGTTGTGGATTCTGATATTTCGTCTTCTGCTGTGAGTCAGGCTGATATCAAACAAAGTGAAGTTCTTCCCAGTCTCGATCAGCAGACTGCGTTGAGTGAAAGAAAACAAGAAAACGTCTCTTTTTATGAAACGCTTGACAAATTGAAAAAGTCTCATCCTTTTTTGAAGGGAAGTGATAGCCCTTTCCTCCCTCATATCACACTGGGAAGATTGGAAAGAACAGCCAAACGAGAGGAGAGAGATTACTTAGCTTCTGTTATCTCGAAGACTTCATTGTTGAATGAACCATCTTTACATATCGGTAATACTATTGAATGGGAGGTCAAGTCGTTTGTCTTTTATGAGTCTGTTCAAGAAGATGGACACTCACAATACAAAATCTTGGAGGAATTTTACTTTTGAAAATCTTTTGCCGCATTCGAAAAAATCTTAATTGGTTATTGTGAATATTATCTGCTCCATCCTTGCCTCTCAACTGTTATTATTTACTTACCGCACCACGCACTCGTTATTCATGCTGGCGTTATTACTGTGCTGTTGTTGTTGTTAGCTGGTTTAATGGCCTCCGACGCAATATATTTTTAGAAACTGTTGTAGAACTATAATAATTCATCAATTTTAAGTTGTCTTTAAACTGCGTAATACTCACAAGTTGTTCGTACTTTGATGAACATTCATATGCTATCAAGAAGGATCAGGAATTTTAGCTTATTTTGTCACTTGCTCTACCTTGTTTTGAATCGGATCATTCGTATCGGCATCTAACCAATCAATTTTGGTTCCTGAGCATTGAAATGACGGTATTTCATTGCGTTCGACATAAGAAACAGGCGTACCTGTGAGAATAAGTTCTTCCAAGAGAACGGCTTGTGAATCCTCTTCTGCCGCAGGAAGCGTAAGCCACATTTTTTTGTTATGTTTTTCTTCACGTAGTTCGTTCCTGAGTACAAATATGGAAATGTATGAAGAAAAAAGTAAGACAAAGAAAGCGACAACCTAATACAGGGTTGAAAACTTCCAAATTGGAGAAGTGTCGTATATACCGAAAGGAATGCTATCTTTCCTTTGCTTGGTTGCTGACTACCTATCATGTTTTTCAGCGAGAGAATGAAAAGACTGGGGTCGTTACCATTATTGAACGACAAAATTACCAAGTTTCCGTTTAAGCGTGAAGTAACATTCAGTTGATCTGTTATTGATTCCATCGCATACTCCCTAACGTTTGAGTTAAGGAAGCTTGCTATCTTAGTCGTTGATTCGAGTACCTGATAGTAACTCGAGTAGAATATATATCCTCGACTTTGGTAAGAACAGCAACCCCAATGGAAGTTTTTCCCTGTTGAGACGATTCTAAAGTTAGCTTTTCTATCGAGCATGAGGAGTTTTGAATACAAGAATCTAGAAGAGTTTGATGTTGCAAAGCATGACTGTTTGTCTCCTGGTATTTGGAAAAGTGTACAAGGAATATATTTTTTCTGGGAACATGTATCTTCCGAGAGAGGTTCGCAGCCATCATATTCCATATTTCCTTGAAGATTCAATCTTATATTTAGTTCTTTGATGGTTTCTAAAAGTAAGCACCTTGGTAAAGTTAAATATTGGAAAGTCAATAATTTCGTTAAAAATTATAACTGCTTGCTCTCGCGAGACTATTGTGAATATAGTGAAATTTTCCATCTGAAGACAATCAAAAGCAAGGATGTTACCAGGTTCAGGCTTCGGAACAGGCAAGGGCCAATTTGGTATTGTTACCGCTCTCTAAATTTCTTCATCATATCGAATCAATGAGAGTAAAATTGCTCTTACATTAAGAGCTGAAAGAGATCCTCCCATTAAAGTATTGCTTTGTTGACTCTGGATTCTTTGAGACTCTTCGATCCACCACTTATACACTGTACTGTTATGTGTACTCTTACTACAGTCGTTGCCATACCATCCAATATTGCACAAGCATCTTCTCTAGTTAGTATAATAAATAAACATACGATTAACTGTCTACCTTCCGGTCAGTGTATCACAATTTCCATTGCCACTACAAACTTGAATATCCTTATTCTGTGGACATCTTCGATAGCGACACCCGTCTCCTCGATATCCTGTATTTAAAAGTGTGTCGGAGAAATTTTCTCGTTAACAGCAGACTCACCAGCAAAACATAGACAGGACCCATTGACGCATGCACCTTGATCGCCATAACAATTCTGAGTACATTCATTATTACGAGAGGAACTTAAAACGTAGAGTCACTAGGACGAAAGTCATCAGGCTGACTTACCAATCCGGTGGAAGATATCCTGCAAAGCAATGACAAGTCCCATCTTCAACTGAGCAGATACCATGTTCTGAACATGAACTGTCAGAGGGTCCGTCGCCTTTCATAGCTGAGTCCACCACAATTATGTAGTAATTTTAGACATTACCTACTGGACACGTTTCAAATACTTGGGGGACGCTGAGTTTTTTGCTTATCGAGTTGCACATGCTTCATTTTTTAGTGAAATACTTTGCGTCGTTCTTCGAGTTATTTGCTTACTTTGCAATATTTAAACTTAAGGAGCAAAATTGCGAAGAGCAGACCTCGGGACAGCAGTTTTTCGTAAGTATGCAGTCATCTTTGCAAGAACATGCCCCCTGCTGATTCAAGTCGACGCATAAGACGACTCTGTTCCTTCGTTTAGTTCATAGTTATACACTTGGTTACGGTGCTTACGCGCCTGGGAGACAGTTGCTTGCTGCAGTTCCTCTTGTATAGCTTATTACATAGTTTCCGTTCAGTGGGCAAGGTATAAAAACGCGAACAACGTTTGAGAGTACTGTATTACTACAATAAGCCTGTATACTATATGCCTTGCGCGAGTTTTAGATGATTTCCGAAATATATCGATCTTTACTCACAGTTCCACACGGTAGAAGCAGTTCGGGTTTCTTAGAACTGTATATGTGTTCAGCTTGGTATTTTTTGAAGATAATGTTGCACGATTCTCCTGCTCCTATATTCAGGTTAATTTATCGATTGCAATATTTTTGCTTATCCAACTTGCGTTTTATATCCTTGGTAACATTGAAACTGATCGTTAAGGTCAAGTTCATGATTGCATTCTCATAGGGGAAGCCCTAGAAACTCAAAACATTACTACTGAACTTGTGATATTACTTTCTTACATAAGGGACAAAGCTGTCATTGTAATTAGAATAAACATTGAGCTGTGACCATTGCAAGATTGGAGGTGTTTCCACTTTTCCTACTGTTGTGCCCATTGCAGTTTTTATTTGGATTCCATTTATATGTATCAAGAAAAAGGAGAAAAATATATTCTTGAGAAGCCAACCTTGATTCATCTTGTCAACGAGTCTTCCCCAATCTTCGAAGGTCGATTACATCAAACTTCATTCCCTTATTCATTTTTGCTGGTAATTTTGGCGCTTCCTATAGAGGTGCATTTTTTTTAATCTCGCTCCTTCGCTCAAGTGGCATTATGGAGACAGTTTCCTCGAGTATTGAACCAACAGTACTTGAGGAATAGCTCATTTAAGAAGCAGTTCCCTGGTTAGAGAAAGACAGAGTTGTTTCTATTGTCTGACGTCACAAGGACAACCACGAAAAACCTCAGAGAACCTTTATTGATAATTCAGCTTATGTAAAAATGTCTTGCTATGTTGTAACAGGACGCCATGATACTCGCTTACGTCACTTCAGTTCTATAATTTGTAACAAGTGTTCTGTACTTATTTTGAAAGTTGTTCCAGTTTCCAACTCTGGTTCGTTGTGCGAAACCAACAGTCGTCAGTCTTAAATTTGTAAGAATAAACCAAATATTCTATATGGCCTTCATTCACGATAGAGTATGAATAAAATCGTCGAGGACGAGTTTACTAATTGTATCTTAGAACAAAGTTGGAAACTGTAATGACGAACTCATGCCAGAACCGACTGAACCCTTTGATCTATCGTATCCGTAGAAACCTGCCGCCACCACCACCACCAAACAGAGAGAGGAAAGTTGAGCCTATTCTATCTTCCCCTCTGGCTTGCGAGCTACCACCTTCGCCACTTTCACCAACCAGCACAGTCAACTCCTTTCAGATTTCACAGCAACGCCGCCAAAGGCAATACCGCCTGCACCACCACCACCTTCGACATCACCAACGACGACTGACCTAACGTTGTGAGCGCTGGCTGGCATCTTGACAGCGTGTACACCGGGAATATCAAAGCTGTATTTATACTCTATTCGAGGTTTTCCTACTTGAGTAACGAAGTACGCTTGAGGGTTACTGTCGAGAAAAGGCTCCAACAAGCCTTCTTCCAAATATCCCTGAAAAAGATTCCTCGAAATTCCTTGAACCGACTCGTAGACTCTCCCTTCTCTTGAGGAAACGTCTTCCAGCGAACATATGTTTGTCGCAAAACTTGTATCCAGGGAAACATCGTTCACTATTAAACCAATCTAACTAAGAGCAGTCTCTTTACAGTCTGATATATCAGCAGGTATAATCATGGGTGGTGTTAAGCGCACAGAAAAGACCTTGTACAATGTTCGGTCTTCAATTACTATCTTGCTGCAAAACCAACCGAAACAGAGGGACGTTTTGGAACTTGTATAAGTACCGGGAAATGAGTGGTTTACTTTTGGCCTTCTCCTGCCATAAGAAAATATAACAAAAATATAAGGGTTACCCAATACATAAGAGGAACTTGCAGGGGAGCAATAAAGTATCAGTACCACCATCCTATTTAATCTATTATTCGGGATCATAAGCAGCAAGGGTGCGCAACAGACAAGTTGATCCACCAATGAATGGTTAGCAATTGCCAACAAATATTCTGAGGCTATGGGTGGTCGAGTAGAAATGGATCCCCAACTACTTGTCTGCGCTGGATGATGACAAATTGCGCTGACGGCAATGGCTCATTTGTCGATTGATTGTGTAGGCATGTTGTTTGTCAGTTGGTTACTTGTCTTGAAGTTAAACTCCCTTCATCGTTATCAAGCTGATACCTGCTATACAATGGTGAAAAGAGCTCAGTTAAGGCTCTTATTCTGGTTCGTTTGTAGAATTATTATTATACATTTTGCAAGGAAGCAAATGCTATTCCTCTTTCCCTGCCTGCTCTATAATCTTATGATTTATGCTTTTGTTTCATGGAGCGTTCTACATGTGTATCTCCAATTCTGTATCCAATAGATCTTTGCGATGATGCTAGCTCCTAGGAATCTATAATAAAATACTCTCGTCTGAAGCAAAGTTGACATGCAATATGTTTCTTAAAATCCTATACATTCACTCGACTGTAAAGCAAGGTAACACAACACGAGTCCCAATCAAAAGTAATTTATCAAGTCTTTCAACGATTGCATAGAGAAAACGACGCGTACATTTGTGAAGAGTTGAATCACGACACTAGTCACTCTTTAGAAAAGCATTTCTCTAAAGCTCAATATTAAGATAGAATTTGAATAAAAATCCAACAACATGACATCTTTGTCCACTACAAAATATACCATTTGTATTAGGGCCATAAGAATTGTCACCTTTTGAAAAAAAAGCCAGACAACCTTATATACGCCCTCTATCATAATCAGCAAATGAAACGGAGACATCTCTCAAGATGTATAGACGAAAGAGGCTATAAATTCCTCTGAATACGAGACATTATTCTATTTTGCAAAGGACAGTTTGATAGGAATTCCGATAAAGACCCTGCACAAGCAAAAGCGAGAGATATTCATAAATACAGATTCAAACAAGATTCGCTTTGCTGTTAAAATGTCGGAGAGATGATCGAAACTGGAAACATGTAAGAGTTTTATAGACTCCAGGACAAAATAATATTTGCGAAGAACGTTTGATATAAAAGACACATAACAAATAATCATTAGTTCACCATGGAAATCGACTTCTACAGTTTCAGTAAATGAAGAGTAAAGCCAAAGGTTGCGATCGAGTCCATTCAATAGATCATCATTTCGCATAGAACAGTTGCAAAGTTACCCGAAAAAACTGTTCCAAGCTTATAATTGAAAAGTAGAAATCGGTATCCAAGCAGATTGAGGAATCTATTTTCTCAGAAACAAGCAATATTCTCGAGTTTCGTTCGACTCTTTGAGAGATACTCTCTAATAGACTTTCTATTGGTATGATTGATGGCAAGTTGTGTATGAGGTTCATCTTATTTAAAAGTTCCAGTAAATATCCTTCATTTCGATTCTACCAATCGATCTTGAAAGTCATTAGAATATAGCAACTTATCCTCTAACTCTTTGCCATCAGAAATGGAAAGATTCCTTTATTCTTCAATATCTTGAAGGCCTAAGGAATTCGAACGCAACATATGAAGGTTGAAGCTTCTCAAGCGAGCACAACTCAAACAGGTCCAGAATTCAGCAACTCAACCAGTAATTATAAAAATAATTTTCTGAATCAACAAGTTCAAGCATGCTTCCAAAAAATGGCAGAAGACTACAACGAGGATAGTATTCAACCAGTTTCCTCTTTGTAAATTGCTAACTTTAGCATTCACTGATGCTTCTTTCGTCGCTCAGCTCCTCATCGGGCATCAAAACTAGAAAGCTGTCAATGAAACTAATGTAAAGGTCATTGCTGCATTTTTGAATTCAACAGCTTTTTAGATGGTGTTTCCATGGACTGGGCAGTAGTGAAAGGTATATTGTAAATTAAGAATACAGAGCCCTCTTAGAAAAATTGCCAATTCTGCACCAACTGACAAAAATGTATTCTGCAAAATACTTGCAAGAATCCTTAGGAGTACTCCATTAGAGTTTCTCAGATGAAGTCGATGAACTGAGCGTTCATGTTTGGGCAAAAATTCAAACAAGTCAAAGGATTCTGTTCTTGTGAAATTTTTCTTGTTCCTTGACAATGCAATCAAGTTTCATTATCCTTTCGTCTTTGAAATTTGCAAAGAAATCTCTATGGTGCAGTCTACAATCTTGTGTCTGACAACTTGCGTTTTTATCAAATCCAACTAGCTAAAGAAACATTCCAGTCTTGATAAATGTAGTTGTTATGTTTTGGTTACCAGAAACTTGGGTGCTCTCCCAAAGCCATAGAGGGTCTCCGGTTGATGAAGGTTTGTTTTTGAAAACTTTTATCGTTTCCTCCAAAAATAACACTTCTTGAGCTTAAGCCTTGTTTTTTACACTTCCTTGAGAAGCTTGTTTGTTTCATAATTTTCCATGACTCACGTCTAGTCATCATCGAAACGTCAGGTCTTACTAACAAATTGTTTGAGTAATAAACTCATCCAACAGTCTTTTGAGAAAGGCTGCTGAAGCAAATCAACGTAAAACTATTTTTAAAAGGTAGAAACATTTTAGAAACTCTTTCCTGTAAACAACTCTCTTAAAAAATTCAGTCCATATTTAGAAAAACTGCATAAAAAATGGAAGATTCTGAAACAGGAGGAGCACAAGACAAAGCTCTTTCTTGTGCAGTATAAAGTGTTGTATCCCTCAAATACGACTTTTTCATGATCTGAAAGCCTTTTCCAACAAAATTTTCTACAACTGCTTCAGAATAACCAATTACTATCACTAATTTAGTATTGAAGATATTTAGAACATATTAAGCAAAACAATGCAATGTAGAATGACTGGACAATGATAAATTGTTACGAACCAGTCTTGAACGGCAGCGTCAAGAATCTTTTCGAAAAAGATTGTATGGTTTCCAGAAAGACAAACAAGTAAGATGTAATCAAGTTTCAAACATACAAAAAAAAGTTTATTTGCTCTTCAAAACAAAGGGAAGGACTGAGTTAGAATCTATTGCCAACTTAAGAAACTGTTACGGACTTTATGAAGCAGTTTTAGTCCCAAGTTCAAAAAAGTAGGATTATGAGGAACATGAAATGCTCTTTCAAGTCCATTCAATATTTCTTCGTCAATCAGCATTTGGACATCTCTTTCACAAAGAATAACAAGTTCACAATTATCAGGTACTTTGAACGAATCATTTCCAATAAACATTCCACTGGAGTAACAACGACTCTGATTACCCAACTCATTAGAAACATTCAATGATAACTTTGTACTAACGATAATAAGCATACAATGATGATAATCCATTGCACTGGATAAGACTTGATCATAAACAGGATCTAAAAATTTCTTGGCTTCATCTATAATATCTGACCAGCCAATTCCTTCCGACCTCCAACGTCCTTTACATGCAACTCCAACAGTAAGAACTTTGGGTTCCACAGGAGATTGTAATTGGAATATAATATCAGGACTATGAGAAGTAGCGTCCAAAGGAATGTAAATAGTCTCTAAATAAAGTGTCTCCCGAATAATCTTATTCCATTCAGTACTGGCAAAAGTTCTTCGACTCTTGTTCGATTCACTTCTTGTTTCTCTAGAACTAACAACAGACTTCATATAGTGAATAGATGATACTGAGCTGATTGGAAGTTTCATTTGTTTCCATATCGGAGACAATTGACACAACAATTCCCTCAACTCATTTCGATTCTTTGAAGACAACATCAAAACTAGTCGTAAAGCAACAATTCCTTCAAATACACGACACTTTGAATAGAAGAAACAATCTACTGGTTCCACATCAAGTGATCCAAGAAGTATCTTTTCCAAAGAAGATATGGAAGGGTCCTTCTTGAAGATTACAACAAATACTTTTGGAATAAGAACTTGAAAAGTATTCTGGTCAATAGGATATCGATATAATCCCATTTCAGTGACTGCATCATATAAAAAGGACTCCGAGGTCAATATATCATCTACTTGAAACGGTATACGAAAAAGAGCCATCATCAAAAGTAAATCAAAAACACTTTTTCTATCTTCGTCCAAATTCAATATTCGTTCCACAAATGGTTCAGCACAAATTCTTCGGAAATCGTAGTCATTCATACAAGTCAAACATTCTTCTTTCGATATGAAAGGCTGATTTCTTGCTATTATATAATTCAAAAGCATATTCACAGCACGAGTCAACAAACCAGGAACTCCACCTGTACATTCCAATAACGAATCTGCCAATTCATTTACTGAAAATGAAGAACTACATAAGACATTACAAACCGGAACTTGAGTAGGTGTCTTTAGAAGACTCTTTTCAAGGAATTCAACGATACTGGAAGCGTCCAAAGGTGATAAAGAAATAAAATGTAGTATAACTCTTGATAGCCCAAAAGCCACATCATTCTTAATACTTAAACCCTTGCTTTTCCCAACAACAATAAAAAACAAGTCGGGTTCTTTGCACAATTGACTAATGATACCGAAAAAGTCATTGTAAGGTCGAACCACGCCTTTGTCATTCTTCTCCAGTTCAAAAAAAGTTGCCTTTGTATCAAACACACCAACTTCATCAAATGCTATCAGAAGATATTGATCGGAAGGAATGCCCAAAGTCTTCCGTAGCTCTGGAATTAGAAAGCTTGGATAGAGAGGAATGTGTCTGTAGGCTTCATCAGGCTTCATAAACGGTAGACCCATCTGATTACAAGCTGATCGGTACAATAAATAGTAGACTGCCCACTCAAGGTTGCGATTTTCCTCGATGGGTCGAGTTGGCTCCAACTCTCTTAAATTGACGTACAACATTGAAGCCCTTTTCAGCTTCTCCAAAAAGGCTCTCCTCGAAGGGTCCGAAGCAAATTTCGACAGAAAAGTATCGCCAAACCTTCGCACCAACTCCAAATAGTTATGACAAAACGTAGTCTTGCCAGAACCGAACATGTGTGGAGCGAATGGTATGGTCAAGCGATAGTTGCAACTACTCGTTACACCCCTGAGTTGTTCTCTGTTGCTATGAAGATCATACAGTTCTTTTGTCACTCGAACAACATCTCTTTCACGATCTACCACAATAGACTTAAAGTTGTCC